TTACTACTAGAGTGTTTTGCTTCTTTAGCTATGGATATTTTTATTGATTGCTTTAGGGGCCTTAGACCCACAACTAAACATTGCGGCAATTGCATCTGAATAAGTAGGTCATTTAGTTATGCCTTTCTTGTGATTTATTTTATATCATGTCTATGTTAACCAGGTATGTTGGGGATTTAAATAACCATGTTAGGGGTTAAGCTTTTTTTTTTTCTAACATGGTTAAGGTGAAGTAGTAAGTATGATATTTTTTATAACCATGATATGTGCATGGGTATGGTATCTCTTTTTATATATCATGGTTATTTAGCGAACTAAAACAAAAGTTAAGATTCTTCTTTTATGTACCTTAGTAAACACACGCATGTGCTACTTATATGTTTAAGTATGGCATAGCTTTATATTGGATATTACACAAGTTGTTCAAGGTGTGGTGCAAATGCGCACCTGCAAGGTTTTAAAAGAGATGGTCTTATATTATCAAGAATACTGTACTTTTAGTTATAATTCAGTCATTATGTTAAATATGGAAACTAATAATATTTTGTTAAAATATCAATAATGAATATATGTTAACATTGATAAATCTTACAGGGCTAGTAATTTAATGTAAATGTAATGAATATAATCATGGTAATAAATTAATCAAAATGACGTAACTCATTGTACGACTAATATATTTAATTATCATACCAAAATAAATAAAAAAACAGTATCATCACTTTCTTTGTCAATTAAAATTGTCGTGATCTGTTAGAGGTCACGTTTTTCAATTGTGACTGTCCATGTGGCAACACAGATTTCCTGAGCTAGAAAACTTGGAGAACTTGATGCGATTAATGGTTGGGATCTCGTGCATCATGATATTGAGTTGAAGTTTAAATTGCTGAGCCTCACACTTTCTTCTCATGACTGGGAAAGTAAATTTACTTAACGTAATAAGTTAATGAATACCTTTATATTTATTGTTACGGTAAAATTTATACTATTCAAATACAGTTTTAATGGTTTAGATTTAAATTTTTTAGCTAATAATTTTAAATAAAAATTTATTTTTTAAAAAAACTTACAGTTAAAAGATTATTTTGGATTATCAACCTATTACATGAAAAAAAAAAAAATTTACCCAAGAGGCGGGTGCTGATGAAAGATAGTTGGCTCTTCTGATTTCTACTGCTCTTCTTTTGTCTTTCTAATAGTATCCAGTTTTCATTTTAAAAAAACAAAAAATTTTTTGAAAAAAACAAAAATATAAAAATTTTGAACGATTAAAATTTGATGAGTACCATGATGTGAAACTCGTTCCACGAAATAGACGGAAACTTTATTTTCTTAGTATTTATTTTATATATACATGAATATTCGAACCACTTGATCTATTGGTTAATGTTTTTAATTTGATTTGCAAGACTGTCTTGTATATTGTTTCTTCTTTCCTATTGTTGGTTGCATGCATCTAGTTTTGATAACTTAAAAAACATTCTGATATACTATAAATTGATACTAATTTAATAATTGAACATTTATCATGTCAAATTTTAAGTATTTAAATATATGGTATCGGGGTTATAATACAAACTCTAATAATACAGTTCTAAACATATCACTTTATTTGTTAAATAGGATTTGACTTTGTGACTTTTTATTTTTGCTATAAATCACATGCTCATTATATTCTTTACGATGGATTTGAAATTATCACCTCATGTTTTAAATTACACATTTTCAATATCAAATATGACTCATATTAAAATATAACTCACCTTTGGTTATTAATTATAGGGAAAATATATTTGCCAATCCTCATAATTTGATCAGATTTTGAACTAGGTCCCTATAATTTTATTTCTTTTTATTGAATCCTTATAGTTAATTTTGTTAAATTCATCAGTCCTTCCATTAGTAAAAGTTGCAAATGCCGTTAATGTGAAGTGGTAGAGGGTGATCTGGCACTCTCTCTCTCTCCCATGTGGCTCTTCTTGTCATCTGTCTCTCTCATCTCTATAGGCTAACCACGATGAGTTCAACAGCGCCCAAATTTTCCCAACTCACAAGCTAAACTGAATCCCATATTTCCCCAACTCAGAAGCTGTGTTCTTCATGAGCCCAACCACGGCATGCTTTAAAGCTTTATAAACATGAGGACCCAGTCCTCCCATGACTTCGGCGATGCTCGACGTTGATATGATGCGCCCAGATTGCTTGGGTATCATTACTCTACCGCATGCTTGATTCCTGGAGCCACACCCTTCACGTTCACTCGCACAACTTTGTCAAACTGGTTGGCGCCGAAGTTGACAATCTTTTGTTCTTTGATTGATTCCCTAACACCTCAATATTATTGAAGATTATGTCAAGCTAGTCGTATGTGGATTTCACTAAGTTTTCCATGTCTTCTTTGGACAGTAGAAGAAGTGGCTGACGGAAATAATGCCTCTTTAAGTAGGGATCCAAGCGCATCTTCAATGTCGACGATCACAACTTTCACTCCTTCCTTCACTAACAGTCTTACCATTACTTCCCCTATTCCTCTCACTCCTCCGATCACTCTGGCCACTTCTCCTTCCAATCTGTAGAAAAATACAAGATTTGTGCAGAGAGTTTCAGTTCATTCTTTGGTTCTGTTTCATGATGCTTAAAACAGGAAAAACAGAGCATGTATGAACAGAGAAAAGAAATGAAAGGAATACCTTCTAGCTGAAGAGAAAGCACGGTCCTTTGCTGTGAGAGAGACACCCTGAAGATTTGGCTTAGGCACTACTTCGGCGACAATCATGGTTGATCTCTTAAATGGAGCTTCTTGTAATTGCGACCTCACAGACGCAGAGAGAGAGAAAAACGAGAGAAGATGGTAAGTGCTTGGAAGTTTTAGTTCAATTAAGGAGCGCCAGATTCGATCACATGACTTGATGTAAGACACTATATTGCTTCACCATTAGCGTAGAGGTAAACTTTTGAACTGCGTAAGTGCTTAGAAGTTGGGATAACAAGCGAGGTATAGGGATTATTAATGAGGGACTTCGTCTTTCTTTATTTAAAAGTTTTTCAATATACTCAGACTTCTGAACTTTTAAATTTTAAACAAAGCAGCAACTTGAGGGAGTCCTTCTTCACTCCTTTGTTGGGAGTTTGGGAGTGGTTAGCTTGGAGAGATGAGAGAGACAGATGATAGAGAGAGCAGCAAACTTGGTGTGTGTGAGAGTCCAGATTACACTCTATCCGTGTACGTTAACGACGTTTGCAACCTTTACTAACGGAAGGACTGATAAATTTTATAAAATTAACTACAAGGATTCAATAAAGAGAAATAAAATTATAGGGACCTAATTCAAAATCTGATCAAACTACAAGGACTGGCAAATATATTTTCCCTTAATTATACTCTCTCCTTTTAAAATTAAAAAGGCATTTCGAACTAACTTCTACCCTTGGACCAAAAAAAAAAGAACTAACTTCTACCCACAGATATAATGGTTAAGGTCATTAAAAATCGCATGCTCTTTCTACCGAACTAGCTTACATCCCAATAAGTCGGTTAATAGTATACATTTTTTTTTCATGTTTATTTTTTAATAGGGTGTTTCAGTCATTAAAAACTTAATAATTGCGATTTTTAATCAAGGAAAAATTTTCTTAATTAGATCTTAGAAGACAAAAACTATTTTACATTTGTAAACATGGGATTTAAAAAACATGTTTCTTCATTTTAGACGGAGGGCCGGAGGGGTATGAAAATAGGCCCCTCCCTCCATACTCCCAAGTGCGAAAGATTTATGTTCGGCCAATAGTCAACAGCCACGTAGCAGATGCCTTCTTCCCATAAGCGCTGTGCCTCGGATGTGACCAACGGAAACGAGCCACGTTTGTTTTTTTTTTTTTTGGGGGAATCATTAGCCATTCAAGGTTCAAGCTTCCATGACCCTGACCAAAAATGAAAAAAAATCTTCCACAATTGCTTTTTTTTTTTTTTTTAATTGCAAGCGAACACAAGATTTAGCCAACTGAGAAATAAGGTGGGAACTTCCCCTTACAAATAGGGTAAAATAATCTAGAACTGTGTCGTTATATTGCTATGTATTATTGGCCTTTCTTAGTATTAGTCGCGGGGAAGAAAGCTACTTAAATGCGTTTGCGAGGGGAGGATGTCATCAGTCATTTAGATGCCAATGTTTTTCTTGAACTCAATGGTACAACTAACCACCAGTTACATGATTTTTTAATTTGGATGTTTTGTAAAGAAAAGAAATTTCTTAATAGGCGACATGCACTTATTTTCAATTTGGTTCAATTGTAGAATAAATAAGTAAATTAAAATATTATTTTTCAATGTCTTTATTCTTCGAATAATTTTTAGTTCAAATGATATACTCCTCTGATCCTATGTATAGAGCAGAAAGAGAAGATATTTTTTTTGCCTTATTTATTGAGCACTGAGAGAAATTTTTTGTATTAATGTATAATTTTACTTCTCATTTATTATTGTGTTAATTTTGTTTACGTGAAATATATTATATATTAAATAGAGATAAAGTTGGAAAGTTATTTAATTTTAAATAGAAGTGAATAAAGTTTAATGTTTTTTTTTGCTTGTATGAAACATGCGAAAAGTACTTTATAAATAAAATCAGAAGAATAACAATTATAATGAATAATAATACTTAGGAAATAGTTAAAGTTAATATCGGTAAGAATTAGACAAGTAGATAGCCAACATAAATATGATGATTTGTAATTAAATAATAATTTGCTATAAATGAATATTTGTATTTAAGAATTAAAAAGACACCTATACAATCAAGTTTAATTAATATGAAATTTATTAAACTTACTATCAAATCAATTTATCGTACAAACCTTTTGGTCGTAAAAAGAAATATGAAGATGGATCATGGATGTTAAGAGGCTTTGAAAGGGCTTAACAAAAAAAAAAAAAAAGAACTGCACATTTATTCTAGTTTTGGCCGGGAAATGCTCAACTCGCTGGTGTTAGATCCTAGAAGGGGGCGAAGCTCGCGACTGCCTACCACGAAGTCCAAACACTACGATGAGGAAGTGGACGGTTCCTTCAGCTCTCCTTCTACTCTGTATACTCCTTCTCTTTGCCGATCAAGGTACTAGAGTTTTTAGATTCATTGATATCTTTGTCTTGTTTTTGAATACATGCTGTGCTTTTGAATATATACTGCCTTCCTTTTTAGAGCTACTTCATTCTCTTTGCTAAATACCTGGGCCTAAGCGTGGCTTAATCATTCGATCGGAGTTCGATTATCTGAGGCATTTGAAATGCGAATGTAATCGTGAATCCGCCTTGGTTTAGGTCGGAAGTTTCAGGCGAATGCCGAGGCTGATTCCGAAGGGCTTGTAGATCCACCGAAGGTGGAAGACAAGATTGGAGCTGTTCCAAATGGTCTTTCCACCGATTCTGATGTGGCCAAGAGGTTTTTTGAACTTGTTATGCATTAATATCAGTATTAATTTTATTTATTTTTTTGCTTTATATAGTTATTTCTTAAACGTATTTTATTGTGAGTGAAGGGAGGCGGAGTCGATCTCCAAGAGATCGCTTCGCAGCAACGCGGAAAAGTTTGAGTTCCAGGCGGAAGTGTCACGACTCATGGACATTATAATCAACTCCCTCTATAGTAATAAAGACATCTTCCTCAGGGAGTTGATCTCCAATGCTTCTGATGTAAGCTGTTTTCTTCTGTGATTATTTTATTTGCGAAGCCATCGCGTCAAATTTGTAACCTGAACTTGGTTTTAATGATAACTCTGCCAATCTAGGCACTGGACAAGATTAGGTTCCTCTCCCTCACAGACAAAGAGATCCTGGGCGATGGCGATAACGTTAAGCTCGAAATCCAGGTTAGTACGGTTAAATGCTCAACTTCGTGTTAACAACTGGAGGTTTGGGCCTTATACATTGAATGATGGCAATCTGACGCAATCACGACGTTAGTATTTTCTTGAGGTTGTCATGGGGCATGCATGGTTTGTACATTTTGTAGATCAAAACATTTTATGACGTGACAAATTGCAGATTAAGTTGGACAAGGAAAAGAAGATCCTATCAATTCGAGACAGAGGTATAGGTATGACGAAGGAAGACTTAATAAAGAATTTGGGCACGATAGCAAAATCTGGAACTTCAGGTATGTTATATGTTTTGTTGTCTTCTCTAATTTCTAAATGACTTTAGATGCAGAAATATGTTAATTGAAACAGCTTATCCATGCAGCTTTCGTTGAGAAAATGCAGACAAGTGGAGATATCAACCTTATCGGACAATTTGGAGTTGGCTTCTACTCCGTGTATCTTGTGGCTGACTATGTTGAAGTCATTAGCAAACATAACGATGATAAACAGTAAGTCTTTTGGATTTGAAATTGTTTGGCTTTCATTCCCAGCATTGCCAAGAAATTTGGTTCGCTTTCAGGTATGTCTGGGAATCCAAAGCTGATGGAGCATTTGCAATATCAGAAGACACGTGGAATGAACCGTTGGGACGAGGAACTGAGATTAGGTTACACCTCAGAGAAGAGGCTGGGGAGTACTTGGAGGAGTCTAAGCTGAAAGTATGCACAAGTTATTAGCTTAATCACTATTAATTACTCAACTATAACTTAAATTAATGCCTTTTAAATTATGTTTATTTATTTGTGTACATAGTCACTGAACAGGTGGTCTTTTTAAATTAAGGGTAATGACAACATATGGGCTGTGTAGGTATAGAAGCTGATAGTTTTTATCTTTCACAACAATTAATAATAGAGTTGTCTTCCCATGGCAGATTTTGTACTGTATTATAGTTTCTGCACCTCTTTTTGCCCTTCAGTATATTGTTATGGATTAAACAACTAGCCATTCTCTCCGTTGGCACTTTCCTTCTTGTTGCTCACCCATTTTTTAATTGTTATGATAATGGTTTTCTTGTAAGGTGAGTGCCTCAGTGTTTCACGAAGAGATTTGAGGCTAATTAAGGACTTGGGCTTGAATAAATTGTTGAGCTGGTTCTATTGAAGACTGAAGCATGACTCAATATTTATTCATTTAACAGGAATTGGTGAAGAAATACTCTGAATTTATCAACTTCCCTATCTATATTTGGGCAAGCAAAGAAGTTGATGTGGAGGTGCCTGCTGATGAAGAGGAAGAGGAAGAGGAACCATCATGTATGTAAAACTGAAAAACTCGGTCGTGTGATTTTTCTTTTGAAAACACTTGTTTTAGAATGTACTCTAGTGTTTGTCCATTAACTTGCGTATGTGGGTGTATTCTTTTCATATGCTGCTGTCTTTCTTACCTTATTTTGCTCCATAAACAGCTGAAAGCAGCTCCTCCAAGGAAGATGGTGGGGATGAAGATGCTGAGAAAAGTGAAGATGAAGAACAAAAGCCCAAGACAAAGACAGTGAAGGAAACAACGTATGAGTGGGAACTTTTGAATGATGTGAAAGCTGTGTGGCTGCGGAACCCTAAGGAGGTTACTGATGAAGAATACATCAAATTCTACCACTCTCTTGCCAAGGTATATTACCTACTTAATTAGCTATGGGATGTTAAAGGTGTTATAAGGGATTTTACTTCACCATGAAGTTGCTTAAGTAGTGAATTTACTGCTGTGCAGGACTTTAGTGATGAGAAACCTTTAGCATGGAGTCACTTTACTGCCGAAGGTGATGTTGAGTTCAAGGCAATACTGTTTGTACCACCTAAGGCTCCTCACGATTTATACGAAAGTTATTATAATGCAAACAAATCCGGCCTGAAGTTGTATGTTAGAAGAGTATTTATTTCAGATGAATTTGATGAATTGTTGCCAAAATACCTTAGCTTTTTGAAGGTATATACCTCATTGCTTTGTTACTGCTGCTTGTTACATTTTATGAAGATGAGTATTTTTCATTTTCTTGACATGTATATTTTGACATTGGGAGCAGGGACTTGTTGATTCTGACACCTTGCCACTTAATGTATCACGAGAAATGCTTCAACAACATAGTAGTCTAAAGACAATCAAGAAAAAACTCATCAGGAAAGCCCTTGATATGATTCGTAGGATCGCAGAAGAGGATCCTGATGAGTCCTCAGACACAGAAAAGAAAGGTATGGTGTGATTAGACTAATGCTTCAGTGTTCCAGCATCTGAACCCTCTTTTCTATTGGGATTTTCAAGTCTGTTCAACTCTTCTATGACTGGCAAAATACTAGCCTATCATGCAAAAGTTTGGGTTTATCTTCGCTTTGTTCAATGTTCCGAAGTGCTGTACAAGCCTTTGTTAAGTTTATTAACTTATTTTGCACTTTCACTGATGTTGGATGGTTGATGCAGACGAGAAGCCCCTGGAGGATGATCCGAAGAGAGGTCAATATACTAAATTCTGGAATGAATTTGGGAAGTCTATTAAACTGGGTATCATTGAGGATGCCGCCAACAGAAATCGTTTGGCTAAACTACTTAGATTCGAGAGGTTCCTTTCTTCATTTTCTTTTTGAAATTTTTCTGTGGGGTACTTTTGGCAACATGTTATTGATCCTGGTCACTTGTTGACAATTTAATCGAACTCTTGCAGCACCAAGTCTGAGGGTAAATTGACTTCTCTAGATCAGTATATCTCTAGAATGAAATCTGGACAGAAGGATATCTTTTACATTACTGGAAGCAGTAAAGAACAATTAGAAAAATCTCCATTTCTTGAGCGGCTTAAAAAGAAAAACTATGAGGTACTCATGATTTTTTGAAGTTTTTTTACCTAGTCATACTAGGATTTGTTATTCTTTCTCAAATTTGGAACACTTTTACCTTTCTATTCTGGTTTGAAGGAACATGATATCATGTCTTCTAAATGCACTAGTTTTTCAACTGCTACAGGTTATTTTCTTCACTGATCCTGTGGACGAATACTTGATGCAATACCTGATGGATTATGAAGACAAAAAGTTCCAAAATGTTTCCAAGGAGGGACTGAAACTTGGGAAGGATACAAAGACCAAGGAACTGAAGGAGTCCTTCAAGGATCTGACCAAGTGGTGGAAGAAGGCCCTTTCCAGTGAGAATGTAGATGACGTGAAGATATCCAACCGTTTGGACAACACACCTTGTGTGGTAGTGACTTCAAAATATGGTTGGAGTGCTAATATGGAGAGAATCATGCAATCTCAAACGTTATCAGATGCTAGCAAGCAAGCATACATGCGTGGCAAGAGGGTTCTTGAGATCAATCCCAGGCACCCTATCATCAAGGAGCTCCGGGAGAGAGTGGCAAACAACCCTGAGGTACGTTCCAGATTGAATTCCTCTAGCTGCTTTCAGTTGCTGATATATTTATCACATGATTATTAGTAATAATAAATTCTGCTTTTTATCAACCCAAAAAAAATATGCTTGTTGTCATTCACCTTGGGGGAAAAAATAGATTCTGCTTGTTATTATTGAATGATAGAGCTAAGCTCCCTTTTCTTTTTAATCTTCCCTGAATGTTGCAAAATAGTCTAATCTCCACTTTTCTTTTCTTTTCTTTTCTTTTTTGGTAAAAACTCTCCATTATTTATTTTAGAAAGGTCTCTACTGGGGCCAAAACCAAAAAAAGAATATTTTCAGTTCCTTCCCAATTTTTCTATTTGCCGTATGTATGTTACCATGTTTTCTCATCTGTGCATATGGTGATACAAAAGCTTAGCTCTACGTAGTAATTTTCAGTATTGGGCACCGGCACTCCTTTGTCCAATTTCATGAGTTACGTTCAATTTGCTTCTTTGTGGAATGATCGATTATGTAATTCTTGTCAATCCTTTTTCTAATACTATCAGCATTCCATGAGTTCTGTCATAAACTTGCTTTTGTTGGTAGCGTTAGACCCCATTGAAATAATAAATTTCCCCCCTCTTAAGCCACCGCATTGTGATTTGAATAGGAAAGTTGTCAAATAATACCTCCTGGTTTGTGGCCAGAGGAATTGAAGTTCCGAATTTGACATGACACATTTACTTGCCTTTCAGGATGAGAGCGTGAAACAAACGGCGCAGCTGGTGTACCAGACTGCCCTCCTTGAAAGCGGCTTCCTGCTAAATGACCCTAAGGATTTTGCCTCTCGCATTTACGATTCAGTGAAGTCTAGCTTAGACATCAGTCCTGATGCAACAGTTGAAGAGGAAGATGATGCTGCTGAAGCTGAGGCTGCAAGTGATGCAAAAGAAGCTGCCGCTTCTTCAAGGGCCGAAGATGATGATGATGATGTCAAGGACGAGCTGTAGACCTGCTAGGTGCCAAGGTGGACAGAACGACGAATTTCTATGACTCTGCCTTCCTTTTACTTTCTGATTTTTGGTTTAGCTTCTTGAGGTAAATCTTTAGAACCTTCCGGCATAAGTTTTGATTCCGCATAAAGCTGGTAAAATGAAGAGATTAGCCGTAAAATTGTAGTCACTGTTTATTTCGAAGTTATGCCTTAGTAAACTATTTCAGATTGGATACTGGTGCAACAGTGAATCGTCCCTGGCGTTTGTTTCTGATCATCAGCACCGAATTAGGCCAACCCCGCCCAACCCCACAACCACCACCACCACCACTACCCCCCCCCCCCCCCAAAAAAAAAGGGGGAAAGAAAATGAAAAAAGCCTGTGGGCTTTCGGGATGGAAATGGGATTCTGTGCGGTGCTCAGCAGCATCCGATTCCTTCATATCTCACATAACGCATGCGGGTATGTCCAATCAGAAGTTTTGGTTTGCTCTTGGAAATAAGATTCGTAAGGTTGTTGGGCTGCACCACGGTTAAAGATTTCAGTAGGCATGGGCTATGTGAGTAGTAAGCATGATGCTCGCATTTAGTATAGAACGAATATGATTACTTTCAATAGTACAATAGCAGAATATTTAAAGAAAAAAATGAAGTACGTACTAGGATTTTTGGGCGTGTCCCATGAGAATTTCTCGAATCAAAGTTCTTGCTAGACTTGCAGAGTTTAGCAAATGACCTCATGGCCTGCTACCAAATACATTTATCCTTTTTTTTTTTTTTGAAAAAGAACTTTTAACCGAAACACCAATCGGGAAAAGGGGACCTGTTCTTCACCTTATTCATCATCTTGCCCAGCTTTTGGAAAACACTATAATGACTCCTATCTATCCTTATAGTTCGTGGGGTTAAAAAGTTGATCGATGTTACTAGTAAGGCTTGAGGCAGGGTAAGCATTGATTGGTTTTATTGCACTGGAATCAGTTGGGTTTGAACATGAGCAACATGATTGAGGCAGCGTGGCGTAAAATTGCAGCAAGGTTGAGCGACCTACGAGTGCCCACCTCATTACTAAGATTGGAAGCCAAGCAAAGAAAGCACTCATTTTCCGGTGGGAGGTTCATCAGAACTCATGAGATCTCTTTAGAAATTTAAAATAAAGCAACATCATAATTATGGCGTCCTTCATTAAGTTAATAGAGTGAACGAAGCAAAGTAACACAAGGTCGACGAGTTGGAGGACACTACAATCAAATAGTTGGCATTCCATGGACAAATGTTCTTGTTTTATATAATTTAGAGATTAACTAAGTTTAATCTATTCCCACAATATTCGACGTTGTATATCATTAATGCCCATCAAATATTCTATTTTCTTCTCCTTTTCTGTCTCAATTTCTTTCTTTCAAGTCACAATTTACACCTTTTGATTTTCTAGTGTATTTCCAATTGCTTTTACCTTTTCGGGGTCAGACATCTCTACGTCGATGTTGATTGATTATGCTTTCGTGCAAGACCTCTTAACTACGCTTGAAAGCTTCATATGGCCACCCTAAAAATGAAATCCTTATAATTCATTCGATTATTTGTTATCACGCATGGTTCTTATTTTCACTTTTTTTTTTAGCAAAAAAAAAAAGTGTAGGGAATTGTCCCAACTTGTGACTTCAAGTTCAAGACAGTATAACGTTGTTCACCTACCTAAAGTATCTTGACTACTGTAGGGGGAACAGCCCGTTTTCAAATGCTGTATTGGATATGTTTTAAGGTTTCTCGTCGCATTTTTTTCTCCTATGACTTTTCTTCACATGCTTACCTAGAGCCAAGTTTCAACTTTCAAAGAATCTCCCGGCATTGTGCTCTCTGGAAGGAAATGTTTTATTTTGTTGGCCACAATAAATTTTTTTCTCACTTTAACAAAGCGTCTAAAATCAAGGTAAAGATTTGTATTAACACGCGCGCACATCATATTTTGTTAAAATGTCATAAATAAACAGCCAGTGTAAAACTTCAAGAAATAAACTAAAATTTTGAATTAATTATAATTTTTATTTTTCTGTATTTATCATATTTTATAATATTTATTTTAATTTTAATTTGTGAAATTTTCAATTTTGTAAAAAAAAATAAATAATATCAACTAAAATTGTTAAAACCTGAGGCGTCAAAGTCAGGATGGCCGAGTGGTCTAAGGCGCCAGACTCAAGTTCTGGTCCTCGTGAGAGGGCGTGGGTTCAAATCCCACTTCTGACATGTTATTCCTTCATTTTACTTTTGGAGTGTGCCTTACGCCACGGGGGGCCCAGTTAAAAAAATAATGATCTGAATTCTGGATCATTTGGAAACCCAGTAAAGAATTGGCTGTGTTTGGTAATTTGGTGCATGTGATTGTCAGAACGGTTAAAAAGGCAAGAGGAGACACGAGAGATGGGACACAACTTGATCCACTGGTAGTATTTAAATATGATTATATATGCACCCGTATTTGCCACTTGGTACTGGTAATTCTTGTTTTTGACCAGTTGGTACTGGTAATTCTATATAAATCATGGTAGTCATGACATATTACACACCCACTCTGAATCCGATTACTCATAAATTGGCTTTCACAAACCACACCGCTCCTAACAATTAATACTATATTCCCCCATTAGAATATGTAATCCTCTCACATCACAGAGTGGGAATCTACTAGGTGTTGGGCTCATCTGGCATCAAGTCAACTTCACGTGACTCATTTTAGGGCCATAGTTTCACATCACGTGGCTCATAATTGAGAGGTCAAACCACCATACATCAAGCAGCAGGTGGTAGCAGATGAGGCGGACACAGAAGACCATCATCCATGATCCATGGCATCCAATGAACGGATGACGCAATTATATAATAGTCCTCTAGTCCTAAATATAAGATTCATTTTATAATACAATTTACAATATAAGATGGGTCTTATATTTAGAACCGGGGAAGTATAATCTCATTTTCATTTTTGAATTCAATGATTCAATACCATCCAATAATTCAACCATAATAATAGTAATAATTAAAAGCAGAGAATAAAAACGGCTTGGTTGTGAGACATTGGTGACTTTCCACCATTCAAAAATGTCGCCAAGGGTGCACTACAGTTACCGATGTGACGTCAATAAAATTAAAAGTGACCCAAAGATGTTGATCGCTGCCTGCACCCAAATTGGCCCATACCATTATGTCCCATCAAAAAAGCATGCTTCCTGATGGATTAGTCCAAACACTAATCACACCTTATCGTTTCGTTTTGCCCTTAATGCCATAAATAATTCAATCCAAAAGTGAACTAACGAATCGATGCTTCTCTAGTCATCTGATTTACGTTTTAGTTTTTTAGAAGGAGAGTCGAAAAAGTACTCAATTCTTTTTATTACGAATCATTCTTATAACTGCTCTTTTCTTACTAATCCATCATGGGAGCTTAATTTATGTTATCCGATCTTGCGTGGCTCATTTTTCCCCATCGCTGCCGACAAAAACTATAGCGTATACAATGGGGCAAATTGAGCCGTAATGTGAGGCATTTCACGCCACATGTCCGCTAAAATACCATCTCATCTCGTCTTTTAATGGAGTCATACATTCTCGAATCAATAAAATAAATCCCATCGCCCGCAGTATTATACTCCATATATATATATATATATATATATATTAGTTCCGGTTCTAATTATAAGAGTTACTTGATTAATTTAAAAAAATTAAAAAAGTAAGTTGAGTTAGTTATTTATTCTAAATAGATATTATTTTTCTTAAAATATCTTTACTGATCAAGTGTATTGACTAAAATTATTATTATTAGAAGAACTATTTTTAAAAAAAATAAATATAAGAGACAAAGTATATTGGAGTCTTACAATTAAAACCAAAATAAAAATCAAACAATGTTTTATATTAAGGATAGGAGGTAGTATATAGGTAATTATATATCTAAGCTGGCAAATATATATTAAAAGCTAGAAATGGGAATAAAAAAGGAATAATAAAATAAACTAAAATGAATACCCTCTCTCTCCCACCCTCGCTTTCGCTCGCCTCATGATCGTACTCTGAGTATGAATTTTTTTTTTTTTTTTGGTACAACCCTGAGTATGAATTGTTTTTTAGCCTTGAGGAAGATGAGGCGTCATAGCCGAATTGACGAGTGAGCATGACAGGCAGTGTCGTCACTCGTGGACCCTCACAGAGCCTTCTAGGCCCATGCTGCCCAACTGATCAAGATAATGAATGTGTGGTGGGCCGGGCCGGGCCGAACAAAACAAATATTATTTGTTTGTTTTTGGAAAAAAATGAAGGAGCTGAGAGATCATCCTGGGTTCACACCTCCACCTCCTGGTATAACACTGTTGCTTCTACTCCTACTATTGTACATGTACTCCGATGACGAATTATTATTTGGCTGGATGGAATCAGAATCCCCAGAGGGACACAGCTACAGTGATTATGCCGGCGAGGATTTGGGATCGGAACACGTGGATGCACGTGGAGGCTGACATCAAGCTTTGATCAAAAGCAGCGCCTTCATACACCATGGGGCTGTTTGTGTCCACCGTCGTCGGCGAGGTCGGAGCTTGCGGAGGAGATGGGCTGTCCGTGTTTTGCCCTTGCGACGCTTTCTGGCTGCAATTCACACATCACCACCAAATTACATTCACTTCATGTAACTCATTATCTACCAACACACAAGTCGCAAATAGTTTTCCTTTTCTTTTTTATCGCTTTCCAAACAAATCAATGCCATTATTATAACGTTATGAAATCCACCACCGATCAATAACGTTTCCCCAGAAAGGAAATGGAAGCCATGTGCATCTTATTCTATTTTAATCATTCTCTAACTCCAAGTAATGTCATCTTATTGAGATTCGAGAAAAGTACTACTGTGCATCTCCCCCTCTGGTAAAGAATAAGATCCCTGGCTCTGATGGGCCCAGGAACATATGCTTAAAAACCAAACAAAATGTACTGTGCATTAGCTAATAAAAAGGTTGGGCCGCTGAAAGAGACAGAAACCAAAAGTGTGGATGAATTACACACAAACGTTCATATTTATTCCGATTTCCCAAACGAGGCTTTTTGGTGATAAGGTTACTTTTAATGAGTTAGTTAGTCCGGTCCTAAATATAAAATTTTTATATTAATATGTATATGTATCAAGATTTTATATTTAAGACAGGATGATTAATTACTTATTAAAATGAATAGCAATTGGAGGATGAGGAAATGAATCCAACCTGGTGTTGGGTGACGGACAAAAGGTGATCGTATAATCGGCAGACGCACATGTGAACGTGCTTGTTTTGTCGTCGTAGGCGTAGCTGTAGGCGCGTGGGCACGCCTTCTTGAATATCTGCGAGTATGACGACGGCTTGCAGGTGTTCGGAGATCCATACGAGCCGCTGCAACAGTACTGCGGCGAGCCGAACGCTTCGCACGCGCTCTTGCACGCCACCCCTTCCGTTCCGTCCTCGCTCATCACCTTTAGCTCTGAAGGGCATGCGCCGTTCAGATCCGCCACACACCCTGTGTTCGTGCAGTTGTCACCGGAGCCACCTTGCGGAACCACCATCATAGGTACGTTGTATCCGTCTACCAAGCTCACATCGAAGAAATCAAGCCCTCCCGCTCCATCTAAAGTGAATTCCGCCAACGTCGCCGGCGGAGAGGCCCCTTTTCCTCCGCATTCCAGTCTCCCGGAGCCACAGTCACCTGTGACACAGCTAAACTTGCCGGTGGAGTCTTGGGAGCATTGAGTTCGGCCCCAGAAACGGCCACCCCAAGAAGTTGGTGTGGAGATGGTCTTTGACTCGCCGGTCTGAAGAACAAAACCAGTGGAGGGAAGAGGAGAAACTCCGGCGTTTGAAAGAATGCCCGGCCAAACTGTGTAGCCACATTTGTTAACTATGGTGAATGTCGTTGAAGAAACCCCTGCAAATTGTATTCCCGAGATATTACATTAAACCATATCTGAGCTGACAAGAATATAAACGAAATCAAAAATTTGTTTCTTCAAATCTGATGTCACCACAGTCAAAATTACCTGACACGGATAAGTGAAGTGTTAGCAGTAACGAAAATAATAGTGTTAGCTGTTCCATATATTTGGATGAGAAGAAATCAATCTTGTTATGAAATAATGAATGTAGAAGAGGATAGTGGCTAATGGAGTAGAAACCAGTTCTATCCTAATTCTTCTTCTCTATGGCAGTTAGGGGGATGATAGGTTGAGTGGTGAGGAAATTTATAGACACTTAGACAGAAAAGCATTGGGCCGAAATTGTTTTTGTATTTTACCAAAATTTTCACTTGGCCACTTGGGGCCCCAGTGGACGTCTGAGTTCTACGGTTCGTTAAAAAGCCTGGCCGCCAGAGTAACGGTCAGAACTCAGTAATTGAATACTATCTAATATTTATTAGTATTCCGATTCTTAATATAAGACCTATTTAACTAATTTGATTAGATTAAAAAAATTAGGTAAATTAGTTAATTATAAAAAATGTGACACGTTTTTCCTAAAATACCATAATCATCTTTCTTAATATCTCCTCTTTCTCTTCTACTTGATTATGATTGAGGGAGTATCCATATGGGTAATTTAGAGAAAATTGAAAAATATGATAAATGGGTCTTATATTTAGGACCAAAACTAACTCAACAATTGGATCCTATATTAAGGATCAAAGGAGTATAAGATTTTGTTTAACTTTTATTTTGATTCTAAATATAAGATCCTAATTTACTTTATCTCTCATATTTATGTTTTTTTTCCAAGATAGTCATTCAAACAATAATAGTTCTAACCAATACACTTGATTAACAAGGATATTTTAGAAAAGATAACACATATTTATTACACATAACTAGCTTAACTTCTTTTCTTAATCTCCTCAAATTAGTCAATTAGCTCTTATAAATAGGACCGAAAATAGTACTTTATAATTTTTATACTACCCTCCTTAATATAAAAACTAGTTGACTAATTTAAGTAGATTGAAAAAATTAGTTAAATTAGTTATTTATAATAAATAGGTGTTGTTTTTTTTTAAATACTACCTCCGATCCTAATTATAAGAGCTAGTTGATTAATTTTAGGAGATTAAGAAAACAAGTTCAGTTAGTTATTTGTAATAAATAGATGTTGTCTTTCCTAAAATATCCTTGCTAATCAAGTATATTTGTTAAAACTACTATTATTAAAAGAACTACCTTAAAAAAAATAGATAAATATAAGAGATAAAATAAATTGGGATCTTATATATAGGACCAAAATAAAAGTCAAACAAGGTCTTATATTAAGGATCGAAGGCAGTATCTTTATTAATCAAGTATATTAATTAGTACTGCTATTATTACAAAGACTGTCTTAAAAAAATAAATATAAGAAATAAAATGAATTAAAATTTTATACTACCTCTGGTCCTTAATATAAGACCTTGTTTGATTTTTATTTTGGTCCTAAATATAAGACATCAATCCACTTTGTCTCTCATATTTATGCATTTCTTCATATGGTAGCCCTTCTAACAATGGTAGTTTTAACCAATATACTTGATTAGCAAGGATATTTTAGGAAAGATAATACTTATTTATTACTAATAATTAACTTAATTTTTTTCTTAATCTTTTTAAATTAGTCAATTAGTTCTTATAATTAAAATCGAAAATAGTATTTTAAAATAAAATGAATTCTTATATTAATCACGAGAGAGAGAGAGAGAGAGTAGTTAACTAACGTTCTTCCCTTTCCCATGTTTTGTTGGTTTTTGGTGATCTGCCCTTGAGTTTGGTAAATCATAGGACTATTACCCACGCCACACAAATGGAGAACGAGTTTCTCACTCTCTTGCCATTAACGATGGACATGGAGCCCACAACGTTGAAAAGGGTGTTAAATTTTCAATGAACTTTCACAGCACCCCGCACGCGCAGCCTCTCTCGCAACCCTTTTTCTTTTTCTCCTCCTTTGCTTTTCTCCACCCCTATCGCGACATTGCTGACATGAAAAATTATTTATAGCTGCTTTTTTATATCAAGTAATTATAAGTACGTTTGTGTAAGTAAAAAAAAAAAAAACTTCCTTCACAAGTTTGTTTCATATTTTGTAAATTATAATTAAAATTTCAGAACATATATATATTGGAGATTAAAAATTGCACGGGGATTATTTATGTTTCATGGTCAACCTTGTGAACATGAATTCTTATAATTTCTTAACCTGTCATGGATTATTATAATAAATAAATAAGAACCCCGTAGTTTTGGCAATGGGGATGATTTGTTAGAACAGTTGAGGATAGCCTCACCTTCCCGAAATTGCGGTGTGGAAATTCCTGGCGTTGTTGAACTATTTCCAATTCCATCGTACTTTCTGGGGAATTAGGCTTTCTTTTCCTTTTAGTCACACCAGAAAACAACAACTCGATCGGAGGATATGAATCTCTTTTGAAAATCCATGGCCCTTAAAAATATCTATGAGAAATAACAGGCGAGTTTACAAATATCTGGCTTTAATATAATTTGAAATCAGCATATGACTTGAATCTTTGAAGGTAGATTCTGATCAGGGTCTATTAAGCTCTTGTTATTGTCTTTCTCTGATGACACCAGGCATATAAATTTCCTTAAGTAAGGACTCTTCGTAAAATATAATTCCTTTTTAATTTTTAATGACATGTTAATTTAGATGTGCTTTAATCATATGAGCATATGGTAAAGTGTCTGCATCGGAGATTATCATCAAGCCATATCATTCACAATCGAGTTATTAATAAGCAACTATAACAATGATTGGAGTGGCTGGGTGTAATCTAATATGCAAGAATGTTTCTCATGCCGAGCATGATGATTAGTTTATCTCAGTTCTGTCTTTTTCTTGGTTGACTAGACTGTTAATTAAACAATTGATTTTAATTTTCTTGTTAATAAACGACACAGATGAGGATTTTCAAGGCCACTTCCTCAGGTATCTCGATTAAATTTTGTCTAAGATTGATAATAGAGAAGAAGAAGAAAGACTGCTACATTCGTCCGATTACACCAAACAGAAAAGTATAGGGTCTCATACTCATATGTTGAGCTATAACAAACAAGTATAATGCTAGATATACTCGTTTGGTCAGGTGACCAGACGAGTATATTGGACCTATACTGGACCAGACGAGTATATTGGGCCCATATTGGACTAGACGAGTATCCGGTCCAAATACTCTATAAACCCCCTAAAAGTTTAATTTAATGCATCGAATATGATTCATCATTGCTTATACATTATTATCCTTTTGTCTCTTCTTTTGGTTGACAAAATCGGTAATTAAATGACTGACTGATTTTTGTTATTAGTTAATTGCACAAAAAGGAATTTTCCATGTCATAGAAGAGGTTCAGCCAAAAAAAAGTGTCATAGAAGAGGATTTTCAAGGCCATTTCCTCAGGTGTCTCAATTAAATTTTGTTTGAGAAGTGAGTCCCGCTGTGTGTCTGTGTGGTGTGAAGAGAAACTCTAACTCCTAAAAGCTTAATTTAATGCATCGAATATGATTCATCGTGGCTAATACGTGATCATCCTGTAATTAAATATATATATATATATATATATGTTTGTGCACGGATGTATGATTGATTTATCACGATTTTGTCTCTTCTTTTGGTCGATAAATAATCGGTAATTAAAAGGCTGATTAATTTTTCTTACTCCCTCCGATTCAAAATACTTTTTTAGTTCTATTTATAAGACACTGTCAGAATATTTCACACAAACAAAAAAAACCTTAAACTGTGTTAACTCTGTCTTAAAACATAACAACTTTTCAATTTTATCCTTATGTAATACTTTAAAAATAAAAAGAATAAAAATATTAAATACTCTATTTACATTTATTGATGGGTGGAAAGAATTAAATAACATCGCATCCTGCACTGATAAACACCGAACTTAAATGCCTTAGTGGCCCTTAATCAACCAATCATGTTTTAAGACAGTGATGTGTACGGATTGGTGGTCCTATGTAAAACAAAATTTTATACTCTGCGTATGAACGCGAATGTGGCGTGGGAAGTGTGAAAAATCTCTTTAAAAGATGGCGGCTTCACGGTTTGAAATAATTTCATGCCTACACGTTATAGTGAATCCTCCACAACCAAGTCATATACTCCACCTCTATTTAAAAATTCATGATCTTTGTTCGTGTCACCATGTGAAAGGAATTAGATGACTGGAGTTTTTTTTTTTTTTTCCCAGGAGTTAGAACTAACGGCATCGAAAGAAAAGGAACAGAAGAGGTGAATAAAAAGAGAGACAGAGGAAGTGGAAAAGATGAATAGAGCAAGAGAAAGAGAGAGCCAATGGAAAAGACGGGAATAATGGCATTGGAAGAAGACAAAATCAAAGGATACTTAGCATTGGAGAAAGGAACGAAGAAAATGTACAAACTATGCAAAGGGAGCAAGTGTTAGAAATTTAATAAGGACAATTCTGTACATCTACGTCAAGAATTACATTAGGTGCCCTGTACAAAAGACCAAAATTTACACACTTTTTTTATTCTATAAATAGTACCTGAGGAATATAAGTTAAGTTTTATTAGAGGGGTTTTTTTTAATAAGATAACAGTTACTTCTGTCTAAGTATTTAATGAGTTTGTTTCAATTACTCAAATATATTCTTTTTCCTCTTTAATTCATTTATTACACCTTTTACTTATTATCTTAATTAATAAGAATATATTTGAATAAAAAATACATGCCTTATATCTTTATTGTTTTAAATGAATTTTAACTGATTTCTTAATATATGTAAATAGATGGAGTTTATTTTATATTTTGAATTGGAGGGAGTATTAGTTAATTGCACGGAAGGGGATTTTCAATGTCAGTGTCATGTATCCATTTATAATCAAGCGGTCACGTCTTATTTAATTTTGCGGATATGAACAAAAAAGAAAAATTGCTGACCCATGAACTTTGCTTGCAGAGAAGCTCCACTCATGTATTTATTTTCTTGCGTCTAGCTAATTCTATTGACTTAAAATTAATTTCACATTGTTTATTAACTTATAATTTTGAGGTATTAAATCTATAACACGGTCACTTACACGTTATTCTTCTGGCTTAACTTATTCAATTGTCTAATGTAAACACTCGTCCATTGTAAAGTTTCTTTGTCTTCTTACTAATATTTTCGCGTCAAATTTTCATACTTGTATTTGAACTTGATTTCATTAACTTGTTTTAGGAATAGACAATCCATAAAATTATGATATGAAAATACAGATAAAATGCAGAAAGAATGATGCTTCATTCCGCACCCTAATTTTCCAGTTAATTTACCTGTTTGAGCATCTACAGGGAATTATGTTAACACCCCCAAGATTTTTTAACACGAAAGGGTGAAAAAAAAAAAAACAAACGCAGAAGAAGAAATGAATAGTGATCAGTCACGCCTCGCGGTGTCGTTTATTTACCGCACCAGTGCGCTTAAGGGTGATAGTCGAAACTTATTTATTTAATTCAGGTAAAACAAAATTAATTATTTGATTAACTTAATCATGACCTAGTTCCTGTAATTTTAGCTATCTAAAACATTACTTTTCTTCAAGTTTCAATAGATAATTTTAGTAATTTAGTTATGTAACTTTTTCCCTCAAAACACAGAAATCAATATTTTAAATAATTAACTGTGCTGTACCGATTTTAAAGGCTAATGAATTGTGCTTTTTATTTTTTATTTTTACTGTAAGATCTAATTAACTAATTTGAGTAGGTTAAGAATATTAGTTAAATTAATTAATATAAAATATTTTATCTAAAACATTCTAAACATCTTCTATAATTCGTTTTCTTATTTTTCTACTTGAATATTGTTTAGAAAATATTAATAAAATTAATTTTAAAAAAATAATAAATTTTACATATGATAGAATTAATATCAATTTTTTTAATAAACCACTGAATTTTGTAAGCTTACTAAATTATAGGAAAAATGACAGAGAAATAATACTTAAACTTGGAAATATCAAAATGGTCACTTGAATTTATAAAATCCCAATTCAGTTACAAATAACTAATTTGACATTTATAAATTTGTTGAAATGACTATATTACCTTTTATTTTATTTATTATTTTTTAAAAAATCAAAACTTCCATTAGCCGGCCGGTCACTAAATCTTCAGTGACCGGCTGACAATTGGTCGCTGAAGCTCTGGTGATGGTCACTGTCGTTGGCACCGGAGCTCCGGTGACCGGCCGGCTAGTAGAGATTTTAGTTTTTTAAAAAACAATAAATAAAATGAAAGACAATATAGTTATTTTAGTAAATTTATAAATATCAAATTAGTTATTTGTGATCAAATTGAGATTTTATAAATTCAAGTGACTATTTTAATATTTTTCCGTTCAAGTATCATTTTTGTGTCATTTGACTGAAATTATAACCGTTAAGATAGTAAATAAATAAAAACAAAACAAAACGCGCGCGGAGGCACAGAGACGTAAACAAAAAGATGGAGGTCCCACTGAAGGAAGGACGAGCATGAAAAGACTCGGGTTTCGTCACAAAGCTCCCAACCTTTTGAATAAATTAAAATCATAATATCATAAACATCATTATAATTTGTAATCCTCGATAAAAACTTATGCATCAAATAATAATTATGTCGAACAGCTGTCCTCCTTATTAAACCCAATACGACCTCATCTTATCCCCATCCTTTTCAGAATAAAGTAACAGCAACAACGTTTATGCTTCTAAATATGAAATAAGCACGTAAAAAAAGTTTTATCCCGTTTATGTAAAAGTGTTCACAGCCACTTATGATAAGCAAGTCCAAACAAAGATGCCCTTCTCTGCATAAATTAAATCGCATCAAATTTGCCCAAACAAATTTAATGCATAATCTGCAGTGTTATGGTGAATTCTGCAGCAATTTTCTGGGGTGTTATAGCAGCGAGATTCGAGGTTTTTCTTTGTCGTGGTCCTTTTTCCCGTGGGAAAGTGGGGAAGTTGATTACGTGCTATCAGTGAACAAAAAAGATTCCTGCAAATAATTGATACCCCAGACAGAAGAAGAAACTTGAGCTTCAAGCTTTCAATAAAATACACACACGTGAGCTGGAAAACCCTCTGTGATTGTGTGGGTGGCCGACCTACACACGACTTGACAACAGACCATCACTCAAATTGAAGATAGCCATCGTTGAAAAACTTGAAAACTTGCAACTCCTTCCCACTTTCCCCCAACTTCCTCCAAATTTAATATGTATAAATCCTGGTCAGACACCACGCCTGAAATATTAATATAAGAAACTGATGAACTATATGCCGACTCACACAGTCCCATTATACTTAAATGGATTAGTTTTTGTTCTGACCTTCTTGAAGCCCAGGAATGTATCAATAATGTGTCTTTAATAACGAGTCTCCCTTCCAAGACAAGATAAACATGTATTAATATTAGCTTGGATCATTAATTGGTGACTTTCACTTGCATCTTACATGTTTAATTTGGTACTTTCCTAATTTTTAATGTAAGAGTTTTTTTGACTAACTTAGAAAGCTTAAGAAAGTCCTATTTAAGGATCAAAACAAGCTTACTAGCTCCTATATTTGGAATTGGTAAAGTAGCATTTATTGTGTAAAATTTTTCTATCTTTAAGGTCTATCGTTCATCCCAGTACAACTCATCCTCCTGCATATGATGAGAACAGCCATACTCCAAAATGGGCATCTAAGAATTTGAGAGAAGAAGCGCAATTTTAAGAGTCATTTCAGGGGTGTTCCTGCCGTGAGCCGTCCTCCAACAATATCAACTTGTGTAAATTATACTCCCTTGTTTTACTTATAGGTAGAAGATAAGACATTTTTTAGTACTATTTATATGACACTGAGAGAAATTTTTATATGGATGTACAGTTTTATCTTTGTTTATATGTAATATATACTACCTCCAATCCTAATTATAAGAACTAATTGACTAATTTGAAGAAATTAAAAAAAGAAGTTAAGTTAGTTATTTGTAATAAATAGGTGTTGTCTTTCCTAAAACATCCTTATTAATCAAGTATGTTGGTTAAAACTATAATTATTAGAAGGACTATCTTGAAAAAAATTGAGTAAATATGAGATATAAAATGGATTGGGGTATTATATTTAGGACAAACATAAAAGTTAAATAGGGTCTTATATTAAGGACCAGAGGTTGTATTAAATAGGGATAAAGTTAAAAAATTGTTGAATTTTAAATGAGAGTTAATAAAATTGTTAGTATGTACTACCTTCGGTCCTATTTATAAGAGCTAATTGACTAATTTGAAGAGATTAAGGAAAGAAGTTAAGTTAGTTATTTGTAATAAATAAGTGTTGTCTTTCCTAAAATATTCTTAATAATCAAGTATATTGGCTAAAACTATTATTGTTAGAAGGACTATCTTGGAAAAAAAAAAATATAAATATGAGAGACAAAGTGAATTGAGATCTTATATTTAGGACCAAAACAAAAATAAAATAAGATCTTATATTAGAAACCGGAAGTAGTATGAAATATATTAAAGATAATTTATAAATAAGGCTAGAATGGTATAAACTAAGCTTCCAATTATGATTGGAGATCACATGGAGATGATGAGGAAAGGCGTGGTGATGTGAATGTGTGAAATCTACTAGTGGCATTACGAGCGTAGCAGATCGCTATTTGATTGACGCTGAGCTTTTGTAGTGTCCAACGGTGACAAAATTCCCTCCCCCAATGAATGCTCACCTGCCCTACGTGCTATTATAGAGAGCCTCTTTGCCAGCTTACAAGCTTGCGTCACACTTAATTAAAGACTCTTTTTAAGCATCCCTACATGCCTGCGAGCCAATGAAATAATGCGTAATATATTAGAGATTTATTTTGGATAGCCATGTTCCTCAACTTGGAACATCACAAGTTGCCCTCGAGACTTGCAGGCAGCTTGCCGGTTAAGTTGTCATTTGCTAAATTTCCATATCACAAGTTCTAGTTGGCAGACAAGAAGGGGCCCCCAGAAACGGAAAAAAAGGACAAGTTCTTGAGCACTTCAAAAGGGCTTACTACGCATTGCCATTTTTCTCTGGGTTTAAATCATACCTCGAACTTTAATTTCATGCAGGTCCAAATTGCTTGGCCCATTTGCGCTAGGACGGTCTGGGCTGCTTTTTGGTTGTTCATAGGTAGTTGTCTGGTATTTTATGTATTGTCCCAAAATCAAAAGGTATTTTATCTATTCTCTTTCACTTTCATCCCCTCTTAATTTATTTCAGAGAAATTGCATAGGTCTGTTTCCCCTCTCTTGTTGCGTCACTTGATAGAAAATATACTCTTTTGATCTTATTGATAAATCACTTTCAACATCTTTCACTTAAACGAATAAAGATTTTAAATTTCATTAATTCTTATTTAAAACTCAATAACTTTTTAAATTTATCCATGTTTAATATATAATATACCTCATGAATATATAATCAACGTAATAATAAATAAAAGGTAAAGTTATACACTCATATAAAAATTTTCTTTCTCTATCTTATAAATAGAACCAAAATTTTTTTTCCTCTCAACATGCCTTATGAATAGGACAAGAAGATTATCAACTTTCAATTAAAGTTTAACTGCTGCTGGCATTGATTGACCCCGAGAAAAAAGCAAATTTCAATAGATTATTGTTCTGTTCTGTTTGCTCATAAGATTCAAGACCTTGTATTATAGAGAATTACGTTCTCTAATGCTCGGATTAAAGAGCATGTACAAATTTTAAAATTGGTTTTCTTACTCTCAAGGAACCTCTCATATCTGATTATTATCATTATTTCATCAATTAATTCCCAAAACGATTTCGACTTTTGTAAGAGATCTTGGCTGGGAGAAGGAAATTGGGGTTCCAAAAGGCAGCTGTTAGCCTGTTATTATCATCATGCGATATGTCCTAAACGCAAAGTGCGGGATGACGAGATGCGTTCGGATTTACATCCCACATCGGCAAAGATAGCACCAGCTGATGGACCTGGCTCCTATAAATATGAAACACGAGCAACCTTACAAGCATGATCCTTCAGGCAGTAAAAGGGGATATGAGGAGTGGTCGGCTCTCGCTACGTTACTGCGAGTTGGGTGTCCGCCCCAAGCCTGGTTACGACAACCTGGGCACTCTCCCTTTAACCCATCTGATCCCTACTCTGAAGGAAACGAAAATAAAATTTTATATTTTTTCGTATTTTTAATTAATATTAAGCTTCAGAATGCGCTATTTTCAAAACTCAAGGTACTTCGTGTTATGCTGATCAACCATGACTTTTCTACCACAAGCAATCAAAATACTGCGACAAAAATACATCAAGAAAAGCCCAAGTGACCAGCCGTGATGTTGGGCTGTTACACGAAAACAAAAATCATTCTAATATCAAGCACTCCGGCTCTAGCAATTAGCAAATTGAGATGCAGCAGTTGAACGAGACCATTTCCACAATTTTCCGAGCCCAAAGAAGTGCTCTAAATAAGAATTGTAATATAAGTAATATTTTTTTAAAAATATTTTTTTACTAATTAAGTATTTTATTGATTAGAATTATTATTATTAGAAAAACTATTTTCTTAAAAATAAATAAATATAATAAAATAAAATCTTATATTATTAAAAATAAAAATAAAAATAAAATGAATACTTATATTACAGACCAAAAATAATATTCCTCCGGTCCTTATTATAAGACCCAATTTGATTTTTTATTTGGTCCTAATTATAAGACCCAATCCATTTTCTCTCTTATATTTATGCATTTTTTCCCAAGATAATCCTTCTAATAATGATAGTTTTAGCCAATATACTTAATTAGCAAGGATATTTTAGGAATAACAACACTTATTTATTATAAATAACCAATTTAACTTACTTTCTTAATCTCTTCAAATAAGTCAATTAGGTCTAATTAAAGGAGTATAGTATTTTATTTTTCAATTTTAAATAAATCACTATATAGCGCGGCCCAAACACGAAAGAATGCCTTCAAGGGGTAAACCTTGTCGTCCTGCATATTTATCCATTTTACATCTAAATTCCTGTTGCCATTTTTCAGTTCACATAATTGATAACTGTGTCCGGCCAAAAAAAAATTGATAATTTTGTGTGTCAAACTCCGCTTATAATTACTGACGCACAGAACAGATAACATCATAACATAAATAGCGCACACATAAACACCACAGGTTCACAGCCAGCCTCTCCTCATAAATATAATATAAATATTTTCAGACAAATTCATATTCTCGCGTCTCTATTAATATTTCTTCCCCCACAAAACACAGTAAAGACGTAGTTTTTTTAAAACCAAAAAGGAGTCGTCATCTAAGATGGTTATTACTACAGTATCCCTACCACTTAACACACAGAGACCCCATAGGGGGGGGTGGACAGGGACGACTCTGTTCTGTTTTTTCCGGTAACGAAACAGAGAGTCAGGGACCCATTTATTGCATGAACTATGTGATCACATTCCGACCGCGAACCCACGTACTTCATATCTATCTTCCCCCTCCGAGGTGAGAAAACGGAGGAAAGATGCCATCGCGGTTCTAGCTCTCTAGCTCTTTATTTGATATTTAAACAGCTAAGGCTACCACCTCAAATATTTGATATTTAAACAGCCAAGGCTAATATCTCAAACTAAAGTCTAAAAGCACCAAAGTGGGTCTAGATTTCATACAGTGCGAGGAAGTCTTATTCTACTACCGGAATTCAGGCTTAAGAAAGTTGGCCGCAGTCGGCGATTACGACGGGCTTGGAGGTCCTGCCGGAGGAGGATCCAAACTGCTCGATGGCCTTCACCACATCCATGCCCTCCACCACCTGTCCAAACACCACGTGCTTCCCATCTAGCCACTCCGTCTTCGCCGTACAAACGAAGAATTGAGATCCGTTGGTGTTGGGGCCTGCGTTGGCCATCGACAATATTCCAGGTCCAGTGTGCTTCCTTACAAAATTCTCATCTTCGAATTTCGCTCCGTATATCGATTCTCCACCGGTTCCATTTCCGGCCGTGAAATCCCCGCCCTGGCACATGAATCCCGGGATCACACGGTGAAAACTCGAACCCTTGTAATGCAGCGGCTTCCCGCTCCGCCCAATCCCCTTCTCACCCGTGCACAGCGCCCGAAAATTCTCCGCCGTGCGAGGCGTTGTGTCTGCGAAAAGTTCCATCACGATCCGCCCAGCCGGTGCTCCGCCGATTGACATGTCAAAGAACACCCTAGGATTCGCCATCGCGTATTGTGTGATCACTGATCAGGAGAACGTGACTAATCGGATTTGGACACCGAGTACTCCTCCACACTTGGAAGGCAGGGAAGACGGTCTTGGAGAGCTGCTTATATAAGGGGACGGTTCTATGAATAATATCCTAGTGGGGTTAGATTTTTGCCACGACGGTTCTAGACGTGTTGGAATTTGCAACCTCGAAGCTTTAGATTTTTTGTTGCCTGAGGCCCCACGGCTCCTGATCGCCCTGTCCAACTACTCCCAGGGGCAACCACGTCTTTTTACTTTGTCTGGACGTCGGAGGTTTATTCTAGAAAGCTTGATTATTTTAGGAAATAAAGATCTTAATCATGCTAACATCATATTTATCCTTCTGGACAACTGTCAGTTTTTTTCGCCAAACAACAACCATTAGAATTTGAAGCAACAAGTTGAGTACAGGGAAAAAAAAAATCCATGAATTGCAAGCTTTATATAATTAAGATTAGCATGATTTGTCTGGCAACAAAAAAAAAAAAGATTAGCATGATTTGGCTGCAAATTGTTACTCCTCCGGTCCTTAATAGAAGGCCCAATTGTTGAGTTGGTTTTAGTCCTAAATATAAGACTCATTTCTTATATTTATCAATTTTTTCTACATTACCCCTATAGATACTCCTTCAACCATAATCAAGTAAAAGAGGGAGAGAAGGTATTAAGAAAGATGATTATGGTATTTCAAGAAAAATGTGTCACATTTCTTATAATTAACTAATTTACCTAACTTCCTTAATCTAATCAAATTAGTTAAATGGGTCTTATATTAAGGATCGGAGGAGTATTAATGATTTTGTTCTTAGTCAAATGTAATTTGATGAAAAATAAATCAACACTTCTCTATTATGTTTTTAAGGTAGGGGCACAACCCAGACTCTGCTAAATAGAATATAGTTGAGAGTTTGATTTGATCTAATAAAATAGCTGAAGTCATAGGGGAGCATGTCCGTTGCTCGAAATGAAAGACTCTGCGTTCGTTGGCTTCGTCGTATAGAAGATGGCCAATCATTTGGCAATTAAAAGAATAAAATCACTCTGCCTTTTCGACATTATTATATGTGTGGGAACGCGGATTGCTTGGGTCATTGTACAACAGCCAAGGCCGGCAGAGCTACTTCCTTGTCCTCTGTTTCTGTCTACAGTTTTCCTCTCTTGCACTTTGCAGAACACTGTCAAACCAATGGACATGGCTTGAAGAGGTCGAATGCACTGTCTTCTTCTCTGAAGCTTCTTCTTCATTTGTGTCAAACCTTGTAAGTCTCGTTTTTGTGCTCTGTTTCCTGTTTTAAGTTCTTCAGTTTTATTATAGGAGACGTTGCCCCGTAAGCTACGTTACTTTTGATGAACATGACTTTTTTCAGCACGATCATTTCATGAAACGCATATTCTGCGATCTGGTTTGTTGTTATTAAGGTTTGTGTGAACTTCTTCTTCTTTGATCTCTGGTTTCACACGTCCGACAGAAATTCTAAAGTCCTGATAATAACCATGACCAGACAAAGTTTACAAGGTACTTGATAGTAAAACGCAAATCCTCCGCATATAACTCCTAAGTTTTGTGAGGATCTTCTGGGCGTTGTGACTTGTGACCACTATTTTGACTGCATGAGTTCTTAGAATACTCATAAAAATAGAATGACTGTTGCCCAGGGAAATAAATAAAAGGGTAGAGAAACTTTGCTCCATTGCGATACGTAGTCTTTTGCTTCTCGAAGATTAAACGATCATATCTAATGTCACAAATATTTCTACTGGATGCCGTAGCAGTTATTCAGTGGTTCTGTTTACTTATCATGCACTTTTAATGCATGCTCTAGGGAATGTGGTGCTCTACGTGTAGATTTTACTTTGGAAGCTTTACTTATTGAGATAGCTTTACACAGATCACAAGATCCTTCACACTCACAATGAACCAGAGTGATATCGTCAGATTCTTGACTACAACTATCGATAGCTTCATTCAAGATCGGTTAATCGACAAAGAACGACGGATCCAACACAAAGAACAGTGTGCAGAGAGGTTAGCAGCTGAAGATGAAAGCACTGATAAAGACAGCGAGGTTCAATACTCTGATCAAGCAGTATTAGCAAATCTTGATTGGGGTATGGAAGCCCTTGAAGAAGCCATAAATACCTATAATATGGAAACTAAGATTGCCCGCCTAGATTATGCTGAGAAGATGTTACAAGTGTGTGCCATGTTGAATCCCAATCAAAATACTGCTGGGGTGCCCAATTTCTACCTCTCAGCTTGGGCTCACCTTAATCTATCCTACCTGTGGAAGTTGAAGAACAATACTCAAAATTCAATTTGCCACGCTCTTGAGATGTTCATCGTTGACCCTTTCTTCTCACGGATTGATTTTGCCCCAGAGCTTTGGAAAGATCTGTTTCTTCCACACATGGGCTCCATTGTGGGTTGGTATTCAGAGGAGAGGCATGGACTTATGATGGAAGTCATGCCCGACTCTCCAGATTTGTCCTTTACAGCTGATTTTGATCAATTCTTCAATGAGTCTTTGATATATACTATGAGGCCACATCAAGTAGAGAAACTGCAAAAGCTGGAGAAGCTTTATGGAGAGTCATTGGACAAAAACACGAGACTTTATGCAAAGTATTATAAGGATTGCGTCAGCCCTGATTCAACCTCCAGCAAGAAGGCTCCAATGTTACCGATTGCTGAGCCACCGATGACACCTCTGCATGAATTGAGCTGCACCATTCCTGATTATGTAAAATTTGGTCCTATATTGCCTAAGAGTGCTGGGTTTTCTCCTGTTCTGAAATCTAAAGATGGTGCAAACGAAACTATCAGGTAGTACTTGCCCAATCGCCACTTGTTTATGTCATGAATGTTTATGTTATGTGTGGGTTTTCATTTTATACTGGGTTTCAAACAGAGGGAATGCGACTTCCAGCCATTCACCAAAGGCAGAGAAGTCTTCATCTACACGGGGTGCTAAGGTGATATAGAGACTTGTTTATCTTAACTTTGCTAATCTAGCTTTGGATATGTAGAACTGTCGTATTATGATCTGTTTGCATGTCTGGTAATAGTCTATCATTTGCAGGAGAGTACCATTGGAGAGTATGAAGATTCAGAATATGACCTCAATGATTCATACATTGACCCAGATAGAAAAACTCAAACTATTGTATCTCTTAGGATTAACAATATCAAGGGTGAGGATGTTGGGCCAAAAGTACATCAATCAAACCAGAAGAATCAAATATATTCTCCTCCAGTTTTCTCTCCTTTGGATTCTCCAAGAGCTCCTCCAAAAAATTCATCTTCAATTCATGAGATACACACTAAAGGAGAACCCAAATCTTTGCGCTTATTGTCTAGGCGTTTTTCAGACTCAAGTATTTCCAACTCTTCACCAATATCTCCACACATGAGTACTGATCACAGTATCAGCTCAGAAGATTCTGATAACGAAATAATGGTATGTTTCAAATAAGTCCAAATCCTCCTACTTGTCATTAATACTGGTAACCCCTGTTCATTGCAGCTGGATTTGACTCTTGCTTCCCAAGTTCAATCATGTAATAGTTCTCTGTGCTATAGGGCGTGAAGAACAGTCAGAGGAAAAACCGTTACTCAGAAAAGACTTTAATCATGAGAAAGAGAATACCCTCTCATTCAATGACAAGTAATAGCCACTCTTCCCCTTATATTCCAGAATGATGTTGTTATTGCATTTGGCTTCATGACATTAAAAACATTCCAATTAATCACCACTCCTACTCCTTATACTCCAACTAATATATCTTTGTATCTGCAGTTCTGTTTATGAGAGCCATGAAGGAAATAGCAGTAGCAGTTTATCACTGAAATCAGAGAAGACGACCGTTCAATCAAGACCACCCAAAGATTTTGTTTGCCCTATCACAGGCCAGATATTTTGCGATCCTGTCACCCTTGAAACAGGCCAGACGTATGAAAGAAAAGCAATTCAGGAGTGGCTCAAAACAGGAAATACAACATGTCCCATTACACGGCAATCTCTCTGTGCTAGCATGCTACCTAAAACAAACTATGTCTTGAAGAGATTGATAACATCGTGGAAAGAACAGCATCCAGAACTAGCTCAGGAGTTCTCAAATTCAGACTCATTACGGGCTTCTCTAAATTCTCCCTCTATCAAAGATATACCAGTGGTCTCTAATATGCACAGAACAGCTGATTCACCAGCTCATAAGATTGCAGATGATTATATTAGACAAAGGAGCAAAAGATTTATGCAGATCTCTGCCGCATCATCACCAACTAGTGTAATATCTCAAGCTGCAGTTGAAACAACTATAAATTGTTTGAAACCTTATATTTCAAGTCTTTGCACATCAGAAGACTTGCAAGAATGTGAAGACTCTGTGCTGGTAATAGCTAGATTATGGAAGGACTCAAAGAATGATCCTCATATTCATTCTTATTTATCGAATCCAACTGTTATAAATGGTTTAGTGGAAATACTTTCAGCTTCTCTAAACAGAGAAGCCCTGAGAACGTCAATTTATATCCTCTCTGAACTAATTTTTGCAGATGAAAGTGTTGGAGAAATACTCTCCAATGTTGATTCTGACTTCGATTGCTTGGCTACTTTGCTCAAGAATGGTTTAATTGAGGCTGCTGTTCTAATTTACCAACTGAGGCCGGTTTATGATCAGCTCTCTGCTCATGAACTAATACCCTCCATTGTCCAGCAGATCCAGAACAAAAATGAGGAGTTTAACGACCTTCGGTTCCTTATTGATCCTAGAGATGCATCTGTAGCAATTCTTGAGCAGATTTTGTTAGGAGGGAATGAACATAGCAGGTCCCTCAATGCCTTGAGTGTCATTTCAGCAAATGGAATTCCAATCTTGGTCAAGTATATGGAAAGGATGGAAGGAAGGAGGTCTGTTGTTTCCATTCTTCTGTGCTGTATGCAAGCTGAAAAAAGTTGCAGGAGCTTAATTGCAAACAGAATTGAACTATCTCCTATTCTTGAATTATTTCATTCAGGAAATGACACTGTCAGAGGAATATGTGTGGAGTTTCTCTCACAACTTGTTCAATTGCACAGGTAAGCTTGTTGCTCATATTACATTCCTTGGTCTTCAACTATTTACTCTCATCTACCAAGTGAGACCAAAGCAAGTGTGCTAGTTTTCTTTCCTATTTTCCTTTTATTTTGTAAAAATGTCTGCAATTCAATTAACACGTATTTAAGTGATAACAATGTTTTTCGTTCAAACCTGTGACTATTATTTCTTTAATGATATCATAGGAGGACAATGTGCAACAAGATATTGCAGATTATCAAGGATGAGGGAACATTTAGTACCATGCACACATTTCTTGTGTATCTTCAGATGGCTCCTATGGATCACCAACTTGCAGTTGCTGGTCTTTTGCTTCAGCTTGATCTCTTGGTTGATCTTTTGACATCAAGTCTACCACTAAGCTGTAATTTTCTCTTATCAAGAACAAAATTATCATTTGATCGACTTTTTATTCTTGTCAAATCTCTAGGTTGAGCCCCGAAAGATGAGCATTTTCAGGGAAGAAGCTGTAGAGACCCTGATAGAATCACTTTGGCGAAAGGACTTCTTAAATACTCAGACGAAGGCTTTAGATGCTTTAATACTTCTTATCGGGCATATCACTTCTGCAGGAAAGCCATACATTGAAGCCTGGCTGCTTAAGACTGCAGGATTTGACCAACCTTACAATGCTCTAATGAAAGCTGAGCAGTTGGAAAAATATGACAACGATTTGGTGGAAACAATGGTTTGGGCCTATATATATATATATATAAATCGTTTTGTTTGGTTGTCTTCGGATTGGTATATATATATATCCATGCTAACGTGAATGTTATTTCAACAGGAGGATGAAGAGAATGCGATGAGCTCTTGGCAGAAAAGGGTAGCTTTTGTTCTTTGCAACCATGAAAAGGGTTCTATATTTAAAGCTTTAGAAGAATGCCTCAAGAGTAGTTCCCTAGAGACAGCAAAATCATGCCTTGTCGTCGCCACATGGCTCACATGTATGCTCTCAGCCATTCCTGATACTGGTATAAGGGATGTTGCTCGAAAATCCTTGCTCGAGGAACTTATAAATGTCCTCCAATCATCCAAGAACCTCGAGGAAATGATCCTAGCTACCCTTGCTTTGAAGAACTTTATTAGTGATCCAAGTAGGTTTTTCTCATCACTGATTATGTATGTTTATTTGTAAACTTTGTTTATATGATCTTTATCGGAATCATACATAGGAATACTAAAATGAAAACTCTCAATGTTTCAGTTGCTCTTGAAGCACTCGGAGCTTATGCCAAAAGCATCTATAGAACATTGAGAAAGTTGAAGAAATATTCTATGGTGGCAGCCGATATTATGAAACCCTTACTGAACTTAAAATCCGTTGATGTGGTAAGTGGAATGGGGATTAGGGAATAGGTATAATTTAGTTTCAGAAGAATAGATCACGGATCAAAACCTATCTTATTTCTCGTCAATCTTTAATTTAGACAGCTTTGTGGAGTTGTAAGGAAGTCGTTGAGTTAGATTTGAGCTCAAATGGAGAGGTACTTTCTTTGCTCTATGTTAAAGGTCGGGTCTTAAGTGGACACTCCGATGGAACCATGAAGGTAAGATGTTTGCTTTCACCTTAAATTATAGGTGCATGCGCTAATTATGTTCATCTAATAATTGCATTTGATATTCTTAATAGGTGTGGGATGCTAGGAAGAAAGTATTAAGATTGATTCAAGAAACCCATGAGCACACTAAAGCGGTAACATGTCTCTACTCTTCAGGGGATAAACTGTACAGTGGCTCCTTAGACAAAACCATCCGGGTTAGTTATCCTGCTGTCTGACCAAAAAGAAAAAATGGAGACTTGATAGTATGGGATACTAAGTCCATAGACCATAATGAGGTATTTAAGTTGGTTGGTTATTCTGCCTCAATAATTAGCTTTGGGGTAGAGTTTTTCATCCCACTTAGGTACCTATGATGGTCCTTTAGGACGATTCTAGTATTCAATACCAAACCATTTTACATTCTTTTCATGCACACTAAATTGCTTCACATTCTTTTCATGCACAATAAATTGCTTCACATTCTTTTCATGTACAGGTATGGACAATGAAATATGATGAGCTTCATTGTATTCAAGTTCATGATATCAAAGAGGCGGTGCATGAGTTAATAGCAAATGATAAATTGGCATGCTACGTGACTCAAGGAACAGGAGCTAAGGCAAGTCCGTTTTGCTGCTTTGAACAAAATGTAAATCTAGTCCTTGTCCATATTAACAAGAAAGGGTCACTAAAGCTCAAGATTTTACAGGTGTATAATTGGTCGGAGGCTCCAAAGCTTATTAATTTCAACAAACATGTCAAATGCCTTGCAATGTCTGGGAACAAACTCTACTGTGGTTGCTCTGGTTACAGTGTTCAGGTATTCTCTCTTTTTAATTTCTTCTTATGTTTGTCAAGAAACCTGTGCTCCTTAATATTTCGGTGTAAAAAAAATCGCAGGAGGTAGACTTGTCGAATTATACATCAAATACAATTTTGTCCGGGACAAGAAAATTGCTGGGAAAACAAACCATTCACTCCCTTCTGATTTATGATGATTGTCTCATCGCTGGTGGTTCTTTGGTTGATTCCACCGCAGGAAAGGTAAACACCAGCATATTCCTTTCTCTGTACAGATAACTAAGTTGCATATGATAATTTTCTTATCACTGTTTCTGTACATAGATATTGTCGCTGTCGTCCAAAGCTGTGGTGGGGTCACTCTCAACTGGTCTAGACATCCACCGTATGGCTATGAACAATGACTTTGTATTTACAGGCACTAAATGTGGCACTATTGAGGTGTGGCTAAAATATAAGTTAAGTAGGGTTGCTTCCATCAAAATGGCTGGTGGTCACCCAAGAATCACGTCACTAGCATCAGATGCAGATGGTTTCATGCTTTTTGTTGGTTCCTCGGACGGCAAGATTCAGGTTCGTTAATATTTATTTTAATTAGTCTGTACTGTATTGCTGTTTTCTGACAAGCTTCTCTGTTTTCACACTTTCTTGTTTCCAATTAACTCCTTTTCTCCCTGCAGGCCTGGGCTTTGGATTAGATGCTGTGTGGGGACATACGGACAAGTATTAACGCATCCTTAAATTAGCCAAATGTATGCTAACAGTTTTTTCCTATCTACATTGCACATTCGTACAATTTCATGAATCAATATCATTGTTCCTTGGGCTGTAAAATAAACTATTCGAATTAGATCCGGCATGTTCAAGTTTGTGAAGTCTGCAAATCCTGAACGCTACTTTAAGCAAATACGAACGATATAACAATATTTTTAAAGACCACGGGAAAAAACCAAAGATCAAGAAGGTTAGAAGAATCAGTTCTTACATAACTCGAACTGGTTTGTTTTCTTTCTCCAATTTGAGTCCTGCTAGGGAGAAGGTATTCACAACTCACAAGTAATGCAGTTTTGAACAAGGCGTGCCATAATAAACAAGTGAAGAAAAGACAGTTTAAAAAAGGAACATAAGATGTTCATATCCCCAACAGAGAAAAATATCATAAAAAGAGGATTCTTTTCAATGTTGCAACAAGAAGAATGCAACGTGAATATGTTTTTCCTATTATTTGTCTGATGCTACACATTTAATGATATCATAATCAAATAGATTTTTTTAAAGGGATTAAAATTTGATTAAAATTGACATTCAACATTATTTAAACATTCAAATGGTTTGAATTTGTTTTTATTTTATAATATGCAGCTTTCAGATTTCAAACTTGAAGAAGAAATGTAAATAAAAAATCCTATTAAACACTCAGAATCCCGTCAAATTTCATACCAGGTCCAAATGACACAAATAAAAAGGTCATGATAACTATGTTTGATATAAGTTATATTATGCTCAGAAGAAAGGCCATAAGAAAAAAGTGAAATATGGGAAGGTAACTCCAAAAATGAAGATTATTTGTATGTAATATTTATAATCTTTAATTAGAAATAAAGATAAATAAACAAGAAGGGTTAATGACTGTGGCCCAAAAAAAAAAAAAAGGAAAAAACGAGGGGCTAAGGACCAATCGGGATTGCATTTGGAATTGGAATTTCCGGTCTTTTTTTGTTTTTTTTGACTCAGAATTTCCGGTGTTGGCAAACCAAGGAAAAGGAAAATAACGGGCGAGCCCAAATTACTTCCTTTCTGGTTTGGTCGCGGGATAAATTGATCGCCTTCTTTCAAGCTCCCACTGAAACGATCTCTCTTTTCCTGAAGTAGCCATGGCTGCAGATAATGTTCCTCCCTTTATCGCTGCTCAGCTTAATCACCTTCTCTCTCACTTTCCCCTCGCCCTCAAGGTTACCTTCCGCTAATATCTAATGCTTTTACATGGTTTGCGAGAAAAAATGCAAAGGCTAGTGGGATTCTTGGATCCAAAATCTCAACTTTCTTTTATCTATTTTAGTATTTAATATCCAGGTTATGGAACTGTTACTGTTTCACCTAATTTGCTTGCTATTTGAGCATTAGCTTGGCTAGAATCATATCATATGCGAATCTTGTTTCTCTTCTTTCTTACTGTCGGGAAAGAAAGCACAGCGTCAGTTTTTTGAGTGTGATTTCAGTAGATCCCCCCCAGAAATCACTCTGTATCCTTTATACTATTTACTTTGCAGGTTGAACAGATGTGGTCCGGTAGCAAGTACTATCCTGGGGTATTTGATCGGTTCACTTTAGCCATTCCCTACTGCTTGGACTTCATCAGATGTAGGAAAACTGCGTCTAGTGTTCTTTTCTTTTCAATGCCATAGGTATGCAGATTGTTGATTGGTTAATTTGTTTTAGGGGATGTTATATACAACATAGAGAGTCCAACAGCTGCACCTGATGTTATTTTTGGGCTAGAAGATGAAGATTTCCACCCATTTCATATGAAATCTGCTGAAGGACAACTGGACCTGAAGCCATCAAATAACTGTTTAAGTGATTGGAACAACAAAGATCCTACGCGTTTACTGGCTCTTATTCAATATTTGAGGCAAGAACTTTCAGGGAATTAGTTTTTGTCTGTGGTGATGTTCACAAGTGTTGATTGGATTCATGAATAATGAATAGTTGCTTGTTAATGTCTCCATAGAGATCAATACGTGTCATATCAAAGGAGGCGCGTTGGAGAAGTTGATGATGATCGTTTGAAATTTGAAGTTAGCACTATACTATCGAGGGAGGTAATTCTTCACGCGAATGTTATCATTCTAACGTTTAGAAAAATCAAGAGTAAATTGATAATTCCTTAATTTCTGTCTATGTCCTGAACGTGGATGAAGCATATTGTGTATTCGTATCTTAATTAGAAGGTTTCCATGCATGGTGATTTTAAAATCACTAACAGACATGGATTGGGAATGATGTGCTTAGTGCATATGGGGGATGTTTATATTTAACAGATGTCCATTTCCATTATCATCAAGGTAATGCCGCTTAATTGCACACCTGGTGGCAGTGTTGAAATAAAATGCCCAGGAAAATGGGAGGGGGCGGAGGGGATTTGAACATTGCATGCGATTTATCATCTTTTCCTTAATGAACATTGAAACTCACTCCATCTTCTCTCCTACAGGGACTAGAAATGCAAATAAGTGCTGGTGCTGAAAAGGTATTTCTTTGCAAAGATTTGGTTTTTTTATGGCATCATGAATTCATTTACCAAGTGAAAATTATAAAGTTATGTAGCTTTTGACAGTGTTCTTGGTTTGCATGACTTTAACTTTTAGTGTAGCCAGAGGAGGTTAAATTTGCTGTTCCCCTAATGGACATGAACATAAATAAGATGGTGCCGGGATGTCCCTGGAGACAAACTCAAAAAATATTCTTGCAGGTTCCTTTCCTTCCTCTCGCTATTCATTTCCTCATTTTCTCTTTGACTTAGTGCTTTCTGTGGGCTATCAACTTATCATCTCATGTTATGGTAAACCTAGGTCATATATCCTGTTGGGAGAAAATACGTATCTGCTCCTTCAGCACCTCGCCTGAAGTTAGTATCGACACCTGAATTGAAAGCTCTATTTTCCATTGAGGATGTAAAGTTACCCTCTTGGTTAGACGGAATGTGAGTTGTTTGCATCTTTGATCTGCTTATGCCATGCAATCTATGTTCTTTGTCATTCTACTGTGATATACTCACTGCTAGATTGAGATAATTCATTCTGAAACCCTTTTTTTTCTTTTTTAAATTCTACTTCTAAAGGTGCCTGGCAGAATATCTGCCCCATCTTGAAGAATCTCTTGAGAAACAGGTTATGTCAAAATGTCTTTTTGGCATTAAATGTGTGTTACTTTACTACACTTCTGTTGTTTTGCTTTAATTATGATAAGATATAATCTTGAACATAGGTCATGGAGGCTGTTTCATTAATTGATGGTAGAAGGCACTTTATCGAGGCACTAGCATGTCATCTTGGAAGACCTATAGAAGCTGATCCGGTATTTCCCTAAGTTGCAACATTTCAAGAATTGCTTGGTTTGAGTACTAATGACGAGTATTTTATTTGATCTCTAGGTCTTTTGCAGAAAGGCCACCTTTCTTGGTGCATCTGGAGCTTTTACTTTCTTGGTAATATATGATTCTCATTAGTTGATATCTGTCTGTACATGTGGACAGAGGTTTGTACTTAGAAATTGATTTCAAGGTTGTCGCCAATCACTTTTGACATGAAGATCAGATTGGGGGGGGGGGATCAGACGAAATTTATAATTGATTTTTTGAACTGCTCATAGATACTGGTGGTGCGGGTATAAAATTGTATGGTCGACTTTAGTCTTCCTATTGGTAAAATATGTTCAATTTATGATACTGATATCTTGTTTCGTTCTTTCCGTATGTTTTTTCAGTTTCCAGTTGAATGAATTGGACCTTTATGTTTATGGTTGACCAATATCCTGATGGTTTTGTTTTTATAGGTACACTTCCTAATACCAACACAGTTTCCAAAGAAACAGCCATCTCTTCTGCTTCAAAGTTCTCAGGTAAAAATATGAAGTTTTGGTCATTGATTTGTTTAAATTTTAAAGTTTGAGTACGGTTTGATGTCTGAAAATTAGGCGACCGATTAATAAGCCTCTGTATTTTACAGATTGTTCATGTTGCGTCAACCAAATGAGAACATAAAATGTGAACACGGTTCTTTCAGTTAATGTATTAAGTATAGTGACATAATTACGTGGTTATTTTTTCCCTTTAATTCTAGTCTCTTGTTGTAAAGCTGAAAAAAGTCCAATCGTATTTCTGAACTTGATTGATAAATTGTCATGTTTATTCATTTGGTACAGCAATGTATGTTTTAACTTTTAAGTTTGAATGTAATAATAACATGTAGAAAGAGGGATATAATGTGAATCCGAGTCATTAAAATGGAAAGGCTCTCTCAGCTAAAGATAGGCAATAATGGTTGCTTGTCTTCTCTCAATAATACTAGGTCTAGGAATAGGAAAGCGGAACTGAATTTATAACTCTGGTGGTTCATAATGCTGTACAATATGACGTATTACTTGATTATAATTATATGGTAGTAATTTTATATTTTTAGTGAGAACAGATTATGGATGTTGTGATCTTAGGCTGAAGCTTTTTCCATGTTATCTAGAAAGTTTAATTTTTCCTGTAATTTCCAGCATTTCAATTCTTACATGGCCCCCATTAAGTCGCGCATTTTGACTGACTACCCATGGAGCCCAAGATGGGAAGCATCGATGATGGCTGAGTGTATTTTGTGAGTGCCTTACATCATTTGAAAGTTTCCTGCCACATTGCTTTGTGATGCCTTCCTTCTCTTGCCCTGCATGTTTTAGTTTAACGTGATATGTTCTGTACAGTGAGTTTCTAGCAGACGAGGCTCTAAACTTCAAGAGGCAGTTGAATGAGGGCCAGCTTCAATAGTAGGGGAAACTATCTTACAATGTTCTGCTCAATCCTGATATTTTGGCAATCTTAGCGTGTAAAGAAGTTGATGAGACGCACTCATGTTTTGTCATTGTACTCGGAGAAGGTCCCACGCGTGGAAATACAAATGTATTGTGTCTATCAACCTTTTGTCTTGGGCTCCTGTTACGTTAGAGTTTGTATTACTATTGTTAATCAGTGGTGGAATACCCTGGAGGCTTCTCGGGCAAATCATGGTAAAGAACATTATACAGAATAATGATTCAGATCATTGGGGAGTTGGGGTGATTCGTAATGTTCTCTGAAGTGAAAATCTGTAAACAAAAATGCTGGCTGTGAAATCTTTCTTTTTACCTTGTTTCATTAAAGTTTTTAGGGCTAAAACTATTAAAAGTAAAACCATTTGAATGTTTGCTTATGCACATTTTCACCTCCACACGATATGAAGGAAGTGAGGATTGAAGCTTCATTCACGAAAGAGGATGGAATCCTGCAATTTGAATGAAGGATCTTAGACTTCGGTTCGGCTTCGTTTCCCCTGGGGCAGCTTTTCAGCTCTCATATATTTGCAATGCTTTGATCACCAAAACCAGAAAAAGAAGACCGGGTTCCCCTCTTTAGCCATGATATATAACTCTCAAGTTAGCAAGCAGTGCCATCGTGTGATTCGCTAAGTCGATTCTTCTTTCTGGCATTTAGTCTTCAAGTACGATCTTCTTTTTATCCTGGGTTTACTTTTGCTTTCTCTGTTTGGGTTGTCAAAAAGAGCTCGAACAGTATTTCAGCATGGTGTGGTTGGGTACACTGATGGCTTGGGCAGCAATAAACAACATTAAATGAAAAGGTTACATATTGAACTATGTTCTTAATGTATAAATATAGTTGAGAGCAAATTGAAGTTGAACATATACTATTGAGATTTGTCTTCAATTGTTATATATGGTCGATTCCCTCCCTCAAGCTAAACATTCAAATGGGCCCCACACAGCAGACAGACCACATTCTTGGTATAAGTATAGGCACTGTCCACTCCAGAGCGAAAGGATTCTGAATGCTGACAAAGTTATGGCAGGGTGGTTCTGTAATTCTCATAAGCAATTCTCAAGCTTTATAGCAAGCATGTGATTATAAGTTAAAAAAGAAATGAATATATGATTACTAATATAAACGAATACATGCAAAATGGGCAGACACAAAAGCAATTATGAAACGAGGTTTACAAGCAATTTGATTTATAGAGCCTCTTCCTGCTTCTCTCGCACGAGTTAGAGTGTTAATATTCAACTTGATAAGAATGTGTGCGATGAGAAATAATTTTGTGCCACCATATTTGGGTATTTTACCATGTGCGAGAAGAGAGAAGAGAAGGGAACTTATAGCACTCTTAACTTACCAAGGAACTACAGTTTTGTCTACTGGAATAATAAAACTGAGAGAAGTAAGGGAATGGCAGCAGTGACTAGAAAAATCAAATAAAAAATATCATAAGAGTGTAGAGTGTAATATCGGCTCATATGAAAAAAATCTATCTACTTGCGTAATGAAAGATTCTTTTTTGTCAAATTAATAAAAGATTCGTCATGTGGTGATAAAAGAAAACTGTGAATAAAAACAAGCAAAGACAGCAAGACTGCGCACTGGCCACTTTCTGTCATCCTTTGTGCAGCATTTATCTACTTTGGATCCAATCATCTATATTCCTTTGTCCCACATATATAGTGAGATTAATTGGGATTATTTACGTTTAATAGTAACATACGTTAAAGAAAAAGTAAAACACTACGTTCATGTCGATGGCGTCTCATCCGCGGACGTCATTATCATGTAACCCCCTTCTCCGACTCGTTTTAAAGCATTAACTCATGCTTTCTCCTAATTATGATGCTCCAACTTTTAACGTTCCATCTATGACCGGGCCAAAATTAAAAACACCTTCCGTCAAGGAAAACTAATGATGTCGGCAAATTACTCTCTCACTTTGTGGTTGTTCTTTATTACTCCTCCAGTCTTAAATATATAACTCATTTACACTACAAGATGAGTCCTATATTTAGGACCAGAGGAGTATAAGTTTTAAATAACTAATTTACAAATAACAAACTGTTATTCAAAATTAGTTAAAAGCAATAAATATATTAGAAATATATTTTATTTTCAAATATATTCTTATAATAAATTAGAAAGTGAATTAAAAAATATGTGGAGAAATGTGATAAGAGAAAATCTGATAAATGAGAAAGAATAAATAATTAAAGGTAAAATTAGAAAAATGCATTAAATATTAAGACAAATATCAAAGTAAAGCTTATAAAATGGATCACAGCTCTCTTCAAATTTGAATTCTTTACAAAAAGAAATATGTACTCCTCCAATCCTAAATGTAAGACTCTTTATCCATATTAGTATAAGAGTCTTATATTTAAGATCGGAAGAGTATTAATTTTCGCAAGATATTGCATTTAATAAATTACGTAGAAACTAATACTATATATAAACCTTTGTTAATACTACAATCAATAAAATTATACATCCATATAATAAGTTTAATGGAGTGATGACTAATATTAAAAATAATACTACCTCCGGTCTTAATTATAAGAGCCAGTTGACTAATTTGAAGAGATTAAGAAAGTAAGTTGATTTAGTTATTTGTCCTAAATAGGTGTTGTATTTCCTAAAATATCCTTACTAATCAAGTGTATTGACTAGAACTATCATTATTAGAAGAACTATTTTGAAAAAAAAAAGTATAAATATGAGAGACAAAGTAGATTGGAGTCTTATATTTAGGATCAAAATAAAAATTAAATAGGGTCTTGTATTAATTACTAGAGGTAGTAACATTCTCCCACTGCCTTAGTAATTAAGATCAGAGGAGCATATGGAGCTCTGGCAGTCGGCACTCCTAAGTCCTTGACTTATGACTAGCCGCTTGCAGTGGAGCAAGGGAGAGGTCCAATAATATGAATGGTAATTTAATTTAATATATTTGATCGGGATCGGGATATGACTACAATGCACCGAAATGTATGGAGGTTGCACGTTAAGACGGTAGGGTGGTGAGAAAGGTGGGCCTCACAGTCATAACGTGAGCTGGGTTTGTTGGTGGTGGGACTCCCCGCCCCCCACTCCTTCATCTCCATGCTCCAAACGGTGCCATCGGAATGAAACAAAAACCACTCTTGCTAATTTATATTCATAGTATTTACCGTTCACATTATATTTATTTTCATTCTCATTATTTTTTAACCTCTGATTCTGGAGCACACACTTGCGTTTCTTTCTTATCTCTCTCATCTCGTCCATAAAACTGCATGTCCTTGCTCTTTCTTCCTTCGCTTCCCTCCTTATTCCTATAATCATCTCTCTTCTCATTTTTGTTCGATCCTCTTGCTGCCACCATGAGAGAGATATTGCACATCCAGGGAGGCCAATGCGGCAACCAAATCGGTTCTAAGTTTTGGGAGGTTATCTGCGACGAGCACGGCGTTGATCCTATCGGCAAGTTCATCGGTGGTGACGATTCTGATTTTCGATTGGAGAGAATCAATGTTTATTACAATGAGGCTTCCGGTGGTCGCTATGTTCCCAGGGCGGTGCTCATGGATCTTGAACCTGGTACCATGGACAGCATCAGATCGGGTCCCTACGGCAAGATATTTCGCCCGGATAACTTTGTCTTTGGACAGTCCGGTGCAGGAAACAATTGGGCTAAAGGTCATTACACCGAAGGAGCCGAGTTGATTGATGCTGTTCTTGATGTTGTTCGCAAAGAGGCTGAGAATTGCGATTGCTTACAAGGTACTCTGTGGTTATCTGAGTCTCATTTTTGTTTTCTCTGTTCCATATTCGTTTGTTTTAGTCCTTTATGTCATTCCTCCTTTAAATATCTGGTCCATAGTTTGCTTGTTTGTCATATGCTCGATCTCGACTTTGGTTAATTAAATGGCATTTTGGAATGCATGAACAGAGTTTTTCTGAACTTCCTATATGCTTTTTCACCGATGCAATTATAATGTGGATGATGTTCTCCATTGTTTTGTCATTGATTTCAATCTTTGTTTTTGTGATTGAAGTTCTGCATCTGTTTGACAAAGCGATTGATATCCACGGTATATGATAATTGTTTTATCAGTTTTGACCACCGTTCTCCTCGCGCGAGGAAGGCTTCTCGGTCCCGAGCATCTGATAGATATCATATTATTCAATTGATTTACACGTGATGTTTCTTCTTGTTAATCTTTCGGTACACGATGACGGAATATTAGTGGAGTTTACTGACAAATAGAGGATAAGATCTTGCTTTTAAGTGAGAAAGTGCTCTAGGCAAAATCCATTCGCATCTTTGAAAGAACGAATCGTTTAATACTTTAGTTCAGATCCTCAATGAGCAAGTCTGATGCACAAAAAAAATTTTATATTTGTTATTCTGGAACATTTCGCAGCCCCTTTTTCTCATTCTTTTGGGGCACTATTTGATATGATGATGCTCTGTCTACTAGTTTTTTTGTCCCGAACTGTTGTGCTTCAATTATTGAATATGACTTTTAAGAACTGCTTACTTCCTTTCTCTTTTTCACAACCATTTTCTATATATTCTTTCCTGCTGAACGAGAATCTGTAGGTCGGTTGAAAACACACTACATCACTAGATCTTGAACTTTTAGGCATCAGGATCTTTTACCACTTACAATTAGTCTTTCCTCTGAAATTTGTTGTCCCATTTTTTCCCCTATGGATTTCATTTTTCAGCCTCCCAATTGCTTGTGTTTGTCATGAATTCAGTGGTAAGGCTGAGCAGATAACATTAACAGGGCCCCTTATTGTCTTATCCGGGGACATATGCAGGGACCACGTAGCCTTTCTTTATCCTTACTAGGCAATAATAAAATCAGCAAAGAAATCTGTAGATATCTGCTTTTCGGCCTTCACACTATTGTGCCTTGTGATTGTGAATTGAGCTGCCCAAAACAAAGTCAGATTTATACGGCACCGACGCGATGCATTTGTTTCAGCGATTTTATGAATATTAAATTAACACGTCCAACTCTCTGAGGACTTGGGAGACTAAGCCCTGATTACTGCTGTGGCATGAGAAGCCTCTGCTCATCTATAAGGATGTGAATAAACCGCGTATAAATTAATGCCAGTGTATGACCGACATGATGTGTTAATTAACTCAATTTTTCTTTGTTGCTCTGCACAATCTGTTTTAAGAAAAAATTATTGTGAAAAAATAAAATAATTTAGAGTTACACTTTTTTAATAAATCCTGTTAAAACTTCTTTTAAAAAAATAGTGCGACTTTTTAAATTACTGATTAAACAGGATAATAAGAGAAAAAATGTTTAAATAAACTACTTTTCAGTTTATTTATTTTCTACACAAATAATATATTGAACTAAAAATAATAACTTGTCTAAATCAAATATCAAATTAACTCTCTCTCTCTTTTTTTCTAAGCATAGATATCTTCTTATTAAAAGTAATCCTGTTAGAGGTACTATTAGGAAATTAACTCATTAGTTGCAAAGAGAATTCATTTTTAACAATCGATCAGCACTTGCATTATATTAATAAGATGGTGGACTCGTTAATTTTTGTTTCTTTTTGCTGTTTTAGTAACTTTAAGCACTTAACGGAATTGGTGTGCCTTATTGGTGCTGCTCTATGAACACTACGTAGCAAGGAAATCTCATCATCATCACATATCTCATCTTGGAATTTGAAAATCAAACTTATCTTGCTATAAATATCCTGTTCAGGTTTTCAAGTGTGTCACTCGCTTGGAGGAGGCACGGGATCGGGCATGGGGACACTGTTGATATCAAAGATTAGGGAAGAATACCCTGACAGAATGATGCTCACATTCTCTGTCTTCCCTTCTCCTAAGGTCTCTGATACAGTTGTGGAGCCATACAATGCCACTTTATCCGTGCACCAACTGGTGGAGAATGCAGACGAGTGCATGGTTCTTGACAACGAAGCACTCTATGATATTTGCTTCAGGACCTTAAAGCTTAGCACTCCGAGCTGTGAGTACTGTCTCCCTTAGTCCTCGCCCCTGCTCCAATTGCTTCTATCAGCTTTTCCTTTTTCTTTTTTTGGGCCAACGCTTCAGTCATCTTTCAGTTAGGCATGCAATACATAAATTATAAACCTTGTTCATTTCTCTGCTAATGGTTTGTTGCAGTTGGTGATCTGAATCATCTGATTTCGGCAACTATGAGTGGGGTTACGTGCTGCTTAAGGTTTCCTGGACAACTGAATTCAGACCTCAGGAAGCTGGCAGTCAATCTGATCCCATTCCCACGTCTTCACTTCTTTATGGTGGGGTTTGCGCCCCTCACCTCTCGGGGATCTCAGCAGTACGTCTCACTCACTGTCCCGGAACTGACTCAGCAAATGTGGGACTCGAAAAATATGATGTGTGCTGCTGATCCCCGACACGGCCGATACTTGACCGCATCCGCAATGTTCAGGGGGAAGATGAGCACGAAAGAGGTAGATGAACAAATGATCAACGTACAGAACAAGAATTCGTCATACTTCGTGGAGTGGATTCCCAACAATGTAAAGTCAAGTGTGTGTGATATTCCACCCAAGAATTTGAAGATGTCATCAACTTTTATTGGGAACTCGACATCAATTCAGGAGATGTTTAGGAGGGTCAGTGAGCAGTTCACTGCCATGTACCGGCGCAAAGCCTTTTTGCATTGGTACACCGGGGAAGGAATGGACGAGATGGAGTTCACAGAGGCAGAAAGTAACATGAACGATTTGGTGGCCGAGTACCAGCAATACCAGGACGCAACTGCAGAGGAGGAGGATGATTACGATGAGGGCGTTGAAGAGAATTACGAGGGCTAGTAGCTGAAGTTCAACGTGGTAACTCCCTAAACTGATAGACTTTCTATCAGTACGCGTCTTAACAGTGCTACCATCACTGTCCTCATTCTTTTTCTTCTCAAGTTCTCCTTCATTACCTAAATCAGCTTTTCGTTTGAAACATTTTACTTTTGTTTGTATGATTTTCTATCTTGTGAGTCAATATTGTGGATTCTGTTTATCCTGTGTATGAATAATTTTTATATATCCAACTCGCAATGCAATAAAATATGGTGGTTTTCTGGCAAATACTCATCGTTGAGCCTGAGACCGTTCTGTTCGGCTACTTGCACCTTTACTCGTAAGTACATAATGCATGCGGATGACCTCTACATTGCCAGGAATAAAGGAATGTACAGAAAAATCAGGGAATCTTATCTCGCATGACAATTTTTCTCGTCGGTGGGGGAAATTATGACTGGTATAACTACTACCGAGTTTATTAAATTAAAGGAAGTTGGATATCATCATCGATGGCAATGTAAAGTCGATACATCACGAATCCCAAAAGAATTTGCTTTCATTCACAATCATGAATTTGCTTTCTTTCATAATCAAATGTCTTGAGTATACACAACGAGACTTAAGGGTTGTTGGCATCAGGCTGGAGCCACAAACCCAAAAATCACCTAAATAACCAAGCATATCAAAATACCAATGAACAAACCAGTTCCAAACTATAGGCTCATACATAATTTACATTACATAGACATGGGTCATCAAAGAATGATTATACAACAAAACTACATGCTTCTACGCTGGACTTTTCCCCCAATTTAAACGGAAAAAAGGCATAATGGCAATTTCAGATTTCATCTGACGCTTGGAGAAAGGCTTTTCAGTTTTGGAACCTTGAAATCGGAAGAGAACAATTTTGGGGTCGCGGAATCCGGAATAACTGGACCCCTTTTCCTCTTCAAGCTTTTGTTATCCTACACCACAGGAAAAAAAGAAGACAAGAAGAAAAGTGGGTAATAATGACTTGTAACGAAAAGGCAAGAATATCATGAAACAAAGGAAAATTTCTTTTTCTTTTTTTTAATTGGCCACAGATCAGATAGATATAGGAGAACACCCAACAGGTATACCTTTCCAGAGTTTGTTGCAGGACCAGTGACCTTAGGAACAGATAATTCTTTCCTGAGACGAGTACTACTCCTCCTATTGCATCCTAAGCCAGAACCTTCAGTTTTTGCAGTGCAGGGATTTAAAATAGGAGTGACTAGAGCGTTCCTGAACTTCCTTAATGCTTCCAACTCTTCGGAAATCTTCGATAATTTTTCATTTAAATTCTTTCTTTCTTCTTCCATGTTACCCACTTTGCTTTCTAACTGTGCAATAGTCTCATCCTTTTCATCCTTCGCTGACCGTAGTTGCTCCATACTGGAAACAAGTTTCTGTATCTTCTCATTTGCTTGTTCCAATTCACAATGCTTACTCCTTAATTTATTCATGTATTCAGTCTCCATTACTTTATATTGGTTCCATACAAATTTCTTTTCTGCCGAGAGTGCTGATACCTTAGAATTATTTCCCAGAGCAATCTCATATTCTTGCTTCAACCTTCTCAGTTCAGCTTCCAATTGGTTGGAGCAGTCCTCTTCTTGTGGCATGTTCCTATTAGACTTCCTCCGAACAGACCTGCTCTCACTGTCGGTGGTCCCTTTCTTTCTCTTGCCAGCAGTATCCTCACATAGTTTTCCTTGTTCCTGAAAAAGTGAATGTTCAGCAGTAAGCATAGTGACAAGCATAAACAAAAAATCAGAAAATGCATGGAATATGCAATGTTGACATACTTCTGCATTGGACAGCTTCTGAGAAAGGAATTCAAACCAAGCTTTAAAATCAGCCAACTCATCCTCTTGGTGTTCTGCGGATACAAAAGGATAAAGCCAAGAATACTTTGGTTAAGTGATATCCAAATTGAGAAATAGTGTCGATCCCCAATTTTCAACTGTTCCTAAGATAAAAATTCCCCTTAAACTGCAGTAAAAAAGACACGTCCATTGATAATGTGATGGCTTAATATAAGTTCTCCCTCCAAGCTATGTGAGGACTGAGAAGTGACCCCATGGGGATAGAATCTAGGATCTTGCCAGCCAGTCACGACCATATATTTGGTATATAGGTGTCCCAATTTTTAAGTTCTGGAACATCTGTATATGACACATTTAAGCTTATATATATATATATATATATATATATATATATAAAATCAACATATATGTTAACGTTATATCCAAATATCTTATATGTAGATTTTCAGATGTATGGAAATTATATGTTTATCCTCGCTCTGATGCAAATAGTTCGAGACTCGGGTTTGGGGCCACAGGGCTTTGTGTAGGTTTTTTAACAGCCCCTAGCCTCCTCCACGCCTCAACCCAAGACTTTTTGATTCGAAACCGCACAAAGGAAAGACTTTATTTTTATTTTGAAATAAAGAATATCTTTGCTAATTTAAGGAACAACCAACAAACCAGAACTGATAATAAAAGAAATGTGCATTCTTCACGTCTAATTCGATGAAGACTTTTTTGTGCTGTTTAAACGCTAAATTTTGACATATAGAGCAAAACCGAATTATCAAGAATCGAAAGACTCCCCTTTTCTTACAGACCTCAGAATCCAAACTTCACTGACCTAAAATATAATTAACAACAGAAACCTCTCTCTGCTTTAAACTCAGTAACAAATCTGCTTTCACATCGTCTAGCAGTCGCCTCTTCTCTTCAAAAATTAAAATCCCCTTCATCTGCGAAACATTGCAGGCAGAAGATGAAGAAGTTTCAGAAATCCACATACTTCGAACCCTAGCGGAGAATCTGGCCCAAAAAGAAAAAAAAAATTGCACCACAATTGAGAACATACCTCAGAAATCTGATCCCTATAAAGACGAGTATCAGATTCCCATCCATCGTGTAGCATTCGGATGCGATCTTCAAGAAGTTTGCGCTCGCTGGCTAGGGACAGGAGCTGCTGTTGCTGAGAGCGTAACATGTGAACCATCCCATTAAAAACTTTCTCCCAATTTTGCCGCTCAGTAGAGACGGCGGAAGCTTTTGGCTTGCGCATTATAATAAGTTGCAGATAATGGAGAAGAAAGAGGAAGAGCAGAGTTTCAGTGTTTCGGAGCAGAAACAAAAGAAGACCGTTGGAGCAAGATTTGAAATGAAGGCGGAGCCATAGAATGAAATTTTTTTTTTTTTTTTTTTGGCCAAAACCATAGAATGAAATTGAAGAGTCGTACTTTTCTCCAAAAATATTAAAAATAAAAATGCTCCTTTATTTTTCTTTTTGCGTAATTTATACCTATAGTATTATTGGGTCATAGTCCCCTTTTCAACGGTCCTCAAAATTTAAGCCGAAAGCCCAATATCGGATTGCGAAAACACTCAATATCCGATTTTGGCCAAACAACCCAACTTATAAATGAGATTTTGTAGTAAGTCCCCTCCCCCCACCCCAAAAAACAAAGAAGCTAACCACTTAACCATGATATCGGGTAAGTAGGCGTTTTATTTTCTCTGTGGTTACCATAATAGTAAGAAAATATTTCAAAACTAAACACTCGCAGTTTAATTTTTTTAGGATAGCATTTTAAATTGGGCTATCGAAATAAATGACATTTTAATTTCATGATTTGAATAAAGTTTATTAATGTTTAAAAATATCAAATATGCTCAAGGTAAAAAATAAAAAAATAAAAACAATCACATATGGTCCTTCAGCTCAAAATCAATTGACCATTGGTAGGATTTCATTGCTGGATAAAAATTAGTTGTGAATTGATAATTCAGTTCCTGAAATATCACATATAATCTAGGTGTTTTTTTTTTTGAACTTTGATTCAAATAGTTTTTAGGAAACAAAACTAGAGACTTTACATTTTACCTCCAGTTCTAATTATAAGATCTCGTTTGTAAACTATAAATTAAGTCTTATGATTAAAACCAGAATTAATATTTTTCAAAGTTGAAATGAAAAAAAAAAAGAAGATAGTTTAGTGATTTAACGGAAAAGCCATTGAAGATCAAATTGATGGTAAATTGCTGGAGGTGGACGTTAATGAAGGCATGCGGTAACGTTGACGTACGTGTCAGGTTGTGCAAGGCAATCAATGATGCTTTGATTGGCATTTTGGTAACGAAAGAAAATATGTATGCCTTTGGGAACATCGTTAGGTCACTGAGCCCACAAAAGAAAAATTGAAACATGCATAATCAAGTCAATCAAATCAAATAATGCCATTATTGCCATTTCATAAGTCATATCACATGTTGTTCTTTCTTGGACTGATATACGCTGCACACGCCTAACTCAGTATTACTGATGTTTTTGGCCCCTACAAAACCAGCTTCTTCTTTTTGTTGACATTAAAAAAATTAGGCGAGTTGGCCTTGCCAGAATTAGAGCATATACTTTTAGATTCAAAAAATACTTATAAACATACTTACATATCGTCTATTAATAAAATCTTCATATCAACAACAAGATTTGAATTCACCATGTGATGATAATAAGATAAAATCTTACCAATTGGATCAACTATTGCTCAGCATTAACTGAGGCTTATTACCTCACCTCTTCCAATACACTAAAAGCATAATCGGTAATTAATCCGATCCATGCATATGTTTGCGTGTCTGTTCAAGATTATGACATGAATGTGCCTATCAAACGAAACGATCCATCGAAGCTCAGAGTGTCGCTGTCTAGGTTGCGTACTCAGAGGGAAAATTATGACTCTGGCATGTACATTTTCATAAAAGATATATAACTGTTTGTAGTTAATATGAATATACTTGTCATTATGAAAAAAAAGAAAAATAAAAAGGAGACGAAGAAATGTTGAAAATAATCAATATATCATGGAGTCTGAATAGACACGTTCGGTATAATTGGTGATATCAGTGTCCTGGCCTAATGTCACTAGACGAATAAGGTCAAACCAGATACAGAAGTACTGAAAGATGATGAAACAAGCCTTATTGAGCCCCGCAGTCGTATTCAATCAAACCTAGATATTATATACTCCTCCGGTTCTTAATATAAGACCCATTTAAAATTTGATTAGATTAAGGAAGTTAGGTAAGTTAGTTAATTATAAGAAAAGTGACATATTTTTTCTAAAACACCATAATCATTTTTCTTAATACCCACTCTCCCCCTTCTACTTAATTATGATTGAGAGAGTATCCATAGGGATAATTTAGAGAAAATTGATAAATATGATAAATGGATCTTATATTTAGGACCAAAACCAACTCAAAAATTGAGTCCTATATTAAGGACCGGAGGAGTATATACATATTAATACCGTGGTTTTTTGGTTTCTAAAATTTCAAATCAGTTATTTTTATTCCTGAAATTTGATTTTTTTTAATCTACTTAAAGATTTTTTTTTCCTGACAGAAGGACTAAAACAAAAATGATGTCAAATTTTGATGAACTAAAATCATTGGTAAAATTTTATAGTCATGATTGAAAATAGTATTAACTCTATAAACTTATATGAATGGCTAAGTTTGGTTTGAATTGGTTTGGCACATTTATAGTCGTTGTTATATATATATATATATATATATATATATATGCAAATGTACAGCTTGGCTTTTGTCTGCAATATAACATATGAGTAGACTACAGCTGTGTGAAAGGCAGCTTCACCAGCTGTCATGAACCGAATATGATTCTACCTTCTACGTACTCTCTCTTCATTCTTCTTCCCATATTCCTCATTTTGAAGTTACGTTGCATCGTCCCAAATTCCATATCACTATCTCTAACTTGGCTGGCTCCTACTTGCAGAACTACCACTCCCTTTATTTCCGTTTCCATTATTTAGACTTAACTTTCTTCCCCTCTTTCCTTGGTATGTTTATTAATATATATGTACACGCCCCTCTAATAACGCTACCTATAACCCTATCGTTTCACCTTTGTTTGGCTGTATATGCGCATGATACAGAGAGAACACCAACCTCATATGGTCCATATATACAGCTCAAGGGTGATGAACATTTATAATACAATGGTGGATCTTATCTGATCAAATGAGACTTCATTACTAAACGAAGGAATTCACAGTTGGACAAGATTTGGATACATATAGACGTTCCCACTGTACTCCAACCAATTAGTTTAATTGTGTGTTTTGTATCGGATAATTACTAAGTTTTGATCTTCGCCAACTTTGAAGTCACGGACTAATTGACTTGGTCCTCAAAGATGTAATAAATCAAGTTAGGGTTTCGTTCTCCTTGACGTCAATTATATTGGTTGCACAGATTTTTTTTCCTTCCTTTTTTGCCCCATTGTGATCACTCCATATGAACCACGCACTGCACTTAGAAGACGACATAGCGCAAAAACATGTATATCATCCTTTCGATGGCTACAAATGTTGAAAAGAAAAGTTGTGTCGTCTCTTCTTGATTATACTGTTATTATTATTGTTCTGAAAATAAATATCAGGTTGGGGTTGAACGTGCTGGATCCTAATCGCAAATTGTCCTCTAAATCTATCCAACGGAGTCTGAATGAATGATTCAGAGATGAAACCAAAAATTGAGAAGATAAGAGTGAGCCGTGGGGGCACGAGGCTTTGCCATTGCAAGTCAGAAAAGTAAGCCAACCACAGCAAAGATATATATAGAGAATATAGCACTGCCTCTCAACCTTTGCTCCATACCAAAACAAAACAAAACCTCTTTTCACTGTCAGATTAAATGCTTCCCACTACATGCACTTGTCACTAACACAAACCTCTCCATTGATCAGAGGTTTCTTCCCCCCTCATGCCCCACGTTTTTAGCACTGATGCCAATAATATACCCCAGCTCATACACTTCCTCTTGTGCTATAAATGGAGACTCCTGGCTCCTCAATATTTCTGCATAAGAGAGACTTCCAAGAAGAAATAGACCATAAGCTCTATTCCTCTTCTAGGTTCCTGTGTTTTTGCCTTATCAATGGCTCTTTCTAAGCTTCTTGTTGCTTCCCTCCTCATCATATCCCTCTTCCTTCTTCACCATCACGCTGCGGAGGCGGTAATTAACTCAAACCATATATATACGCTCAATATCCCCTCTGACTCACATATATATAATTCGAAACTGATCCTATATCTTATACTAATATAAAAAAACAACGTTGTTCTTTGGGCAGGTCGAAGGAGAGGCAAAAGAGCAGGGCTCTGTTGCTGAGAAGATAGGTACGGCTCTCTCTCTCTCTCTCTATCTTCCTTTATGTACGCACATGCCTATATACATGGTTGTGTGTGTATCATATATATATAGAATGGAATTGAAGAGGGTGAATAATAATATCAGATTGTAATGGAGCATGTGGAGCGAGATGCCGATTATCGTCAAGGCCTCATCTGTGCAAGAGGGCGTGTGGGACTTGCTGTAGGCGGTGTAACTGCGTACCTCCTGGGACGGCCGGCAACCAACAAGTGTGTCCCTGCTACTACAACATGACCACTCACGGCGGCCGCCGCAAGTGCCCTTAATCGCTCTTCAATCTCACTCGCTCCGATCATTTTTCTCCCCGGTCATATTTATATTTCTTTTAATCACTGTTGAGTCCGTACTATACTCTGTTTCCTCTTATTTTACTTCCTGTACTACGCTAAATAAATGTCTTTTTTTCTTCTTTTTGTTTTTCCCCTGTTTTACGGCTGTTTATGTATTCAACTTGATGATATAAAATAAAATTTGCGTTTACACTTTAATTTAAATCTTTAATTGTCTATGTTCCATGGCGTTGCTGTACATCTCATCTCAAAATTTAGTTAAAATTATTTACAGATAATAGATATATGACAAATATAATTTATTTTTAAAGAAAAAATCTTATTTATAAAAAAAATGTGAGTGAAAGAGATAATGAGTGAAAGAAAAATATAAGAACGACGTGTAATTAATTAAGGTAAAAATGAAAGACGTGTTCGGTTAAATGTTTAAATATTAGAAAAGTGTGATGGCAGCTCGTAAAAAGAAGTGTAGCCGTCAGAAAATTGCACTGACTTATAAAAACGAACAGACGGAATAACATTCATTATTTCACGCTGTTATCATTAATGAGCTGGTTACTATTAATCAGTGAATCATTACTATCTGGAACGTAAGCTTATGTTCCTATTTATAAGTTATTCCCAATATGTTTTATATAAACTAAGAAAACTTAAAACGTTATTAACTCTCATTTAAAATTTAATAATTTTTTAATTTTATCCTTATTTAATATATATTATTCCTTATACAAATAAAGTCAACATAATAATAAATAAATGATAAATTGTACATTTATATAAAAAATTTCTCTTAATACACTATAAAAAGAATAAAAAAATGCATAATCTCTCTGCTATATAAATAGGACAAGAGGAATATATGATACATTTAATCTTTTCTTTCAATGTACACCAAAAATTCGCATTTACAAAGACAGTTTTTTCACTCTTTTGAAAAATATATATTAATGGTTGGCAAACCTCTAATATCTTAGGACTCACGCGTGCGTGCCCCAGCCAGTTTTTTTTTTTTTTTCAATGGAAAGTAGTTTTCTGGAAGCATCCCTGTGGTAAGGAGAAGAAGAATGCTTGCACGAAAATTTTTGTCCTGTATTCTTCTTCAACAGGGTATATTTGGTTGCATGAAGGAAAAGTAAAATAACAGGCAAAGTGAATTGGAAATCCATTTTCACATTATTATATAAAAATAAGACTATATAGTATTTGACCAAATAATAATTAATATATCGTATTTTGTGGGCATTATTTGCCCTTAAATTTTTGCACTATCAAACAGAAGTGAAATCCAAGTAAATAAGGATAGCACGAACTGGACCAAGCCCGAAACATGTACACATGCCCAGAGCAAAATATTTTCATTCACAAACCCGGCCTGTGTCTTTGCATTGTGACGGAAAGGTTCAAGGAGCCCGAGACGATTAAGATTTTGAAATTGATGAATGAGATGAAAATACTCCCTCCACCTTTTTTTATAAACAACAACTATCATTTCTCTTATTTTTAAATATAAATAATATTTATAAGTTGTCTTAAATTTTCATAGCAAATTTCCTATCTTGCTCCCATTAATTACTTATTTTAATATTTAAGATATTTATTGTCTCGTTTCCTAAATCTTCATCTCTCTTCATCACATATTTTTTCTCTTTTATAATTTTTTTTATTATAATAATTTTTTATTCTCTTTCTTATACTCTCTCCCCCCATAAATAAGAATATTTTAGAGAAAAAATTTCTAATTTTTATCTATTTCTTGTCTTTAACTAATGCAATGGAGTGTTATATTTCTTATAATAAAGGATAGAGTGAGTAAGAAATAGCGGCTTTTTCTTCCTTCAAAAAAGGAAAATTTAATCTGAGACAGTATGAGGGATGTTTATTATACGGGATGGTTTCGTATTTTTATCTTCTAATATGTATCTCATAGTTGTATGAGTTTTTATGACACATATACCTTTTACAGTAGATTGGGATTGTAACAACGACATCAAACATGTTTTGCTTCAATAGCTATTCACATGTTACTGGTTTAGGGCAATCCTATTCACCACGCTAATTCACGAATAAATGTCAATTTTCAATTAATTAATGTATTTACTCTACATACTGATTTTTTGTTCTCTTAATAATTACGGTCATTGAAGTAATAAAATATGACTGTGATGAGCTATAAAACGAAGCTAGATCGGTCCTAATCTTAATGCATGTTGTTTATGGAAAAAAAAAGAAAAGACTGAAGTGTGAAATTTGATCCTTTAACTTTATATAAGAACTTAATATGATCTCTTAATTTTAAAAAGCATATGTTTAGTAATTTAACCCTAAAATCATTAGATTTAAATGATATTTTTTGTAATAATCATTGTTGTTTTGAAAATTAAACTTAATATGATAACATTTAAAAATATCTTATCAATATTTTATATCTCAATGTCATATTTCTTGTTAAAAAAATTTAGGATTAAAGAGTTAAAAATATACTTTTTAAAGTTAAGAGATTAAATTGAAATTTTTTATAAAAATAAAGAATTAAATGTGCACTTTAACGGGAAAAAAAAAGAATAATAAGTGCTGAATTCAATATTTATCCGATAAAATACCTGCAGACACTTCTAAATTTGTAAAATAAATAGTACTCGTATTTGATGAAATTTAATGTAAAATAATTTATAACTTTATAGTTACCAAAATGCTCAATTTTTGCTAAAAAATAATGCCTAACAATATAATTTTGACAAAACATTGCCCTTTCAAAAAGAATTCAACAAAGACGCGTTTTTGTAAGGTAAAAGGGATTAAAGACGAGGGAAGGCAAGGACATTAATTAAATCCCCGAATTGATATTGCCAGATGTATGGAAATGATGTGGTTCGTAAAGGAGATTACAAGAGTAGCATTAAAGCTTAATAAATGATGAATCATTTGTGAATTGTAATGACGACAGAGGACACTTCATAATTTTACGTAGCGGCTGAGAAAAACATTAGTCACAGCTCACAGCCTGCGTATGCCCAGCGCCACACCTAACCTTGCTTCCCATCTCTGCCTAATATTACAAAATCCCCCCCCACTCCCCCCGGCGGCCCCTGTTCCCACCCCGCTTATAAATCCACACCCCTCTCATCCCTCTCTTCGTCACGCGTCATGGCCTTCTCCAAAGCTCTCGCCTCTTCCCTCCTCGTCTCCATGCTCATTCTGCATCTCGCGGAATCCGATCTGGTAATTTTAATAACTCTTACGCATCTCCTCTCACTCAGTTATACATTGTTTGATCCTCATAATTAAACGTTGTTTATCTGTTCATCAGGTGATCAAGACCACGGTGGACGGCCCCTCACCATCCCCTTCGCCGCCCCACATAGGTCCGTCTCAGTGTTACTGCTTCATTTTGCTCAGTTCACTTCTGTAGATTTCTTGGTTTATATTTATGGTTGATTTATAATGTGGAGCAGATTGCGATAGTGAGTGCGATCGGAGGTGCAAGTTATCGTCGAGGCCAAGACTCTGCAAGCGTGCCTGTGGCACCTGTTGTGCTCGCTGCAACTGCGTCCCCTCTGGAACTTCCGGCCATTACGACGAGTGCCCTTGCTACGCCAATATGACCACCCACCACGGCCGCCACAAATGCCCTTAGACTTATTAATTACGTCTATTGAGTTTAATCCTCATGCAATGTCTGGCGACATAAATAAATAAGTTATGATCTCCCCTGTTTCTATTTTAATTTTAATGTGTCATATATAATATATGTAAGGTCAGAAAATATATTCTGCTGTGTTAATTTATATCTTCATTATTTGGGTTCAAGGATTTTGTAGATTCCCCTAGAACTGAAAGTCCAGAAAAATGCTTCACATAAATCATACTTTTGAGTGGAGTGGTTTTGTTCGTTATGCCAGCACAGAAAACATGCGATGGAGCCGGAAACCAAACGGTTGCGCAAAATGAAATAAATGTAGGCAAACGTGAGTTGTGTATGGTGTTGAAGAAACGAGAAACTATCCACTGAGCTCAGCTTTCTTGGACAATAGAGCCCAATTGGCTGCAAAGTCCAAATGGAAAGCTAATATTCATCCCACCCATTCCATTTTGTTTTTACTTATAACTGTGATATGGATCCAAGGGTAAATTGGTCATTGACTAAAAGCACCAAGCAATCAGATCTCGCAGACACCCAGTAAACATGAGTCTTCTGCCCATCCGATAATTGCCGAGCTAGCGGCACGAGTACTTGAAATTCCCTTCAACCGGCCACCTCTTCGCCCAACAGCATCATCCTCCCGACTCACATGAAGCATATTGTTTTCACAATATGCTCATGATCGGCGCGTGCATTGCACTGGTCAGGTGGGCAAGTGGAAATGAAGCTCCCACAGCTTTCTTCTTCCTTTTCCTTCCCTCCCCTGCGCCTGAGAAAAAATTGCGCAGAACAGGAGAAACTCCCCGTTGCAGGTTGCAGGCAGCGTAAGAAACAAACAGAACGAGCCTGCTTCCCTTCCGTGCTGTACGGATAGATGCGATTGACACGTGTCAATTATCTTTGCCTGCTTTTTAAATCTTTTTCAATACCGGAGACATAAAAGATTAATAAGAACAATATCTGTGGAATAACTCTGTTTAAAAAATATCCATTCTGAAAATTCTATAATTATTTGAGGCATTCAACCCGTACCAAAAAAGACTTGCTTCAACCCTTTTTTATTTTGCAAAGAGAGCTTGTGATGTGAGAAAATGGCGAGAACTGCGAGGTGGCTGTTTCGCGAATCCTATGAACTCCGCTTCGCGGTTTTTCCGTCTAGACATTGACTCGAAGTTGGAGCTTTCTGAGCTCCAAACAGATTCCACTTTCTACTTAATTCCGAATTCCGAATGTGAATCTTAATTGGAAATATTATATAAAGCGTTTGTTTTAAAGGGAATACAATTTTCCCTGACTGATGTTTCTTTTCCTCTCGCACTGCCACTCTTGGAAGTCGTGTGAATCTAAAACGGGCTTTTGTCTCTGGATATACATCCGAATAATGAAACGAACAAATGCACATCCACATCCTCCCCGTTGCCGGAGTTGTTACCTCCCCGATTTGGTTCCGGCAGATTCATCATCAATGCATGCATAAAACACTTTCTTTTCCTCCTTCCCTCTTAATTTCCAGAGAATGTCTCATAAATTCTGAGTCATCAATATAATAAGATACGTTTGTCGCGGGTATTTCACGGGCCTCCTTTTCTTCTTTTGCCTTATCCCTCCTTTTCTTCCTTCCTTGTGATGTTCTTTTTTTTCTCCTTTTTTCTCCATATTTCCTCTCTCGTCTTTTGGCTTTATCTCTCTTTGCTTTGTAAACATTTTGCTTTATCTCACAAAGAACCTGATTCTCAGAACACAAGGCACGTAACTTTTCTCCCTTTCCTTTCTACCTTCTCATCTCGTTTCATTTGTACCTTTTTGTCTCTTAACCTTGGTTCTCTGGTCTTCACCGGTGAGATCCTTTCGAGCTCAGCTCTTAACTCCCCGCACTGAAACAGAGCGAGAGAGACGGATTTATATCCGACAGCTAAATTTATTTTATCATTCACTAAATTTAACCAAACACCCACTTTTTCGGTCTTCTTCCCGGCGGATATTTCGGGAGAAACGAAACCTATCAGTCTTTAATGCGTCTAAACGCTGTCCTTACTCACTTCACCCTTACATTTTCATTTCACTTCTGATCTTCCAACATACAGAAGTGAGAACCTTGCTTACTCTGATCATTTTTCACGCCCGCTTTTGTTTTTGTTGCTGAAGAATCTCCGACGGATGAATGAAAGAAAAGTAAGGATCCGGTTTCAGCTGTGCGTTCCGAGGTGGATTCCGACTCGTCTCTGAGCCTTCCAAGCCGTTTTCAATTCAGTGTCATTCTTGCTGGAAATGGACAAACCTCGAGGCGTGAGGCGAGGAGCTAGTCGGTTCTCAACCGCCAGGTTACGCGCTAAACAATCTGGACACAAGCTCTGCGGTGGTAAATTACTCAACACTCCCCATTTCTGGTTTTTTCTGAGCAAGGAAACAAAACCCATTTTGTGCTTGTCGTTACTTGTGTTCTCTTATCAGTTACTATGCGATAAGAGTTTGCAGATAACGCCTCTCCCTCGTTATTTTCCTTTTTCCTGTCCAAAGCTTTATTGGCCTAAATATCCTATTCCTGAGTGATAGGTTTGGATGGTATTGAGGGAGACTTCGAATTTCCGGTGAAATCAAAGAAGGAGAAGGTCAGAAGCTTGAGTGCTGTTGGCAGAGCGCTATCAAGTTGCGAAGAGTACAAAACGGGTTGCGATGTCACTGAAAAAGTAGACGAACTTCGTGTGCAATCACCATCCTCGAATACCACTGCTAATAGCAAGAGATTTAAAATGCCCAAAAGAGTGAGTAATTATTATAAGCTTATTTTCAATTCGTTGAGAGTGTATTAACTACTCATTTATCATGCTTTTAATTCTGCATTAAATGGTTTGACAGTTTTTTGATGACTGCAATGGCGTTGGTCACGCCTCTGTTCCGCGGAAACTACGCTCAGGTGCGTGATTTTTAAATTCAAGATTATAATTTATTCGTCAAAAATCTCTCCGGTTGCACCGCCCTTCCTATTCATAGCCGGTAATTTTGTACTAGAGTTGAAGCAAACTCTGGAGGTCCGGCTTGCTTCTTCATTATATTTTCGGGGCTCGAGATTCCGCCATGCTTCCTTCTGTCCTACAACGAACACTAACAAGAAAGTGCATATTACTTTCTATAAATAATTCTTAATTGCATATAAGATATATCTTCAATTGATTTATAGCTGACTCTATCGTCAAAGGTCAATAACCGAACTTGCGGTGGGAAGTAATTTTTTCGAAAGAAAAATTGTTAAAATTTGTCTCGTTTTCAATCACAGCCATGAAGAAGCGCAATCGCGAATACAGCCTACATGATTCAGAAAAGGTGAACCATAAGCTGAATGGAATAGAATCTCCTGTAAAGGATGGTATAAAGAAAACCAAAGTGAGTATGGTAAGTCGCGTGCCGTTGCAAGTTTCTAAACTTAATCTTCGCTACTTTATTTGAGTACTTCCATCTCACCTTTTCTTGGAATTTGCTTTTGTAGCAACAAGGAAGCCCAGACCGGTCCACGAGGCAAACAGTACCTGGCCCAATCACTAAAGATGAGGAAGAGGTTGTGGACACCTTGTATGCTCTAGCTGGGATGTTCCTTAACAACGACTCGAATGAGAGGCTTAAATTAGAGGGCGATTCTTCACCGGAGAACTCAAATTTGCGGGACTTGGAGCAGAATCCTAATGATGCTTTTGAAGGTTCTTATTATCCTCATCCGTTCAATAAATATTCTCTTCCCCATTATCCTTATCATGGCTGTCTATTCGTGACTTTAATTTATTTGGATGTTCTGTTGTACTGTAGACTCGGGAACTGCTCGGGATTCCCATCCTGATGCAGAAAGATCATCCGGAGAAGCAGCAATTACAAATTCTTCAATTGAAAGCAATGATAGAAAGCAGCCTCATTTTAGTGAGAATGCGAATTGATGACATCTGATAACGTACTTGCTCCTAATTTAAATCTGGACACCATGCCTATGTTAACTAGGAGTGAAAATGGCAACGAAGCTGCATTAGTTGACTCTGAGTTAAGTCTCGCAGTGGGGTACGACGATTTTCCTCTGCATTTTCAAAATGACAATCCTTTGCAAGTCCTTTTGTACATATTACGTATCGTCTTATCATATTGCAGATTAAGTATGCCAAGACAATCACCGAAATTACGTGATGAAAGGAAACCAGAGACGGTAGGCATTTCAACTCTACTGTTTACACTTGAACTGTTTAAAAATTGGCCGATATTTTCTTCTTGTCCCCCCCCCCTTTAGCGGAGGCAAAGGGGGTGCTTGGAAGGGGGGGAAAAAAACGCATCCAAAATAATTTTTCCTATTATAATGAAACCTTCGAAATATGGGTTTGAAAAGGATGATAATGAAGTTTTGCCCCACCAGCTGGGAGAGAAAAACGTTTGTCCCCTCCATAAAATATTTCTTGGCCAGCGCTCACACTATTGGTGTTATCGGATAAAATTTCAGGCTGGAGCTGTTGAACCTAAACAAGCATTTCAGGTTGGGACTGTTGAATCGAAACAAGTACATCATATGATGAAGGACCAAAATAACAATGGTATGCTTCCCACGGACTCAAAATGTCCTAATTTAATCGTGGCGAATTTTCTTATTTTTGGCGAGTGAAATATAAACTGAAGCATGTCTCATCAATTTGACCAACTCCTTATTGACGACTGTTGTTTCTTATTAGATCGTCCAACATTGTGGCCGGGGTTATCACTTGCAGCTTCTGCTGGGAGCCAGGCTTCTTATTTACAGTAATTTTCTTTCAGTCTTGTTCAATTAGACATTGCTAAATAGCCTTTTATTATTATTTTTCCCCTACTCTTCTTCAGGTAGTTTAAATCTAATGCATTTTGCGTCTTAAGGTCTCCTGCTGCTAAGGCTCCAATTGGGCCCGATGCTGCTAAATGTGCCTCTAAACAGGACTTGACACAAGGAGGTTCTTCTGATGTAAAGGTGTAGTATTATGTTTATTTTTTATCTTTTTTCTCTTTTGCTTGAATGACCTTTGAACGTCGACTTAGTGATGACAAAATTAATCAAGCAGATTTCAGAAGTTGTAGTTCATAAGAAGTTATGGAAGAGGTGTGTGGCACACGTTTACATCAGCAAATTCATTCGGAGTTTACAAGTGCCAATTAGCAAGGACACGCCGCAGAAAGCTAATCATTCTAACCAGCTGAGAACCAATGATGGGGATCTTATTGAAGCACGAAACTCGAACACGACAAGAAGTGGAGTAACTTCAGCACCAGGTCATTCTGACACTGCGAAGGACTTGCATGACAATAGGAACAGTATTCTTCAACAGTCATGCTGTTATCATGAACCTCTGACACCTGATGTGTATGGTCCTCAAAAGCAAGTAAGCTTTAAGATTGCCCTTGGTAGTGATGCCTCCCCTTGATCCCTTTTTCTCATGTCCTGAAGAAAGCCCATGTTCTGCAGGGTTTGGACTTATTGTCCTTGTCAAGTGGTGGTAATGGGATAAAGGTGAACAACAAACTTGATAAAAGTGGAGGAAGCAGGTTGGAACCATTGCCAAAGTTGCAGATGCCTTACTTTCAGCCACTAGCACAGCTGCAAGGGCTCATGCGATTTCCTGTGTCTCAAAGTCAATATGCTGCCCCTTCTTACCTTACTCATCAGGTTTCAGCTGCAGGACAGCAGGTTTTAATCTTTCTCTGTTGCCAAATCACTCAGGTCCCACTTCTAAGATACGTCAAAATGCGATTATTTCACATTATGTGAAAATGACGTGGCTAAAAATTTAGTATTAACTACCTATAAACGGCAGTTTATGTCCACTATTATACCAACGCGTTCCTCATTTCTAATGCTTCAATTGACCGCAGGTTCTGCCTCACTATTATGGTAACTCACCATGGGTAGGTCGTAATAGTTCGACGGCCTCAAGTAATAAACACCAGCCGCAAAGCTTCTGGGCTGTGCAAGTAGCCGCCCAAGGGCAAGGTAGGTCTGGTGTAAATTGCAATATTATGAGGCCCCAGTATTCCAAATGGGAAACTGGAAGGCAAGACAGTGTAGTAATCCAGCCATGATTCCCCAATCCTCTGCATCCCTTCAAGTAGTTGGATCGAGGTTCGCTTCAATCTCAGAGCAGCAGCAGCAGCAGCAGTTCATTTCCCTTCCTTCATCACTGCCCCAATCCAGGACAAATGGGTTAAATTTTCTGGTCCCTCCTTCTGCGTGTGAGCGCAGTAGAGGCAGGTTCCCTACTAGTCGGCGTACACCATCACTTCAATTGCTATGTGATGAGCGAACCTGAAAATAATCATTTTCAGGGAAGAAGGTGCGGGACGCTATTTCCATGCATGTTTCTTTAAGTTTGGTTTTAGTTCTGCACTTGTCATGCCAAAGCCAAACACTCGCATGCTGGAAGTGGCTCCGTTGAGAGGTATGCCAATGTGTGTTTCTGGCCTGACTAAGCAGGACATCAGACAGATAAATATAGGGGAAGCTAGATTGAACAGGAAAAGCGTATGCTTATAGAGTCACCGTGTGTCAGTTCTTGTGAGGCCCCCTCTATTTGCAAAATAGTCCTAGCTTTGATTATTTTAGTCTTATTAGTTATGTCGCGTCCTTGTCTATCTTTTCGGACTGCTTTATATTATGAGGCGAAGGTGGGAAAAGTCATGCACGGTCACGTATTTGGAGGGGATGTCTACACAGCAAAAGGGGGAAAAAAACCGTGATTTCCGCTCGATATTAGTCTCGTCACCCATCTTCATGTTTCAGCCGAACTAAGATTTAACTTCGACATTTATAAAGATAGAAATGCTATTATTGAGCCCAAAATCATGATAATGGAAAAATGGCCTCCCATATACTCATGCATGTTGAATCAAATTGTACTAGATCTCTGACCTCATCTTTCTAAGCATCTTTTTACTTCTCCATGAAGAAAATGAGGTACGTCACATTTTACAATTTTCATTTGCACAATATCAAAATTAAAACCATTAGGTTGAAGTTTATAAATTTTTTTTGTATTTTAGATGCATGAAAAATGAAGAGAAGTTTCGGGCCGAAAGCCAAATGATGACAAGTTAAACAAGAAGTTCAACTAATCCTGATTTTTTTCCCCATAACTATTGTAAAATAAATGTAAATATGTCAGTTTCATAATACGAGATTAGCCTTAGGAGACCTGGGAAGATAAAACAGTGCCGAGAGGAAAAGGTTGGTCCGCATCTTTGCGCTGCGAGCCTGCGACTATATGGTACTATCGTTACAAGATATTTCAATATTCTGGTATAATTAAAAAGCGCCAAGTGAAATTGGGAAAACGTCGGGGGTGTTGATTCCGACGTTGAGCGAGTGGAATTGTGTGCTGTGATCCTCTTGGATCAGATTCTCTTTGATTTTGTTAGATACCTACCCTCTGGCTACAAGATAAAATTAGTTAATGTCACGAATTTTAAGACGTAATAGTAATTAGTATTTTTATATTTATAAAAAACACATGTTTTTTTAATTTTGTTTTCCAATATGTAAAAGTTTGCTAATACTCCTTCTACTTTTATTTATAAGCTTTAAATTTAAAGAATAATCTAGTTCATTTTATAAGTTTTAATTTAAATTTATTTTAATATTTAAAATATTTTTTTAGTGTTGTTCTTAAATATTTCTCTCTTATAATATTTTTCTCTATGTTCTCTTTCATTTTTTTTATTTATTATATAGCATCCAGCCGATAATAAAAAGATATAGACAGTTTGCAGTAAGGTTGCTTGTAAATCACTGGGTAACCAGTCTTTACTTAACTCGACCCCCTTTCGACTCCCATGTTCGAAGAAAGCCAATAACTCTTTCTTTATCACCGTAAGTAGCAATAGACGGATCTTAGCTCTTTGACTCTTCTTGAACTGGATTCCACTCTAAGGGAAGTGAGCCAAGGAAAGGCTGTGAAGGTTCCACTCCGGTGAAAGCCCTGGGTTGCGTAGAGAAAGGATAATTGAAGTGGGTAAGGCAAACTCTGTCTATTCCCAAAAGGGAGTCCTATCTCTGGTCTGCGATCCTGGAAAGTCTTCCTAAAATACTTTGATTTACAAAGTCATTCTTGTCTTGTAACTTAGGACAGGGATGAGTAACGGAATCTCAGGCATTGGGCAGGTGAACCTGGCTACACAACAACTTTGACTATAGCGGAGGATCTAGTTCCACACCAATCTGCTTATATAAATAGCGTACCTACGATCGTTTGCTTGGGATGGTACTCCGAGTAGTGGGTACCTCGTAGGACCTCGACCCGCCTACTCGGGTCTTGTATGGATATGCAAGAAGGGGTGCTCCTAGGTGTGTGTAGGGGTTGTGTTTGTTCGCGAGAATGGATTCCTCGTCAAGTCTGTTTGGGGGGTGTGGACACACTTGCGGGCTAGCATGAGGACAGATAGGCTAAAGAGAGGTTAGCCCTAGCTAGTGTTAGAGAGCTTGCTGGATGAGAGTTGACTAGACTGAGTTCCACTTCCATACTCTAGTTTACAGAGGGCTAATGGCTGGCTTGTTGGTTTAGTATAAAACTATAAAGGCATAAAATCTCTTATTTTCTATATTTATAGATTCATATAGCGTTCCTACTTATAACATTTGAATTTCTCAAAACATTTTAAATTGTAAACGGGTATGGCTTTAACTTCATTCATTTTGACAAGGATAAAGGCTCTGACTCTTACACCGGTTAGGTTACCGGCTTGTGCCCCTAGCTAGTAGGTAGGTGAAAGCACTTATTCCTTTGGCTTATCGAAACCCTCTTTGATTTGGTTTCTGTCCTGTCTTATTCCAAGGCTGGAGAGTAGCCGCCTAACTGTCCACTCACCCGCAACCCTCGACCGCCAACTCTCCATCATCTTTCTTTGGCTGAGTGGCATGTATTTCCATGGTGCTCGTTTTTCCAATTATGAAGCATGGCTAAGCGATCCTACTCACATTGGACCTAGCGCTCAGGTGGTTTGGCCAATAGTGGGCCAAGAAATATTGAATGGTGATGTAGTCGGAAACTCTCCAGTCCTGCAGCAGAGAGATCCTTAGAAGTAGAAGAAAGGGCCTTCAAAGAGGGCATATCCCGCCAAAGAGAACTAGAAAGAAAGCGAGAGATCCCATTTCCTCATGAATTTATCTTGAATCGGGATCTTTTGGCTCAACTTGATCCCAATTTTGCTGAGGGAGCAACCCCCTTTTTCACCTTAAATTGGTCAAAATACGCGGAATTTCTTACTTTTCGTGGAGGAGTGAAAGATTTGCCAAGTGTGAAGTTAGTTTTTATACCCGGCGTGGCGCTGCCGGATGCTTGATAGAGCCAAAGATTCCCCCTACTGATCGGAGTACGCCGATTACCTCCCGAACCGTACAAGATAGTTACCGCCTATCATACAAGCGCGAGAGAAGCAAGCAAAGTAGAAGCTTTGCCAGAAGTAAGACGAGGAAGCAGAGCTGTCGTATAAGCGGTAGCTTCCCCCGACCTACTTAAACAACTTCGTTTAGTAGATCGCTTGAGCGCAGATGAATGAGTCTACTAGGTTATCATCCACAATATGTTTAGGTTTTCTTGCATTAAAGGTAACTGCTGCTCATTGAACCTTATTGCTGACTTTATGTATTTCAGGTGCTGTTTTAACACAGCACGATCATACATGCGAAAGCAAAAAAAAAGCGAGACCGAAGCAAAAGATGACTACAGATACTGAAACCCATTGATTTTTTTTTTCTAAAAATAGGAATAAAGAGTCCAAATTAGAACCCCTCATTTCAATTTCATTCACTTTATTTGTAAGTTCAGTCAATTGCTGACTAATTACCTTGAGATTTTTATTCATTAAATTCGTATCGCTTGCTTCCCCCCAAAAAAAGTCTTTGGTTGAGGGCCGGAAAAGTGAAATCATTCGCCGGAGGAGAAGGAAAAGAGTCCAGGCCCGCCTGCATGGTCACATGACTTCTTAATATTCTTACCTTTGAACTTATAAAAGGTCCGCATTTCACCCGCTTCGACGCCGGGGAAGAAGAAGAATTATAGATCGAATGCGGCTGGGATTGAGGTACGAAGTCACTGGGTTAGTACCGCTCCCGCTACTCATAGAAGTGCCTGGCTCAATGGATAAGGGAGAACATCAGCGGAGGACATAGAGTGTCTTGCCGTCAGGTACGAAACTGAAAGGGCTTAGCCAACGAGTTCAAATGTTGAAAAAATAAGTGAATGAGCATTAACGAACTTCCCAGCTTAAGGGGATATGAGCCCAGAGGGCATAGGATTATATTCACCGGGTCTTGAAATAGATTATAAGGCTTTTGCCCTAGGGTTATTGATGAGTTTGGAGTTGGTCTTTGTGGGCTTTAATTTCCCATATGACATAAGCGCTCTTGGGTGGGCTGGGCCATTCCATCAAATCTTTGAGAAGGGGCCCAATCTCATGCTCGACAAAACAGAAAGTATCACGGTACCTTTAGTCAAAATCCCTGTTTTGAGATTTTTTTTCTATATCCGCCCAAAAATGAGTTAAATTGGTTAGAAAAAGGTCCCATTTAGAAACAAAACTGTATATTTTAACTAATTTATTATTGTTAACTGATTTTAATCAATTATTTGTTATCCGTAAATCAATTATTTGGTATAATTAAGGAAGAGCAATATTGGAAAAAAAATTAACCACAACGTTTTTATCCTATATTTAGAATTAAATAAAATTATAAAACTTTGTCCCATAATTAAAACAGAAGAAAATATATGACTAGAATCAAGAGAACTGCTTTTAAGAAATATGTAGAGTCTAATATTGCAATTTAGAGTAGAATTGATTGATGCAAGGAATCACGAACTTGAAGGGGACAATTGAGTTGAAAGGAGAACAACAGAATGAATCGAACGTAATAGTATGAGTCAGAAGAGAAATCATTTTTGTACGGGAAGATGCCTATTTCGTGGTACCGAATCCATTCATGTAGATTAGGAAGCTAATGCGTGTACTTGGCATTTAATATAAATAATAACTGAAATCCACAAGGAGATGGAAATGCAAGAATATCAAAGTACAAAACACAAGTCAATCCAGGGCAGTAAATCTATGGTAGGGAGGCATGATTTTGTTTTTCACACTTGGCTGATTGTTACCAACACAATAATTGGTCATTATTTTTGTTTATTACTTTCCACCAATAGCCTTATTTCTTTAGCCTGCGTTAAATTCAAGCATTTGACGTTACCTTTGTTTTGGACCATCCAGCAGTATTTGACGTTATCCGGTACTACAAATTTGAACAAGAAAAAGACGTAATATAATGCTTGCTATAAAACCTAGTCATCATCTATTCTCATTTACAATTCACCTTTCTTTCAAAGACTTCGATATATGTCTATTTATAAATCATTTTGTAAAATCTACAATGTGAAAATTTTGGTGCTGAATGCCTGAACTATCAGGATATTGCTTAATTAAACAACGAACATGTCAATTATTGGACTGCATAAGAAATTACGAAAGCAGTGGGTCACTCAGCATGAATTTGCATGATCAGTCAAATAGATGTCCATCATTGAATTTGAAAATATAGGGCAGTTCTATAGGGTCTATAGGCTAATTAAAGATGAAGAATCGGAGCATTTGGATTAGCAGAATATCATCTTTCTTCTATATATATATATATATATATATATATATATATAAATAGAATATGATAAGGGTGGACCATGGAAGAAGCTGAAAAGAGGTTGGCTCAAATGTAATGTAAGTAGATTGGAAGCAACGAAGCTTGGCCGCCTAGATGAATTGGCGAATCCTCCCTCAGTTCTGAAGCACTCTTGTTTTTGTTTCGGTGTGATCAGCATCTATCTTTCAGCATCAACAAATGAATTGAAACATGAATAAGCAACAAGACGAGAGATAGATACAAGTCCACCTTTCTTTGCTTCGTCACCAAGTCTTGGCCCCTCCCCTTTCTGCATCCAACCTCCACCACGTAAGCGTCTATCTTTATCTCTTCTTCACTTCTCATTTTCATGTTTTTGTCCACCACATACCCTTGCTTGGCTTGCACTGTTTTAGCTGCACGCTGTGTCAGATGTTTGCTTGTAATGCCTGTGTTTAACTCTAATGAAGTTCTTGTTTCTATATATCACGGCAATGGAATATATAAAGCCGGTGAACACTTAAGTTTAATTAATTATATGCATACCTAATCAATTTGACTGGATAGTTGCGTGTGGAATACACAAATGTAGATACCCAGAAGAGCTGGCTATGATCATCAGTGCTGGAGAGTTGGAAGCTTTGCGACACAGCCAGAGGAAATTAAACTAAGTTAATGGCACATTTTTTGTCTTCTCTCCTGCTAGAGCTTGAATCCACAAAGCATGAAGCAGCGGACCCGAGATTCTCAGATTGAACATCTTAAGTTCGGTCAAAATTTTGAAATAATCAAACCTTCCCCGGCCCACCAAGAGACAGTGAGGCTCCAAAAGAAAAGGCATTTCACATTTTTGAATAATCCACCATCGGTACTGCCTCTTGTGATGCTTCCACGATGAAAAGTTTAGGAGGAAGATCAAGATAATTAAACCTTTGATTCCGTTTATTGGAGCTCTGTTTTTCTCGGAAAAAGGGAAACCGACAAGCTCAAACTTAAGATGAGAAACGTAAGCGGAAGTGCGTGTGGAGGTTGTCGACTAAAACTCATGTAGCAACCTATAAACAACAGCCTATACTTCGTTTCTGACTTAGCGTGATGCCACTTAGATTATTGATCTGCTTGTCTTAAGTTTATTGTTTGCTTTGGTGTTATACTGTATTGGATTATATGTTACACAATGAGCACGAAAAAGTCTACACCCATCCTATAAGAGCCTATGTTATGCCCTATTCATGGATTTAATGATTATTTTTACTTTCATGCTTTATTAGTTCCCGACCTCCCCATATCATATATGTGAGATTTTCTCTGCCCATATATCCTTGCATAACAGACATGTGTAGAGCTCCAAATTAGATCCCCATTCGTCTAAACAAATGAAGTTTGATATGTACGACACGAAGATGAAGCAATGGTTTTATGTGCTTCCAATAGAAGACTTCTGAAACCAAGTATATTCATTCAATCATTCCTGACTGGACAATGGAAGAAGCATAATTGAACCAAAAAAAGAGAGAACAAAAGGAATTATAGAAAAGATCAATCATAGTGGTCAATGAATTGATGAAGTATCTGATATAAAGCAGTCCCATATACATGCAACATATATATTATGCGCTCAAAAGAGAAAGATAAGAAATGAATCATGGTTGGAATATAGCACGATGATGACCATGTCCGCCGTATGTCGTCAGACAACATCGGAGTTCCGAGGATCCAAAAAGCCATCTTGCGCCGACTTATTGAAGAACTCAATGCAATCGGCAATAGCCTCGTTGTAATGGGAGTAAGAGGAATAATAAGAGCTACATGAGGTCTTGGGTGGCTCAAAGCGATCGGAGTTCCTGTGCTTTGAAGAAGAAGTAGCAGAAGATGATGAGGCAGAAGCAGAAGGAACGGAGAAGAGAAGACGCATAAGGATCTTACGAAAGCGATGAAACAGCTTCATGGCCGACAGGTTGAACTTGGAAGAAGATGAAGAACTTGTTGGTTGAGGCTGATGAAGCACTTCACTGCTTCCTCTTACTTGTATCACGAAGCTCTCTTCTGTTGGAGGATTGTGCATTGTATCTGTGTGTGTTTCAACTTTCAAATGTGTGTGTTTGCTATGATGAATCTGGTTTGCAGGTTCTCAAGGGCATAAAAAGAGCCATCTTTTTCTTTCAAACCCTACGATTTTATTCCAAAAGTGATGCTCCCAAAAGATTCCCATGTGCTCAAATCATTGGCATGCCCAGCTCTTGTCTTCCCAGATTAACTGGTTTCCTCACCAAGTTTTCTTTATTGCATAAAATAATTTATCACTCCAGGAGATTAGCTAGTCGTAATTAACTTCCCTCTCTCCAGAGCCTTTGATTTGACTAATGACTTTTGATAAAACTGGAGTTTTCGAGATAATTAAACCTCGACGAATCTCCGACAATCATTATATGTGACCTTCGTGGAACCCATGTAGTACCTGTCTTTTACAATTTCTGTGACATTTTCTCTTTTCACAAAGAGTGGGCAGAAAGGCTAGAGAGCCAAGTGACGAATGGCACGTGGCGGATCACATCCTTAACTGAAAAGTGATGTGGTTTTCTGGGAGACCGAACCATGATTTTGAGCCTGTCTTGTCCTGTGATTGGCTTTGTCTTGGAGGTTATTGCACAAATAATGAACCAGTGAAATGAAACAGCCACATTGAAAGTATGGAAGAGAGGTCCAAAACGTTAAACGTTCAAATTGGATCGGTAAAGACTAAAAGTAAAGATATACGAGGGACATACGCTCGGGAGTCCTGTGATAAGGTGAGCTTATAAGGTGGAAATAATTAATCAGTAAAAAGCTATGACGGAAGAGACAATGGGAATGGTATTAAAGGGAAGGGTTCAGTTGTTTGGCGTAATCATGGTGTACAGGACATTATAATTGTGTCTCGTACTTGCTTTCTCTGAACTATACGAAGATGTCACTTCCAGAATCATTAGGTCAATACCATTCAATGTTCAATTGTTCATTAAACACAATCCCCATGATTATCCCGTAGGTTAGAAGCTTTATTAATACTCTTTTTATCCTTAATATAGGATTTAATTGTTAAGTTATTTTTAGTTTTAAATACAGACATATTTTTATTTATTAATTTTTTCTAAATTATTTTTATAAATACTTCCTCAGTCATAATCAAGTAAGTGAGGGAGAAAGGATATTAAGAAAAATGATTATGGTATTTTAGGAAAAACATGTCATATTTTTTTATAATTAACTAATTTATCTAACATTTTTAATTTAATCAAATTAGTTAAATAGGTCTTATATTAAGAATCGGAGGAGTAATTCCCTTTTCTTTTTTTCCGTGTCATATTGTGGGTGAAGGGCAGGTAATAAAATATAAATGGAATAAAATCATGTAGTATTATTCAAGCAAAAGTTAATTTAATAACAAATCATTGCTCTCGCTGATTTTGAAAATTCATCACATTTATTAATTATTTTGTGCTGGGAAACAATATCATTGAGGACGAAAAGCAGATAATATTAATATGTGAATTAGTCTTTTGTTAGGCCTCCCATAATTGTCATCCATGTTTTGTTATATTACTATTTTGTATCTCTCTTCTGTCAAAAAATTTAAATATTGATTCACCACATTATAAAAAAATTAACTTTTTTTTAAGACCTAACTCCTATTGGTTGATCACTAATTAATTAAAGACAATAAAATTTTTTGCTACAAAAGACAACAATTTTTTTTTTGCTCGGAAAAGACAACCACAAAATATTTTTTTGGTACAAGTGAGGGCTGAAAGCCCCAATTCAAATGAATTCATGACATTCATGTTCACCAGGGTCTTCAAATGCACATGGCAAGAATAAAAAAGGACGGATTGTGACAATCCATTTTAGCTAGAGCATCTGGAGGCTTATATTGTACTTTCGTTGAGATGTACCTCAGCCTGACTTCCCAATTGTACTATAACATCTCCAATGTTCCAAGATAAATGAGACTACAATTGTCACTTCTCTTTTTCCTGTTCAGTTTCTCAAGTAAATTTTTTGCATTTGATTCAAGTGATACATGCTGAGAGCCAAAATCCCAGGCTAGTGTCAAGCTTGTGAAAATCGCCCATTGTTTAGCTTCTGAAGGACTACAAATCCCAATTTGATGGCAAAACCCAGCAATCCAAATGCCTCCATGGTCTTGAATAAGGCCGCCCCAGCCAGCCTTTGAACAAGCAAGGATTTGACATATCTACATTGAGTTTAACCCAATCAGGAGGAGGAAAAACCCAAACAAGCTCCTTAAAGGATGGTTTAGTAGAGAGAACATCCTCCTTAATACTAATAGAGACATAATTCTGCCAACAATTCCTAATAGTACCAGCAGGATCAAGAGGTCTATCTTTAGCAGGCTCAAAAATAGAACTGTTTCTCTATAACCGGAGTTTCCAAAAAGAAACACCCCATACAAGCTCCCAAGTATGCTGAATATTCTTCCCTCTTTGCTGCTTTAGATTATCAGAGATCCACTCTTTTTGACGGTGCATAAAAATCGAATGTAGGGTTCCATTTGGATGCGAGAGAGCCCAATCCCCTGTGGACCTGGACTGGCGCGCATATATGGGCCGATTGAGACACATGAACTAAGAAAGCCCGAAGTTGAATAGGTAAGAACCCCGCCTCTATAAGTCGCAACGGCTCGACTGAGGGTTTTTCCGTCACCAGCAACCGCAGGCCTGTGGCTCGAGAGCGGTTATTTAAAGGAAAGGAAACCAAAACTTGCCTGTGAATCTCTGGAACCACACTTCACTGTGGCCTCCTCCTTCCACTCCAAGGCTGCTGTTGCAAAATTCAAACACATAAACCATCATAACTAATTAACGACTGCTTCGTGTTGTTTTCCGGGAGCTGTTCTTTTTGTTCTTGAAACGGCTACACATCCGATTCTCCAATCAAAATAAAGAGGATGTCGTCAAATACTGAACCTACCAATACAAACATAAACTCGAGGATTACGTCGGAAGGGTGCAGTGTTTTGCTCGACATCAACGATGGGGACCGTCTCGTTTTTGCTCGACTCTCTGCTGCCGCGTCAGTTTCCCTGAATGTTTCCCTACTCTCTTTTTTAATCAATGAGCTATCTCGTTTTGATGCACTGGATGGCTTTGCAGGAAGTTGAAAATTGGGAATAAGAACTGCTCTCTGCGGCCTTTAATCGGGTGTAGCTATGGTTCTCTTTTTCAAGTTGAGACTGGACCTGACGGCCCTTTGTTGGCTCCGGTTACTCCTTCAGTCCAAGGTTTGATTTACTTCTCTTTTTCTCCTTTCGTGATAAATGTATGTATTTGCATATGTAGCCAACGAGGGTCAGTTTCTCTGGAGACATGTTTTTTGCGTTTGGAATGCCGTTTGGTACAGTTAAGTGAATACTAGAACCAAGCAAAATTACTACCAAGCTAGTGTGCGGACTGTTAAGATTGTTAAGTTGCTGCTTCATCAAGAATCAAAATATTTCATTAGACTCTACCTTCTATCTTGCATGTGTCTTATTTCTGTATTTATATCTTTAGGCGATGAAACTGAAGAGAAAAGGGGCAATCAATTAAATGTTGAGGCCAAGGACAACCGGGCACTGATTGACAATAACAAAGCCCAAACCCTTACTGGTGAAGATATACAAGCTATGAAGAGGTGAGAAGATTAAGGCTTCCCCCCCCCCCCTCCTTTTTGCTTGGAACCTAGTTCACACATGGCATTAGTGACATCAACATGGTGATTTTTAAATGTTATTCTTGTGAGATCCTGAAACCTAGTCCACCTTTTTTTATTTAATATTTTAGTGGAGCTTAAATAATCTTTCATGACATTCTTTGTAAAATGGACCTTACCGTAGACCTTTTGTGCCTTTTCTTAAATAAAGGAATTGTCTATTTATGATCTCCTTTTAGTTCTTTGAGATATCAGTTAAGAATCATTTGTAGATGTAGTTCTTCCTTAGAAGTTTGATTAATGCTTATTCGTCACTACTTATAACTCTTTTGCAGTCAGGGGGCCAGAGGTGATGAAATTATTGATGCTCTTATTGCCAATAGTGCAACATTTGAAAAGAAAACATCTTTTTCACAGGTATGTTGAAGTATAGAAATATTGCATAGTTTATTTTGGTACAAGCTTATATTCGATTCAAGTTGTGCAGGAGAAATATAGACTTAGGAAGCAAAAGAAATATGCACCAAAAGTATTACTGAGGCGTCCTGTTGCTCGAAGGTGATCTTGAACATTATCTGTAGTTATTACATATTACGAAATTCATATAAGAATGTTGCCTTGTATTTTGGGTCTCTAGGGTCTGCCAAATAACTGATGTATTTTTTTTCCATTCTTTTTCAGTATATGTGAGGCCTACTTTAAGAAGTATCCAGCAAAAATTAGGTGAGATTTATAACTTATGGGGACACATATATTTATCTGGTCATTTGAATTCTGGTGCCCTGTCTTTGAATGAAGGGCATGTGTTTATCCTCGATTTTGTTTTTTATGTATTATTTTTTCAATTAATTCAGGTTCATGCGTGTGGATACATTATCTCTTCTACTCTCCATGGCTAATGTCTCTTCCCACTCGGACATTCTTGTTGTTGATATGGTTGGTGGCCTTCTTACTGGTGCTGTGGCAGAACGTTTAGGAGGTGTCCTATGCATTTCAAATTAGTTGGCTTTTAAGTTTTGCTCATTTGTTCTCAGAAATTTTAATTGAATGTTAAAAATACTGTGAATGTTGCCAAAAACGAAGAAGTTAATATACTTTAAACATGATAATGAGACAGAAAGCAGACTCACTCAGTTGGTTTGTTTTGTTTCTGTTTCTAAGTGCTGAACTTACATTAATTTTAGCAGCTATTATGCCTCATACTAATAATAGTATAACAATTACAGGTACAGGTTTTGTATGCAACGCATATCTAGGAACAGCGCCATATTCCATGGATATTGTGAGGATATTTAACTTTAGCACTGAAATTTGCAAGAGGTACTTGACCTGATTATTTTGTTTTAATTTATCATACATTTTTCATAACCTTTCTAGGAACAAGACATTGAATGGGGACATTAAATAAGAAATAATTTAACATTCTTAAGCCAATAATATCTCCCTAGTGTACACAGTGTTGTTTTTTTAATACTAATCTACATATTGTTTATACTATATAAATGCAATTATCTTTTTCTTCAAAACTAGCAGTCTTGGATAAATATATTTTCCTGTTTATTTCTGTGGAAGTTTCTTCATCCAGATGGGAATAAACAAGAAGCATAAGTAAATGCATTGATTAATCTGCTTATTCTCCATAAATAATTGATGTGTCCTCTATTATAGTTTATCATCAAGTCATTACATGTTTCTTTCAGATAATCACAGATGATAAATCTAAATGACTGGTTTGCAGCCACATCAGATGGTCACTTTTTATGTGTATTTCCAACCTTTTTTTTTCCCTTTCCACTTCCTTGGTCCAGAATTGTTCGGTCTCCCATTTCTGATTTGCTGTCACAAAAAGAATCACCTGAACAAATTCTGCATCGTGATGATGTTTGTAACATGGAAAGCCTGGCAAATGTAAGTACTTTGTAGCCTTCTTGAATCTCTTGTCCGTTAACGGTGGTAAATTTATCAGACAATCTTATATGCGCACCCTGCAGAATCAAATGTCAACATCAGTTGGTGTGGATGAAATCTCTGATCCATCAAGAAATGAAATTTCTGATCAGGGTGCTGAGAAAGTTGAGAATACCAATATCCCACCTGTAAGAGCAGGCAAATCCACAAAGGCTGGAGAAAGGGCACAACAAGAAACCATTAACGTGTGGAAAGAAAATGGTTTTTCTAGGTAGCTAAAATTTTTAGTTACTATGCTCTCTTGTTAGAGAATCATTTGAGTTAATTTTCTTATTACATTTCTCTGTACAGCTTAATTATTACTGCGCCAGATCTGGATACCTGGACATTGGTTAGAGACCTCTTGCCCCTCTTATCAAATTCGGCTCCCTTTGCTATTTATCATCAATATCTTCAGGTAATTTGGCCTAGTATTCAAACTTGATGACATTTATGCACGATAATCTCATTGGAACAAATTAGACTGAGGAACTTGAGTTTTTTACTTTCCCACTGAGCAAATATGCGTATATGACACACTATATTGGCTTGTAAGATCCAACCCAGCGCCCTTATTACGCCCAAACTACTAATATGCAGCAAGAAAACGCAGAATGATGCAAATGCTATTGATATACCTCTGGTATAGAATATTGAACCACACAAATACTGCAGATGACACTGATGAGTGATGACAGTTTCAGAATATAATCAAATAGGACGAACCAAGAAGACTTGAACACTTTCTAAGCAAGCACACACTTCCATGCAATGATGCAGAACAAGAACCTCAGGAATATAACAGAATTGCCAACTCTTGAGAGGTTGGCTCTCTCCACCCAAAACCTAATCAAAATCCTTCCCTCTTCTTCTTTCTAAACTTTTCCCTTTATATACCCTTGTCTTCAACTCTTTAACTGCTCCCTTGTATCTTTTCGTTATGACTACCTTGTTTTGCTGCTCTAACTTTTTGCCTTGTACTGTTTATAACTTTGGTGTTTTTTCCCCTGGACCAATAGTTCCCCATCTTCTGTGCTTTTGCCCCTCCCCCCAATGTCTCCTCTGTGTTTTGGGGGTGGCAGTGGTTTGGGACCTTTCAATGGAAATACTTTTTTTTCTTTTTTATTCCTTAATGTTGGGAATCAAATACTGGGTGCTCTGGCTGGCTTTGCTTATATCTCTATGAAGCGTCAATGATTAGCATAGGATGATAAATATCACTATCCTATGCCCACATTTATTTGAAATCTTTATGCATGTATGGGGTGGTGCACTCTAAACTCTTGCATTGCTACAATAGGTTCTATACAGATAATCCTTGCGCTCACCCTCCTGGTAACTGAAGGTTTTCTTGTTTTTTCACTGTTTACATTACAGCCGCTTGCGACTTGCATGCACAATCTACAGGTTGGGAAAATGGCCATTGGTTTGCAAATATCAGAGCCTTGGTTACGTGAATACCAGGTTAAAGTTATTTGCTTCTGTATTGTGATGACACGTAGGTTTCATTAACTGTTCTTTTTTTCCCTTCCTTTTTGGATTCCTGGAAGAGGAAGGGGGCGTAACTCATGAAAAGTCTGTTCTGGATCATCGGAATCTGATTATCTGAAGGATTTTTTTTAAAGAAAAAGAAATTCAAAGTTACAAAAATTCCCCCTGCCGCCTTCATGCGGCTAACTTCTCAGAAATGTAGAGATGCCAAATTCAGTGGATTCATGCTCTTATGAAACCCTATAGTTGCATGACCTCCTGGCTTGCTTCATTTATTGCTTATTTTTCATCAAGTTAATCGGCTTCATAATCAAATCATGCAATTCCTGGTGTGCTTGTAGTTGACTGGTTCTATGTATGTGACAGGGAGAAAGGTGTCATGCTGTGATTCGGGGTCGCCTAGCTAATTTTCATTTCGTTTGACAATTTCATAATAATCTTGCAGGTCCTTCCATCAAGAACTCACCCGTGCATGCAAATGAGCGCATTTGGTGGATATATTCTTAGCGGCACTAAAATATGCAGCAGCTAATTCCAGCCCTCTGGAACGTGCATGTCCTCCTCGTTTGTTGACCGGCCAAAGCCTGCCTGCTGGATACGTGGTCTTTTCCATTGTTTTTAACAGCCTGTGCCGCTTCAACTGTCGTAAGATTTTTCATTCCAGCCTGCAAGTGCAATATCATTTTTCGCGTAATTTTTCTGATTATGTTAAGGGTTCACATTATGTTAAGGCTTGAGCCCTTGATCACTACTACCTACGGCGCACTTCACTTTTGGCCTATAAGATAGCTATGGGTGGTTAAATTATACTTGTGTATTTTTATAGCATTGTATTTTATGATGATTTTATTTTTTTAATGTTAAATAATATCATAGTCTTTCCAATTTGAAGAAATTTTTTAATGTATTTGTTGTTAGAATTTTCAATGAAAATGTGTGGAATAATGATAAATTTTATAGCTCATCATGTTATGTTTTTTCCCCTTCTTACCTGACGCATGTCCATGCGCAGCAGCCGGCACTCCGCGCTCAGCAGACGCCATGCGGGCGCACCTCTCCGCTTCCGGGCTTATTTGTCCATTTGCTTTTGTTGAATTACACCGGTGCTCCCGATGTTTTGACCCTCAAGTTAGACTCTATTTACAGCGTCATCCTAATTTGATGAATAATTTAGGCATGCAACTTCAGGTCTTTTTGCCTCGTACCTATTTTTAATATAAGAACACTTATTTTTAATATAAAAACTAGTTGACTAATTCAGGTAGGGTAAAAAAATTAATTTAATTATTTGTAATAAATGTATTGTCTTGTATGTTGATGAAATTTTTAATATATACAATTATTATAGGGACTAATTTTTTAAGAAAATATATAAATATGAGAGATAAAATAAATTAAAATTTTATATTTAAAATTAAATATTAAACTAGTTTTTATATGTTAAGAGCCGGAGGTAGTGTCGTTTTTTATTGTTACAAAATTATGTGGGTAATTTTTGAACCTTATAAATGCTTGCTTCACTCCCGTCCCGTCTTAATTTGCATGGCAGCAACTGAACAGAATTTTCAAATCCCGCATTTTTTATTGTGATAGATAGAATTTCTTTGCCCTTTCATGAACTCATTCAATATTATTTTTTATATATAATATATTCAATTAACATCGTTTTAATGAATTTTCAAATTTCTCTAAATTTTTTTATCTACCCGTTAAAGTCTTAAATATATGCTTTCGAAAACAAAACTTAGACCATATGAATAATTTTTGTCAAATAAATTAAATACAATTTTAACGAAAATGCTTATTTTCATTTTCCGGGTGAGTAATAGTATATTTTCTACACTCATTTTCACTCTTTATATAATCTATTTAACTTTTGTTTCCCTTAAAAATTTTTACCCATGGTAAAATTACACTTTGAGAATATTACCTGAAAGATTAACATAAAAAATTACAGAATAATTCTATGTGAATCAGCCATAAAAAATTAAAAATAATCTTAGATTGGAAAATTAAAATTAATCTTTTTTTTGCTAAAGCATAAGTATCCTTCTGTTAGAGGTAATTATATTTGAGACAATATCAAGAACTAAATGTGAGCACCTCTTTTAACAGAAATTCAAACTTTGTTCCCCATGTCATAAAAAACTAGCTTTTTTGTTAAAATCAACTTTATTAGTTAAATTAAAATTAATCTAAAGACACGGGAGTTTGAAAGAGTTTTCAAGGCCCAGAAAGCCCAGTTATGGAAAGAAACAAAGGCCCAAGACAGAGAAGAGAGAGAGTGTGTGTGTGAGTGAGGGCGACAGCGGAAAACAAAGGGCGGGTGGTGTGGGTATTCGAACTAACACAGAGCTCCTTATTGCTAACTGAACCCTTCTATGCTTCCACACTTCACTCTCTCTTTCAATCCGCATGTCGACTTCCAGTCAGGATCAAACCCCTCGCCATCACCTCTCTCAATTCCAATTCCATCTTCTCCACTCTCATTCTCAATTTCATCATGATCGCACTTTCACTTCTCAGCCTTTCTCTTCCTTCGCTTCTGACGATGCCCATTCTGCTTTTGCAAAGCTTGCCGTGAGTTCTCTCGTCGTCTTCTCTTTTAACCAAATGAAGCTTCCTGCCTGCCTTGCTTTATCTATGTTCATTTTTTCTCTTCTTCCTTGTTTTACTCTGAAAACGCTTCCAGCTCAATCTGCGTACCTCCCTCTCCCTGATCCCTTTTGGTATTTGACGTTTTGTTGTTGCGTTGTAGATTTTGACATGTTTAACACTGTGTAATGTTATTGAATAGAACACCTGGATCGTCATTTGCCACAGTCATTCCTCTTTGCTTGGAAATAACATATAACTATGAAACCGGTTTGCGCTTGGAGGCGGCTGGATTTAGTTTTGCTTCTTTGGTGGCTTGTTTATCCGCCTCCGCTCTCTGCATATGTTGGCTTACTCGTCATGAGGTTTTCTGATTGGTACATCTGATCAAGCGGGAATATGGTCCAGTTATTTATTAATAAATTCTTCAAATTGCTGAAGAGTTTCTTGTTGTTTTTCATGCGTGATTGACTGGCTCTGTTGACTATGACTTCCACATCCACTATATTCGTGATGAGGTCAACTTTCGGTATCAGATAGGGTTTGACTGTCCAGAATAAATATGGAGGAAGAGTATCCGGCAAATATGCATCCTTAAAAGCCTTCGCACTTTTAATGCGCGCATCCTTCTTTTATATATTAAGTATTGATTTTCAGTCTTTTGTGCAGTTGAGTCAAAGATATGAAGTTGATAATTCCAGGCCTCAAACGAGTAGTACTGAAGTAGCTCCAAATCAGAGCAATATCGTTAATCTTTCTCCACTCAAAACTGAGCCATCCATTAGTGGAAAGCATCATGGTAAATCAAAAGTTTCAAGAAATGAAAAATCAGGGAATCAAAGATCAAATTCTGGTAACCTTGTAGACCATGTTTCTGTCAAGCTTATCTCTTTGCTGTTATATTTTATGTGTGCTTTAATTTTACGCTGGGTGGATTTTCTTTTCAGAGTCTTCTAATTCAACTTCGGTTAATTGCCGTTATGATAGTTCCTTAGGTATGTCTATACTAAAGAAATATTTCTTCCTCTTGCCACCGTATCCATGCACCAGCAGAGATTTATTCCTTTTTGAATTTGGTATCATTTGTTGTTGGCAGGACTTTTAACCAAGAAATTTGTCAGTTTAATTCAGGAGGCTAAGGATGGTACCCTAGATTTAAATAAAACCGCTGAAATCTTGGAGGTATAGAAAATGTCTTTCATATCCTACCCGGTAAACTTATAATTATATTTGTTTGAGTTTTATGAGGCTCACGTAGTCCTTGCATGTTATATGTCTGCATACTTCTTCTTTCTGCATAAATTGCATATTTTAATCTACTTGCTGGCTAGTCTTAGATGTTTTTATTTGTATTTTTCCTTACATGAATCTCATTGGTTTTGGCAGGTCCAGAAAAGGAGAATTTATGATATTACAAATGTTCTTGAAGGAATAGGATTGATAGAAAAGACATCAAAGAACCATATACGGTGGAAGTAATCATCCCCTCATATATATATAATGTATATATGTATATTTGTACTTATTATCATACGGTGGTGACTGATGAGGATATATGCCTTATAAACAGGGGAAATGATGGATTGGGGCCTGGCGAACTGGATGATCAAGTTACTACATTAAAGGTTTTTGGACCTGTCATTTAGTTCAGATTGATTATTATTGATTGTACACAGCTTTGTGTGAGTTTTTGGCCTTCTGAGTATCTTCACTTAAATGATTTTGATAATAAATTTATGGTAGGCCTTAGGCCCAAGATTAATCAGATTTGTAGGAGTTTCTTGCAAAGCCATTTCCTTCAAGAATTTCGGATATGCTTTCTGGCATCTTCAAATTGGCAAATCTCTAACGCTTTAGACGAAATAAGGTGTTAGAAAACCAAATGCAGAAGTGATGCAAGAACTGACAAAATATGTTACATAAGTAAAATGATTGACTCGTAAGTTTGGAATAACACATGACATAAAGTTTGGAAAAAATATGACATTAAAATAAGAATAAATATTTTATTCTATTCTCTTAAATTTCTAAGGTTGGGTTTGTAGTTTCCTATTTTATCCCATGAGTATCTTATATTTTTTGGCTGGACTTCTAAAGGGATCCTTTTCCTGTAGTTTGCTAATATAGAGGTGCATGAGGTGCACATCTGGAGTTATGAAAAAACTACCAAAGATGCTCACCTTGAGATACCTAATTGAAGTCACCACCTCTCGTGGTGTGAGAGGCACTGGCTATGAATTCAAGGTGCTGAGGTGGGCACCTTTGACATCATTGATGAGAATTTTAGGCTATTGATATCCAAAATATCAGATCCAGATGTTCTATACATATATCAGACAGTGGAGAACTAAAAAAGAAATCACTATTTTCAAGTTGCTAAGGGTAACTTGAGTTAGTTTGTGCATTTTCTTGAACCCATAAACTATTTTTTCCTATTCGCATCTAAGATTCCCCCTTGTTGGCATGGTCATCTATTGATTTTAGTTGTCAACCTAAAGCCTTAGCTGTTGCTGCATTGCTTAATTGATTCCTACATAATGCATATGATCATATTCTTCTTAAACTTGGTTACACTTACAGATTGAGGCAGAAATTTAATGCCATGACATAGTTAAAATTTTGATACAATTTAAATATGGATTTAGAAATAAGCTGCAGGCTATAACACAGTAAAAAAATGTTGCTGTTTTTTAGCATAGATCATTTATCCACGCAATTGGGCAGGAAAAATTATAGCTAATGTCCACCTGAGGATTGGACCATGGGAATTGGTCATCGTATTTGTTTCAATGTATGGCGAATGTTGTTCAGGGGCTGATCTTCATCTTGCAAACGATTAATATATAGCTTAGTGCAGATGATTTGGTTCAGTTCTCTGACAATCATTTGGTTCATTACAGTCTGAAGTTGAAAATCTGTATTCTGAGGAATGCCAACTTGATGATATTATAAGGTATGCAAACGTGTTATTAATAATTTGGCTTATCTCTTTTATTTTTAATGATATATTTTTTTAATCGATGACTTGTGGATTCCGCAGGAAAAAGCAAGAGCTCCTTAGAACTTTCGAGGAAAAAGAAAACCATCAAAAGTATGAACTTTTGTCAACTTTTTAATGATTGAGACTCTATCCTCGTCTGATAATGAGCTTAATTGATCTACAGGTACCTTTTCTTGACTGAGGAAGATATTCTTAGCCTTCCATGCTTCCAGGTCAATTTTCTGTTATCTAGTTTTTTTTCCCCTTAAATAATTATAATGTATCCATTCATTAACTTACAATCTTTTTCTCACTATTTTCTCAGGATCAAACACTCATTGCCATCAAGGCTCCCCAAGCTAGTTTCATTGAAATCCCTGATCCTGATGAGGTGGGTCGTAATGATGGATATTTTAAATTCCTTCGGTGCAAGAGTGTGTAATTGGCTTGACTTAATGAACAGGATAATGACTTCAGGCAAAGGCAGTATAAAATGATCGTTAGAAGCACCACGGGACCAATAGACTTGTACCTCTTGAGGTGATCTTCTTCTATGACTTTCAGCCTAGAGATGCTTCTCTATTTTACCATGTCATTGCTTATATTTTTCGTGTGTGTTATTAAGATGCTTTTTGTTTGAGAATATGTAACTTTTTTTTCAATTATCGATTTGGTTCTCAAAGGTTAATTTGGAACAATTCAATCCTTATAATTTTCTTTAACTCAAAACAACTTAGTCTTTATAGTTTTCTGATTCAATAGGACTCAATCTCTAGAATTCCTTTGCTCATTAAATTACAAAGATTGAGTTGCACTAAGTCATGTTCAAGAGTAAATCCATAATTGAGAGAAAGTTTGAGGAATAAAAGTTATATTGTCCCTTTTTGTTTCCTTGTTTTTGTTGTTTTTAGTAACTGATCTCTTTATCTATTCTTGAAGCAAACACAACGCCAAGGACGAGGATGTTAGCGTCAACCAGGTTACGTCTACAGATCCTTCACAGAACGGTGACCAGTGTGGATTGAAGAGTGCGGGATTACGTTTAGAAAGCCAAGATGCCCAGAAAAATCCTCCTCAAAGTTTTAACGCACTGGACTTGGAGCCACCTGGCATTCAGAAAATTACACCAATGGATTTTGATGTATGCATTTATGGTTCTGAATGATTAATTGGCAGATAAGTATAAGAAATTTTTACGGATCATTCTGAGACTATTGCAGATCGAAGATGACTACTGGTTCCAATCAGATCATGGAGTGACCCTGACGGATTTGTGGGGTAAGCAATACCTTTAACGCAAGTCTTAATCATATGAATTTGTTATTAAAAAAAAAAGATTAAAACGTAATTATATTTGGTCAACACCCCTCCAAAAAAAAAAAAAAAGGAGCGCAAGCTGACCAACTTCTAATATATGGCTCTGTAAATGGATCCCCCCCCCCCCCCCAACAGCGAATGAGGAATTAGTTCACATAGATGAGGTCCTCCAAGACGATTACTTGAATGGTGCCTTCACTTAAACACCAGCTTGCCGGACAGATGGGGTCAATTGGTAAACGAGACACAGGATGTTAGGTGCTGCAGATGAAGACAATGGCAATGTACATAGACAGATCAAGATAAGCGAATAGATAGACGAAGTCACAGAACTGTAAATTATAGCATTTTTATGACAGTTCAGATTGTGGCTTCTGGTGCAGTGAATGAGATGAGCAAGTGTTAGCTGCGGATATTTACCATTGTTGTAATCAACACTAATTTCCACTCCAAGGGAACCCCACTGTGGGTTAAGGTTTTGCAGATTCCAGGTTTGTGGAGCTTCAGCATTAAATAAATTAATTAACTGCACTTTCATTTGACCTTAAACTTTGGATTCTCTTTTTTCCTTTTTCTATTTTTTTGTGTGGTGAAGTTCAAAGAAAAAGGGAATATATGGGATCGGATCTGTCTAGCTGACATAGGATACAAACTCTTGCGCTGTGTCAGAGTTGGGCTTTAACCAAACTAAATTATTGTCAGATTTTAATTATTTCGGATCACTTCTCACTCCCTTCTGGTTCCATGTCGACGTTTTGCTGCCCGGCGCTATACACCTCTCAGAAGCCACTGAATGTGGTATATAAGTATTGGGGGATGTGTTATAATTGACAGCTGACAGAATTTTGGATTCGCTGCGTAGTTTCTGCCCAATGAGACTTCAAACATGATTTGATTGTATGGTACGTGAGGTTGAGACCCAATATTCTAGACTTGTTGAGTATTTTACCACATATTCAATGGCTAACTTCTCTTTTTCCATCTCAGTCAAACTTGAGAGTTGAGACCCAAAGTTGGTGAGGAATTAAGGGGATGTGCATTTTACTTGGTAGGTGAAATTGGAGACACATCCCACCTGCTATATTTTAATTCCGCTCGTGCATCATTTCACAGACAAGAATGTAGAATTCCGCAAATGACGCACCGTGCAAGGACCCCCCCGGGGGAAATTAATTAGGCATTTAAAATTAAAATATACTTTAGAGATAAAATTTCCAAATAATAATTAAAAAGTAAATTAACATGGAAAACGTCGCTTGGTCTGGATGGTTAGAAAGAGCGCCCACGGTGTGCGCTCGCCTCCAGGTCTTGGTTTCGACACCTCACCCTTACCTTAGCGGGCAAAACTCCAGATTAGTCGATCTCCTTCGGGAGTTGGATACTGGGGGCGAAAGCTACTCAAAAAAAAAAAAGTAAATTAACATGAACAAACAGGGGCGGCGGTTTTATTTGAAGCGATTAGATGTCGTGTAGTTTCCCCTTTGATGGAATATGATTCTCGATCTTCAAATCTTAGAACAAAAATATCCTCATAGCCAACGGGCATTTCTTTAGCTCTTCCTCTTGAAGCTTCTTGTGTTTTTGATTTAGAGATAAATTTAATGCAAATGGTTAAATAGGATTTTTTTATGAAAAAAAATCGATACACATCTTCAGAAAATAACTAATATTAACTGATTTATGCAAATTTTATCGTATTTCTTTTAAACCCACGAAATTATGGACAGCGAAGCTTGACGTGCGTGGACGTGAAAACCCACCAAATTAATCCTGCTTGCTCTTAGGAAGAAACACCGGAACCAAATGTCATCAAAACGAGGGAAATAGAGAAGTGCCTCCTTCATGAACATCAGCCCTACTCAACCGTTAATGCCAACTATACAAGTAGCTGATAGAAATATCCCTTCGGAATCTGAGTCCATATAAAGCGGCAGCAAGCTCCCACCAAATAACCCCTCTTCCATGCCAAGACAATCAAAAAATAAAGCGACAAATGGAATGAAAACTTAGGACCGATTTACATGAAGGTTTTGCAACAATGCAATGCCCATCATTGTCCACCTACCGTGCTAGAAATTGCCAATATTGACACCCTAACGGTTTCCTGATCGGGTTTTCCTTAGCCTTACTCGAGTAGCCCTTATGCTCTCTTCCATCGCTGTCTCTTTTGGAGGAGGGTTCTCATTTTCATTGGCTGTACTGGATGAAGTTGGTGCCGCTTCAGTCTGCATTGGTTCCGCCTCGGCTGGAGCTGATTGGCTGGTCGTCTCAGGTGAAGGATTAGACTTCTGAGTACTTAATTCAGGAACAGGTGAGGCTACTTTGGGCACTTGTGATGAACTCAATTCCTCAACTACGTCCTTCTGATGCTGACTTGAGGACGTGCTAGAGGCAGGAGATGGAGGTTCCTCAATTTGTGGTTCTGCTGCAGCAGCTGGTTGGCGATTGGGAGGTGCAGTTGGGCGGACTCTACCACCTGGGCGTTGCTGTGATTCAAAACAAGCTTATTTTTGTAAGAATAACCCTAGACAAAATACATGAAAACGGGGAATGGACTAGAAGGATAGAAAATGAGCGCAGCAAAGAAGAACCAGGGAAATTTCCACCCAGACTTAAGAAATGGTAATCTACGACTAGAATCTGAAAACATATTCAAGAAAATATTAACGTGAAATGAAATCCATGCTTCGGCTTGCAGAGGACAAAAGAATACAGACCTGAGAGAGCCCCCTCATCATACCAAATTTTTACTTTTTACATAGTCGCTTTCAAATAGTTTCCTTCAGAACACATTGAAATCCTATTATAGCTGTATCTTCAACAACATATTGAGAAAAATAATCATCCGAAGTTCCCCCCTTTTTCTTCAAGGAAGGAAGGGAAAAAAAAAAAATCAGTCATTACTTGGCAAAGGTGCAAATTTTCTTTTGTTTAGCAGGTTTAGCAGGTATGACCTAATATGCATGTTAGTTGACCTGAATACATGAAAACAAGTACTGTACACAAATTCAAAACATCCTGGTAAAGAAGTAAAGAACCCCAAGTGAAGGAAGCAAAAGCAGAAAAATCCAGTCTGAATATAAGAAAGCGTCTGCTAGAAAATCCATTTTATTCTAGTTCAGTGAAAATCTGACGAAGTTAGGCTACCCATTGTCTGTAATATCTTACAAATCTAAGCATATTTGTAATAAAGTACCTGCGCAGGGCGAGTTGATGGTGTTGATTGTGCAGCAACATACTGCAAAATGTCATATATTCTAGTCTGTCCATAACTAGCAGCTCTTTGCCAGTATAAAACTGCAATATCTCCAGCCCTGGTCCTTAGTTCCAACAAGCTGCGATCAATTTCTGTCTCGTGTTTTGCAACATATGGTCTAAAAAAGGAATCATACACATATGTTGTTCCCTACAGCATGTCATCGTCATACAATCGTATTAAAGAAAGCTATAGAAAAATATCAGACTACATCGTAATCACAGTAATACATTCGTACCATTGTTTTAGGGTACCACAGGTATATAACAAAAGCCAACTTAGCTTCACTGTACATTGGAATCCTTTACAAGAAAAACGAACCAAAGAGTAAGAAGGAAGCCCATGAGTGCTTTCTTTTAGGATGCAAATAAAACCATATAGTAAGACAGAGTCCTTTACCATGATATAAAAGCATCGCCGATTCTCTCACATACTGTCAAGACGGCCACCAATATCCTGCAACCAAGATCGGAAATAAAAGTTGGCGTTTATCACTGACATTTGTTTTAACAAGATTATAAGTAGGATACATATGACAAATTTATATCATACCAATACTGGCACCAGAAACGAAGTTGTTCAATTTCTGGTTTATTCTTTTCAACGGTTTTGTAGCATTCGTAGGCTGGATACGCATAGCCAAAAATCATCCTGCAAACACGGCCAAAAAGAATACTAATTTCTACAAATTGAACGTTTAGCATCATTTAAGATGATAGACTAGGATGGCATAAAACATACACAAGCACCCTTGTAAGAAAGGATCCTATCATTCTGTATCCCTGGCGTACAAAGGAAAGAAAACCTGTTAAGCCAAACAAGCTAACTGTAATGATATGGCTACTAACTTCACGTATAGCAAATATGAGAAAACAGGTCAAAGATTTGTTTGAACAAATGTAAAACATTTGGTAGGGTCTTACGAAGAAAAGCTAGAATTAAGAATAATTTCTCCATTTTCATAGAAAGAAAGAACATAAATTCACGGATACAAGAGCAGAGGGAAGAGGGGAATATTTCAATAATGTAAGGCTCCTTAGGCAATGATTATCAACGAGGAAGCATAGAACAGTAAAAAATTAGAAATCCTAAAGTCTCTTGCCACCGCATATAGAAAATAAATTCAACTGAGCTTCATGATGTATAAAATTTAAATTACATAGACGATGATATCCAACATCCTATCGTTCTTCATGATTCATAGTTGATTTTCTCCCTGAGACTGCGACGGCGGCCGACTATAGATTTTTCAGAACACGGAAAAAAAAGATATATATATATATATAATTTTCATGAAACAGTTCACTTTTTTTTTCACCTGATAAACAACAATCTCCAAATCAATAAATCAGTTATAAACTAGAAGCCAAAAATTATAGCGTTCAGCTACACAATATCGAAAAGTCGGAGGAACTAGGGCGGAAAAAAAACTGCCAAGACTATTTAAAGACCTATATCAAAGATCAAACGCTACAAACCACGGCATACAGAACAATCCGAAGCAATAACTCGATTACGCAATGAAAGCAAGTAGCAAATGGAATAAAATGCGGGAGGAAAAGGAGAAATAAGCAATACCGCCCAACGGTTTCTTTTCAAATGAGAAAGAGGAATAAGCGAAGTATAGTGGAAACTATAAATCTGAAAAGAGAAACGAAGACGAAGCGCGGATAAGAGAACAAAAATCCGGTAGATCAGCGGCGAAGACGAAGATCGGCGGCGCAGAAATGCCACCGAAGAGCCGTTACGTTGTCGGCGAGACTACAGTGGAGTGAGCCGTTTAAAATGCTGCTCTAGCAATTGGATTTGATTCGTTTCGTTGGTCACTCGCTGAAACTCTCGCCTCTTGTAAGCACCCGGTGAGAGGGAATTATTGCGTGCGGAGAAGGTGCACGAGCATACTGTGAACCTCTCTCATCAATCGCCCTTAAACCCTATGCACGTGTTGCTCGGAGTGCGGTAACTTCGTAAAGTTAATTTCATTTTATACGGTTAAAAAGTGAGATTAACCAGTGATGTGGCTCCCATGTGGGCACCCAAAATTTAATTCGGCCGAGTTTTTCAATTCTGAACAAATGATATAGATGTTGTTTGGATTGGATCAGGGTGGAACAATAAAGAATGGTCATTTAAAGGTATCAAATACCATTAAGTAATCGATTGGTATTTTTAAGATCGGGTCCCTCAAATGATTGTTTTTCGACTGAAAATGCCTCTTTACATGAAACTCATACGCAATGTTTTAAGAACCGGACCGGACCGGACGGTCGAACCGGTTGAACCGTGACCCGAACTCGTTAACGGCTCAGTTTGGACCAAAAAACCGTTCATATAGTTGAGCCGAATTGGACCGGAGTTGAGCCGTTATTAAGCCGGAAACCGGAGTTGGACCGGGAACCGGAATGGTTTTCAGAAAACCGGACGGTTTTTTAGCCTGACTGAAAAAATACTAAAAATTTAAAAAAAAAATAGAAGAAAAATAAAAAAATTGATCCCCTTAAATATCCTAATATATTTTAGACTATTTATAACCATAGAGTATTATTTCATTGAAAATTTCATATATTGTGGTGTTAAAATCGTAAGTCGCTAGTCTTTTTGTTTTGATATTTGGTCTATCGTTTAAAAAAATATTTTGATTTGAATGAATTGATATTTGTAATATCATTAAATTTTTAAACATACATAAATTTAAATATATAAGGTTTTAGTCCATTTTCAATGATTTCATTATAATTTTAGATTATTTAAATGCATTTCTAAATTATTTAATAATTTGATATTTTTCATATATACTAATTATATGTATATAATATTGTTTTAAATTAATTATTGCATCACCGGTCTGACCAAACGGTCCGACCAATCCGACCGATTGAACCATGACCCGTTGATCTTTCCGGCTCGACTTCCGGTCCGGCTTTTAAAACATTGCTCATACGTCTGCCTAAAATACATTATTATATCATACTAATGCTCGGCTGAGTCGGCTCCCCATATTCGGGCTTTAGATATTCCTCGAGCTTTTTAGATAAATCCATCACAATATAATTATAAAAATAGTAATAAAAATAACATTATTCATAAATCATAAATATATTACCTCTCGTCTCCAATTTCATCCTAATATATACAATACCTTTTTTTTTGTTGAAACTAAATGGTTAAAGAACCCAACTAAGTGCCAACTATATCAGGTCTCATCATTATATACTATACTATTTTAACTGTAATAAATATGATTTTAAAATTTAAACTGAATTGACTATTTTTAAAAAAAAAATTAACGAAATAATCGTCATAATCTGGAATTACTATATCAATGTATCAATATTAATATATAAAAGCTCTTTTTTTCTTTGTTTAATTGAAAGTTTTACACGCACACATTTGCTAGTTTGTTTCTGCTCATTTATATGTTTGGAAATGGAAAACGATGGAACAAAGAGATGAGGTGGACGCAGAAGTGTGAATTCTTGGCTTGAGAGGCTCGCTTCTTTCGTTGCTTAAAAATGGCCGCCACACAAATTAAACACTGCTTCTGCGTCGTCATTTCACCAAAGCCATCCATGAAATATGAACTACAGGCTTTATTTACTGGCTTCGAATCATTCAATGCCTTTTTACTCACGCTCATCCAAAATAGAATATTCATGTTTTGTGATAAACTATCCTTAATTAGCTCAATTCTTCTCTTATACTCCAACCATATATACTTATTAAAAAATAAAAAAGCATTCTCTGCTACAAAAGTAAAAGCAGCAGTACGTTTTATAACACCCTAAAGAGTTTATTTAGTGAGCCAGAAGATTTCATATAAAGTAAGTATTAATCTTCATTAACTGTTATATATATTACGCAAAAGGATTTGATGAAACCAACCGAAAACATAATGCAATTCTTTTGCTCCATCCATCTCTAGTTCATAGAGTAATTGTTCACTGGCAAAAGGACCATGAAGCTGAATATATATATATATATATATATATATATCTTCACGTTCTGGAAATTAATTGTTTTCTGCCTCTATCTTCCTCTCCCCGTACATGTGTGTGCGTAGAATTAGCAGTGCTCAGTTTATATATATATATATATAAAGGAATTAGTAGTGGTCAACCACTTTTAATTACTAATCAATGGCCGATATTGTGGCGACAGGGGCCGATAGATTTTTTTGTGTGAAATTAATTATAGGAATCGTGCAAGGTTGTATCATGTCATTGCAACGGCAACTTCTGGCTTTTTGGCGAGTAAATGATTTTATATGTTAGCCCATATTCCTACAATACTTAACATCATTAATTAGTCGTGGGTACCATGAAATGAAACGTCTTTTTTAAATAATTAACATCTTAAGTAACCATCTAAACGGTACGGCCTATACACAATATAATGCTTGGTGGTTTGTCCCTTTAGAAGAAGCCTCAAAATGGTGGGAACGGGTGGGGAATCTATCCTTATGTGTCTTTTTACTGCTCAAAGCAGAGGAAAATTAAAGGGTTTGTTGCATATGTTTTATGTCAACCACAAGAAAGCTGAGATACGACAGGCCTGGTAAATTATTGGGATGCAAAAGCATAAGGATTAAGGAAAAAGGAGATATAAATAATATTAGTTTTTTCCTTGTCATAAGAAAAGGCTCAAGCTATAATTCAAAAGGCCAGAGGGACCCTAAGGGCGCAAGGGATAATTACGAAACATAAATACTCCCTCTTATTCTAATCATATAGCAGAGTTAACTAACTGGATAGTTTTTAAGGAACAATGGTTGATGTCCTCAAACTTGTTAAAAAAAAAAAATTGATTTTTTAGCCATCACTTGAAATTAATGAGATGCTCAAAAAAGCAAAAGCATGTCAACAACCTGTTGCAATTAAAGAGGGTAAGATTGAAATAAAAATAATAATCATTACATCTTTGTCCTATGTTTAAGACTAAATAGGAGTTTAAAACCTTGTCCTGTAATTAGAATCAGATGGAGTGTGTTAAGAAAAAGAAATAAAAGGAGAAGAGAGAAAAGAGAGAAGCATGTGAAGGTTGATATGGAGAAGAAAAGAGGAAGAGAGAGAAAGAGAGCCTTGGATTCTACGTTTCTAAAGGCTTTAATGGGAAAGTCCAATATAAGTGGAATGAAGGCAAATAGAGAGAGAAAGAGAGGCAAGTTCAAGAAACAAAAAACAGTCCATTATTCTCTCTCTCGTCTCATGTGCTTCCTAATTATGTGTTTGTTGGCCTGTCGTTCTCATGTCTGATCCAACACATTTCACTCCCTTCTTCCCTCCCCCCTTCTTCTTCCTTTCTTTCCTTCTTTCTCTTTTCCATGATATTCTCTGCAACCAAATAATTTCCATATCTCTTTATCCTTTATCTATCTCTGCACCCCCACCTGCCTTTATACTAAATATATATTACCACATCCTACAGCTCACCCACACACAATATTTCAGATCTAATCAATTTATCTTCCAAATGTTGTTGCCTGATGATCTTGCTCATCACCAACACAGGAGGCGACGAACATGAGATTTTGTCATCTAACTGTTATTACTGTGAGATAGGTTGTCATATATTTCGTCATAACTTGTTATCCGTCGAGTGTCACGACTCACTATATCAGCAGAAAAGAACCACTAAGTCTAATAGCAGCTTATTAAAAGTTATCTTAATATTTGTCAACAATTAATCACCAATCATTCTAATGAGCTGCACTATGAATAACATCAATTATTACAATGCGATGATATTTCAACTCCACTCACAAATATATATACACACACACAAACATATGTAGAGAGAAAACAAGAACCCAAATGCTTATCACTTTCATTTTTTTGTGCTTCATTTATATTATTTGTGGCCAGTTTTGCATTTTTCTAATACCATTACTTACTTTTTGGATATTGGAAGCAGATTTAAATTGTGCACGCATCTGATAAATCTCCTTCGTTATTGATGTGTGTGTCGAATAAAATGAGAATACATGAGCCCCTGACGTGGACTGGCGCTAGTTTTTCATATGGCTATTCTGCCTACAATGAAGAGACAGCAACCAAATACTAATTCCTGCTGTTAATATAAAAGCTAGTTAACGAGTAGATTGAAAAAATTAGTTAAGTTAATTATTTGTAATAAATAGGTATCGTTTTTCTAAAATATCACTAATCAAATGTATTAGCTAAAACTACCTTATTATGAGAATTACCTTAAAAAAATGAATAAATATGAGAGACAAAGTGGATTGAGGTCTTATATTTAACTAAAAATAAAAGTCAAACGAATTCTTATATTAAACACTGGAAGGTAGTATATTTAATATTTCAATTTCAATATAAAAAAAACATTAGGCCAAATAAGGATTGGGGTCTTATATTTAAAATCAAATTGAATATGAAACTAACTCTTATATTATACATCGGTAATAACTATCAACAATCAATCACCAATCATTCCAATAAGCTGCACTATGAAAAACACCAATTATTACAATGCGATGATATTTCAACTTCACTCACAAATATAAATAGAAAGGGAGAAAACAAGACCCCAAATGCTTATCACTATTATTTTTTTGTGCCTCATTTACATTATTTGTGGCCAATTTGCATTTTTCTATTACCACTATTTACTTTTTGGATATTGGAAGCAGATCTAAATATTGTGCATGCATCTGATAAATCTCCTTCGTTATTGATGTGTCTGTGTGTGTGTCGAATAAAATGAGAACATATGAGCCGCTGATGTGGATTGGACGCTGGTTTTTCAATATGGCTACTCCACCTCCTATCGAAGAGACAGCAACGGACTATATAGTATTTCAATTTCAATACCCAAAAAAGAATTGGGCCAAGAAGGATAATTGGACCCAGAATAATGGGCCTTCCCATAAGCAGGAGCCCATTAATTTGGGGAGGGGTGCCACGTGGAAGTGGATAGCGAGGATTGTTTGTACGGACTATGGTGAGTGGCGAGAGGCTGCCAATGGCTTGAATGTTGTTGGCAGACTTTCTGTTTGCGTGTGTTGTAAGTGGAGTTTTTATTTTTTCCTGACTGAGCGCTATCCAAATCATTTTCAAGGATCAATTAGGAAAGAAAGATTGAAGAGCGCGAACAAAAATGACGTTAGCTCCTTCTTTGCCTCGCTTCCATTCTCCTTTCCTTTGTTGCCCTCTGAAATCCACTTCCCTCTGCAAGTCCCTCCCAATTCAGCGTAAATCCACGTCGTTCCCATGTATTAGAGCCGTCGAATTCGACCAAAACACGGTTCTTACACCTTCTTCTCTTCTTCATCCCTTTCATACCTGCTACCACTTAGTTTTGTGTGAGTTACTCGTTTAATTTGCTGTTTTCACTGTTCAGGTAGTGGCCGTAACCGTCGGCCTTGCGAGTGTGGCCATCGGGATCGGCATTCCGGTATTCTATGAATCCCAAATTGATAAAGCTGTAAGTGCCTATGAATTCCAGTATTCTCATTTCATTTTTGCTGCATCTACCTGGTGTGTCATAAATTAATGAGACATTCCTTCACTTGGGTACAGGCTAAGAGAGAGAACACTCAGCCTTGCTTCCCTTGCAATGGTTCCGGCGCCCGTGAGTCCTCCGTGTCCTCTTTTATTTCTTGGACTCGGGATTCTCAGAGAATGTTTTATGTCTTCAGTCTGGGATAATTGTAGTTGTAGACTAAGTCAAATGATGTGGGACAATTGTTGACAAAAGGGATTTACCTCCACTGTTTTGCATACCGATCAGTGTTTGTTGCTAGTAGAAATCTCCACCTGTTCCCCTCAAATCTCAATTATAAGATGAATTTCACTTTTGAAACCATATTTCTGTCCAGAGTATGAATTAGGAGAATCTCAGGTTGAACCTGTTTAATGCATGACATCAAGCTCTGATCAATGCATATTACAGTGAGAGATTAATTGCTTGTTCAGCCGTAGCCCAGGCTATTAATTCTTATCTAAGACATGCCCATTTGTACTTTTTAGTGGTTGGAAATGAAGATAAATCCTCATATGCGGCTGTTATGCCACCTGTTGCTCAAAAATTCAAAAAATAAGCCCCCTTTGTTAAAGTTCCCAACCAATTGCATAACAAACTTACGTGTTCAAAGTTCAAACTTCAAAAGGAAATTTAACCGCTGTTCTGTACTTGGAACTATTTAATTCTCTCTGCACTATAGCACTCCTGAGATATGCTAGTCCATGTATTCACTAATTTAAACTGGCCACACTTTCTCAGAGAGATGCAGATTTTGCATGGGAACAGGGGAATGTGACCGTAGAGCTGGCTGGGCGGGGATGAGAAAGAGGTGTCTCGATGCATAAATTGTGATGGTGCTGGTTCATTAACATGCACCACTTGTCAGGGAACCGGAATTCAACCTCGCTACCTCGACCGTAGGTATGGATGAATTTTATGCGTCCGGCTTTCCTTCTATTATATACTGAATTTACACTTTATGCAGATATAGAATGATAATTTTGCCAGTCACCATTAATTTTGCAAAGAATAATAAGGCTGTGATGTCTATTTGAGCATGTTGGAGGCTTCCTGCAAAGATAATGAGTTGATGAAGTAAATCAGAAACCTGAAATAACTGCATGAAATCTCTTCTTTTTTCCCCCTCCACACAAAAGCTTGAGATGTGGTTTCTGGGTCTGCTTATTTATTGAATTTGAGAATGTTGGTCTTCATATCTTGAATAATATTCTAATTAAACCGCTTTTTTGTGTTGATCAGAGAATTCAAAGATGATGACTGAGCACAGCAAAGAAAACGAGGCGGAGATTTTGGAATTACTTATGAGGCTAATGTACTGATTGAATTTCCATGATGTGTACGTCCTTCATAAAAATGTACAAAATTGCATTCATGTTTTAATTTGGTTTACCTGTTTATCAGTGATACAATGCTTCCTCCCTTTCGTGACGTATCACAATCTCTGTAGAATTTTGACGCTTTCTTTTTCTCCGTTATAGAATATTGGACATCGGATAGGTGTTTGGAATATGAGATTGAAATTACACCGCCGTAAATGTATTCTTTACGGATGATTCTGATCTCAGCAGTTAATAGGTGGCTTTTCTCAATACTTCGGCAGTTTTCATACTGATTTGTAGAGTTTGTACGAGAGCTTACCGGCGGGTAATTAATGCTGCAGAAATCTCGTTCTACTGAAGTACTGATCCGAAGTTTGGGAATGTTTGGGCGGCAAGCATATCTGGTCTTTCAAACCTGAATTCGAAAATGCTTCACGATATTCATTGCCAGATTGTCAGCACAATAGTCAGACTATTGAAGACCCTGCGTATTTTCAGTAGTAGTAGTTCAAGTTCTGTTCCTCCTCTTGTCTTTTTTTTTTTTTTTGTAGTTGGACATATTATCATTCACTTTGACTTTTATTGTTAGTATTTTTTTTGATCCCTTATTCAAGGTAGTTAATCTCTGGATTCTGATAAACTAATATACTCTCCGTCCTAATTATGACCCATGACTTTTAGGAGATAAGAAAGTAGTTAAGTTGGTTATTATAATAATAAGTGTTGTCATTCTTAAAATATCCTTGCTAATTAAGTATATGGCTAAAAATCATTATTAGAAGGATTATTTGAAAAAAATGCATAAATATAAAAGCCAAATGATTGGGTCTTATAATTAGGACAATAAAAAGTCAATGGGTCTTGAATAAGGACAAGGAGTACAACTCCTATCAGTTAGTTGAATCAAGCCGTTTGATGATTCTGGTAAAAAAAAAAAAAAGCGTTTGATTTTATTATATATTAAAATATGATTTTACTATTAGGGAGTCATAAAAATTTATTATCAGTTAGTTGAATCAAGCGTTTTATTATTATTTTCCCCCTTTTTAAGTCATCAGCACTCATTTAATTTAATACTGGATCGTCTACAATTGTGAAATTTAAAATATTTGCTAGCATTTGGTCCCCCAAAATAATAGTTTCTAGCAAGCAAAAATGCAAAGGTCAGAAACTCAAAATTCAATTACTCCACGTAATCAGGGTTTTGAAACCCTAATTCAAGTTCAAAACTGAGTCGCAGTGTCGAAATCTGGACCTTTTTCCCACCAAAAGAAGACACGGTCATTCCCGGCAAGCTGCTCCATTCTAGTCTGCGTACATTTTCCAGCTTAGGCATTCTTTGATTCAGGGTTTCTTGTGGGGAGGTGAGGGATACCTACTGCGCCGCTCCTTCTCTTCTCGCCTTCGCCTGTGCTCCAGTCTGTTGCCGTCGCCGTTACCGTCTTCATTCAGGTTTCGTCGTCGTCCTCCTTTATTCCTTTTTTTTTTCCCCCTTAAGATTTATACAATCCATCCCCCTATATCCTGTTTTGTCGTTATTGTTGCAAACTAATAGACACAAAAACTTGGTTGTTTTGTTATTGGTTAAAGTTCATTATTATGGCTATTGGTTATTTGCCGTGCCTTCATTTTGAATGGAAGCCCCGCTCTATATATGGTCTTTTATGTTCACTGCTTTTTCTCTCTATAGTTCTAATTATGTTTTACTGGATTTTCAATGTGAAAAACAAATTGAAGAAGACAAGTTGGGCGTGGGTGGTCCAAAGTGGAAGAAGAGAAGCTAATAAGAACAAGTGTAGAAAGATGTGAGGTATCGGTCTGCATATGCTTGCCACCTTACTGTATGTCTGCAGAAATTTACAGATTATTAGGCACGATCATATCAAGCTTAACGTTACGTCCTTCACCTCGTCAATGTTAAGTGAGTCTTATCTTGAAAAGAAAAGTCACATGATTATATTTATCCTAAAGCGAAGACTGATGAGTTTGAATTTTGAAAATGGAAGAGGAATATATGTTATTGGCATGGTTGTGAGTTTAAAGTTTCAAAGCGTGAATTGTGTAGCTGCAGAAAATGTTACTAGACTGAGTTTTGTGTGCCACTTATATCTTGGTCTTGGTTAATGGTTAATCCTTGGCCATCTTCCATAAGTAATGTCAGTTTTACAGAGAGCCTTTTTTTGAGATATTCTATTATTAATGGTTATTATTATAGATGTTATGTTATATATATTGAATACATTTCTTTATATAATGAGTTGTAGTCATTTATTGATCAGATGCATGTTGACTTCACTTGTTAGGTTGCAGAAGCTGTTAGAGACGGAAATTCAAGTAGTAAAAAAGGCGTTACGTCCTTCACCTCGTCAATGTTAAGTGAGTCTTATCTTGAAAAGAAAAGTCACATGATTATATTTATCCTAAAGCGAAGACTGATGAGTTTGAATTTTGAAAATGGAAGAGGAATATATGTTATTGGCATGGTTGTGAGTTTAAAGTTTCAAAGCGTGAATTTGTGTAGCTGCAGAAAAGTGTTACTAGACTGAGTTTTGTGTGCCACTTATATCTTGGTCTTGGTTAATGGTTAATCCTTGGCCATCTTCCATAAGTAATGTCAGTTTTACAGAGAGCCTTTTTTTGAGATATTCTATTATTAATGGTTATTATTATAGATATTTATGTTATATATATTGAATACATTTTCTTTATATAATGAGTTGTAGTCATTTATTGATCAGATGCATTAGAGACGGAAATTCAAGTAGTAAAAAAAGCCAGAGAGCTCCCATAATTCACGGTAATATTATAGAGAGCTCTGATCCCATAAAAATGTTGTATATAATCGGTTTAGGGCTGGGGAACGAGCAAGACATCACACTGAAAGGTTTAGAAGCAGTGAGAAAATGCCAGAAAGTATACATGGAAGCCTACACTTCCCTCCTTTCCTTTGGTCTCTCTACTGATGGCCTTTCTAACCTGGTACCTTACCTTGTTTCAATTTAAAGCTCCTTTTTTGCCCTTTTGAATTTCTTGTTTTAGGTAGGAATTTTACTCTTGGGTTTTCACAATAGGAAAAATTATATGGTAAAGCCATAACTCTAGCGGACAGAGAAATGGTTGAAGAAAAGGCAGATGACATACTTTCAGACTCTCGGGATGCTGATGTGGCTTTTCTCGTTGTTGGGGACCCATTTGGGTATGCTGTTTTACCCATGTTTCCGTCAATATTATGTCGCTGTGTACATATGTGGTATTTGGCAAGTGGAAAACTAAGCTGCTGATCTTTGCTCCATTATGATATAAATTTTGTAGTTGGGGGGTCCTGCAGTCTCTTGCAAGGAAAGAGATACCCGTAAATTATATCCGAGTAGCATACTGTGCAAATTTTTTGCGAGTATTGAGTCTCTCCAAAATGAAGATTCAAATGTGTTCAAAATTACTGATGTCAATTGTGGTCTATGTTGTTGGCCCAAAAGAAATAAAAATATGTGGTCTATGTTTTCTTATTGATGATGAGGATTCCTCGCTTTTACTAATCTTACATTCGGTTCTTCACACAGGGCAACAACTCACACTGATCTGGTTGTTCGAGCTAAGAAAATGGGAATTGATGTCAAAATAGTGCACAATGCTTCCGTGATGAATGCAATTGGAATTTGTGGGCTTCAACTTTATCGCTATGGGGAGACTGTTTCAATTCCATTCTTTACCGAGTCATGGAGACCTGATAGTTTCTATGAAAAGATTGAAAAAAATAAAGAAATGGGACTTCATACACTTTGCTTATTAGGTAGGTGTCTGATACTCATTATCTGTAAGGCATCCTCATGCATATCATTTCCAAGAGTGTCAACAGTGAAGAAATAGCTGCTGCATCTGAAACAGCTTTTAACATTATAATTCCAACAAATGTTTGCAAACACATTTTGAAACTGCTGCCTCTGAGATTGTGCAGGAATGTAATAGGTTGATCAAATATAAGAGAAAAGTGGTTTTGGCATGTGAACGTGACCCCTGCTTATTCCTGTATTTGTTTATAAGCATAGAATGTAACTTTGCTCATTGAAATTTTTGTTATTAACTTTATCATTTATAATTATACAAAAAGCTGTCAGCCGTTATTATAACACTAGTCAAAGTCAATGAGAACACTATTAAGCCATTCTTTTCTTGTGGCCTAGACAAATTTCCTTTCCTTGCTTAACTTCCATAAGGAAATAACCATTTTTTGCAACATCCACTTAAGGTCCTTCCTGTCATTCAGTGAGAAAATCTAGTGCATATTATCTTATACTCTTTAATTTGAGAATGGTTACAGATATACGTGTGAAGGAGCCCTCCCTCGAATCTTTGTGCAGGTTGGTTTCTATTTGATCGGTTCAGCTGTGTGGTGCTGCAGTTTCTTAGTATTTACTTTTTTGTTCTGAACTTTAGCATGGCGTAAGTGCAATCCGCTGTATCTAATTCAATATTCTATTTCTTCCTATTATCTTTGGCATAATTTTAGAGGAAGAAAAATTTATGAACCACCTAGATACATGACAATAAACACAGCCATTGAGCAGCTCTTGGAGATTGGGCAAGCACGTGAAGACCCCGGTTAGCTCCTTGACCATTCACGTCTCTCTAGCTTTTTAAAGCATAGATTATCTAATGTTCTTGATGCTGCCAACATTCAATGACCGAAAGAGATGTGGATTTTGCTTTGTTTGCTGCAAAAATTATCATAATAAACGTATCATCAGATTTTTTTCACTTCAGAAATTAGTAATCTATCAATCAATTTATAAATACTTTTGTAATCCAATTTATGTTGTCTTCAAGAAGGCATGAGCTATTGCCTTGGTATTTTTCATTGTCTTGATAAGACCATTTATAGCATAACATAACATTTGTTCGGCTTCTCTTTGTTCATACTGATACACCCTTGGCCTGCAATTCATATAATAATTTATGACTTGACCCTGCAGTATACACAGAAGATACAGAGTGTGTTGGGTTTGCTCGGTTAGGAAGTGAAGATCAGATGATAGTAGCAGGTACAATGAGGCAGCTTCGGAGTATTGATTTTGGTGCACCTTTGCATTGCCTTGTCATAATTGGCAAGATGCATCCTTTGGAAGAAGAAATGCTCGATTTTTACAGGTGTAGGAGCTAGTTACATACATCTATACTTGTCACTGGCTGAGGAATTTAATGCTTCCCTTAAAACTGTGGTTCTCAATGCAGAGAAGTGTGGCAGTTGATCGATGCCTTTTATGTATGAATAATTAAGACTTGCATTTTGATTGAATTACATGCTTGCTGCCATCGTTTCAACCATTTTATGGGAGAAAAGCTTGTGATTAACATTCAGGGATATGCTTATAGAGAACATTATATGTACACGCAAACCAGCCTGCATATTGCTGGAATGGCAAAACTAATTATATTATCGCGTGTTTATGGTTTTTTGCATGTCCTTTATATGCCGGCAAAGCAGAAAACAGATAGCCATGTTGTCCTTCAACGATAATATTCAATAATGATACTAATAATGACGATCGTTACCCATTTCATTCCTAACTCACTTAGCAACTTTGTTTATCTTTATCTTTTGAAGATGAATTTTGCTGTTTTGTCTTGTCTGGCGGGCTGGCCCCGCTACCATAGGATCGAGCACTGAAGAGAAAAAACCACTGTTGCCCCCCCTTTGTCACGTACAAAGAGACCAAATGGGCTAGAAGTTGGACCATTATTGTAAAATCCTATTCGAAAGGATTCCACTTGATTACTACCGCTAGTGGAGATCCATCGTCAGTCAGGAGCTCATGTTTCAGGGAACAAAGACACGAAGACATCAAATTGCACAAGTGCGTGGTAAACAGTAAGGAGGAATTTGAAGTTGTTAATCGATACCGTTAAAGGGAAAAAAAATCACTTAACCATATCATTAACTGACGGCGCTAGTGGAATCAGCTATTGCACTTTATAAACAATCTAACCTTGTAAATCTTTTTTCTAGAACTTCGAGCACTATGCCGCTATTGCTGACTAGTTTTCTTTTTCTTCAATCCCTCAATTAATATATAGGTATATAGAACACACACACACACACGGTGAATACTGTATATGCGCAGGCTGCAAGGTTCAGGCCACTGAAGTTGGAAACGCTAGTCAGAATATTAATATTATTTTGAATTCCGTAAATTCATTTAACTATTTGGTTTCAACGCAGAAAAAGTAGCAAATCCTAGTCTGATACAAGTGATTATGCATCGTCCAAAGTCCATCAAACTGTGCAGTGCACGGTTGCTTCTGCTTTCTCCAGGGGCTCTTCACAATCACAACGCGTTTATGATGATTACGTAACAAAAATTAGAATTGGGTACTGCTGTGAACACGAATAGAATCTGGGGACAAATAAAGGTCATTAGCTCTTGACTTGGGAGATAAATGACAGACAAAATGAGTTTAACTTAAAAAAAGCATAAAGACACATAGACGGGAATGTTTACTTTGGCAGATGAAGAATTATTCCAGAAAAAGTTTGGTTTCGGCTTTCAACGATGTCGATGTGGACGTCGAATTCCTCCTATTATCCTTTGAAAATTCAAGCTACATGTTCATATTCAGATTGTCGACCCTGTTTGACGACGACGAGGAGGATGATGATTCCAAATGTGACTAATTGGGAAAATCATAAAAGATGGAAGCCACATTTGAAATCATTGAATATAAAAGCTTCAAACAAAATGGTTCATTCTTTTGGTGGGACATTGCTCAAACATCATCTCATAATAATAAACGATATGTTTAATCACTCTGCTTTTTGACCAAAACAAAAGCAAAGTGCACTCAATATCATATTAATGACTAATATGGTTCCCACTTCACACTTTGGTGCTTATCCAAACCCACGAACGATAATTAACAACTCGGACACAAAACAACACAAGCACAGTTCATCTATTAATCTCATCCCTCGCCTCGCACCTCCATGGATAATCATCATTACGTCCACAAAAATATGGTGAATAGGATGCCACTGACTGGGAATTATTGGGAAATAATAATCCCAATATATATATATATATATATATAGGGACTAGAAATATCTACTCGCAAAGATTTCAAATTGTAGAATGTGGACCAATTTGGCACACCAAACCTTGAACTGGGATATGCGGACACAGACACGTGACGAGGTTAAGTTAATGAGTGAATAGTGAATACTATGGTCCTTCACCAACCAAAACAAGCGGAACTGATATGGTAGTTCATGATCGTGTCAACCTTCTTGGAATTTCCATTCTAATTTTGTTCGTTTTAAATAATTGCCTCCGTCCTTTTCTATCCAAATCAACTTCTTTTGATTGAAAGCTGTATTTAACAACCCATCTCGTCGCCATGTTCTTCTTTTTTAACCAAATAATTAATTATAACACTAATCACCGACGCCAAAACGCAACTCCTTGACTTTATATAATGTCTTACATTTTCAATCACCCATTTCCTGTCAGATAATGCACAGTTAACTCAGTTTAAAAAAAAAAAAAATACATCGTCTCATCTCGAAGATAAATCAGAGAAGAAGGGGGGGAAAAAAACTACACCGTTAATCGTAAACAAGAAGAAACTAGAGACCCTAAAAACAAACTGAAAATCTATAGAACTTTGAAGCTGGCATCTACAAGATTGTGTGTATAGGTTCAAGTATTAGACCAGATTTGTGGAGTTTGATGAATGGAGGGATTAGAGAGTCAACGACAAATGTCGGAGATGGCGGTCTGAGATTGAACCAAGTGTTGCTCCATCTCCCAGCTAAGCTTGGCCGCCTCATCACGGTGCTTGGGTGCGTATTCCTGGTCAAAACAACGAACGGCTGAGATGAATTTGACTATTTGACAGCGGGTCCCACAGCGAGCCCTCACGTGAGCCACGTGGACGCAATCCAAACTCCGACAAAAGCGACCACACTCAATGACTGGAATTGTAAAATCACCAAAAATGGGTACCTCAAGCTTGCACATGAGTTCTTGGGCAGTTTGGGCAGACACGATGATGTGACGGGCAGCTGGGGTCACAAAGCCTTCGTCCACAGCTTTATCTATGAATGACAGCAATGAGTTGTAGTACCCATCGACGTTCAACAAGCCCACCTGCATCCGTTTTTTAAAATTTCTTAATTCATCATCATCATTATTATTATTAATGGCAGATATAATTCAGAATTTAGTTGGACATGTGAGTCCTACAATCCCGGAATTCTTACGGGTTTATCGTGGATTCCCAGTTGAGCCCAGGTGATCACTTCCAACAGCTCTTCAAGGGTGCCATAACCTCCTGCAAAAATGCACAGAAACAAGACTGAGAAAAGTTACTCACTTTCATGGATTTGGAAGAAAAAGGAATTGCAGGTGATGAGTATCAAAGTTCTGAAGGAATAAGAAAAAAGGTGGAAGTGGACCTGGGAGGGCGATAAAAGCGTCGGCTTGTCGAGCCATTTCGGCCTTACGTTGGTGCATCCCTGACACGGCTCGCACTTCACCCACTGTTTCTCCAGTGATCTGAATCAACCCATGAGCGTCACTCGTTAATTTCTTTTTCTTTTTGCTCTTCCAAATTTTACAACTGTTACTCTTCGCGGAAACTATTTTTGCCCATTTTAATTGAACAGTGATCATGATAATTACCTCTCTTGGCATAAGAGTCTTGGGAATCACTCTGCAACAACATCAATAATCAGAGAACTAAAGATGTGATGCAGAACAGAGGAAAAGGGAAGGGTGAGAAGAGAAAGTAAGGGTTTACCCTAATACGTGGCGACCACCATCGAAGACGGCTTGAGAGACAAGACCCATCAGCCCGATGCTCCCTCCTCCATAAACTAAATCAATCTTCCTCTCCACCTGCATTTCATTTTCACAACTTTCATCCATTAATCACAGAGTTAAGGAGATTTTAGCGGCGAAACAGGGTGCTCTGTTTCTGGTACAGAGTTTCTGAATTCGTGATTGTGAGAACAGAGGCTCTGAAGCTCTCAGCTGAAATAAAGCAAAATTAAACCAAGAGTTTAAAGATTAAAAAGGGAGGTTATATTACAAGTTGTTTGGCGAGTTGAATAGCAGCGAGCTGGTAGCTGGGGTTCCTGCCGGGGCTGCTGCCACAGAAGACGCAGATGCGTCGGAACCTGGATTTGACAGCTTGCTCTTCCTTACTTGCCATAAACAGAAAAGATCTTATATCTGGGATTATGCACAGAAATGGATTGATTTGGTGCGAGGAATTAGCGAGGGTAGGGAGTATGGAGGAATATAAATAGAGGCAGAGGAAGAGAGAGAGCGTGTTTGCTATGTGAAAGCGTGGAGGCAGAAATGGCTTCTTCGAAAGGCCGAAAGCAATGCCCAAAAGTGAGGGAATGAGGATAGAGAAATGGTATGAATCATCACCATTGGTCCGTCTTTTATAACACTCTTTCCCCGGCATCACCTCCATTTATCTCGTCTCATCTCAATTTTTCTTCCCTCTCCGTCCTCCGTATATTCGTTTTTTTTAAAACAAAAACCTATTCCTTTTATCCTATATAGGGAAGAAAGATAAGTTCTTTTTTATAAATTACAACATTAAATTTTTCATATGATATTATTAAATTTTCAAACAAAGCTAATGATATTTCATGGTTTTTAATGTTGAAAATTATTTTAAATACAATCAAAATAATTAATATCTAAAATCATATTAGACTCTGACTAATATAGTTTTATTCAAATCAAACTCCAAATGGGAGCCACTCATCCAAAAAATGTTTTCTGTGTTGGCACGAATTTGGATCATAAACCCTATATTACCTTCAATTTTTTTAATATAAGAGTTAGTTTGACATTTAATTTTGTCTTAAATATAAGACTCAATTTATTTTATTTATTTTTTTTAATATAGTCGTTATAGTAGTTACACATGTTAAAAGTTAAGTTTCATCAAATAATAGTTCTAGCTAACATGCATAATTAACAAGGATATTTAAAAAAATATATTTATTATAAATAATTAATTTAATTAATTTGTTAATTTACTCAAATTAATCAACTAATTCTTATATTAAGTAGTTATATAACCGTTCTAATTAAACAAATGCCCTGGTGTTATTCTTGCCAGACCCATGTATTCATGTTCATAATATATAAATACACACACACCTCTCATTCCCAAGTCCCAACACCATCATTTTGTATTCTTTATACTACCTCTTATTCTAATTATAAGATTTGTTTGTAGACTATAAATAATATCTTATAATTAAGATCAGTTGTAGTATCATTTATTTAATTATTTTAAATTCCATATTTGCACTCAGCAATTTGTATTGGCGGGTGGCACCCGGTCATGATCAGATGCTCACATGCATATTCTGCATTTAGTTTTATATTTTTAATATATACATAATAGTCTAATTAATTGAAAGCTCGAATCTTTATTGTTAAATCAGTTTCATATGCTCCACTGATTTGATGCGTCTTTTTAATATACCCCTTCGCAACTGTGCAAGACAACGAGCGCATACGACTTCCTCCTTTTTTTTCTTTTTTTTTCATTTCCCCCTTTTTAATTACTTCATTTGTATTGGGGGGTGTCTGACTTTAATCAATTGTTTCTAACACCCTAAACTCGTTGTTTCATTTATGGGACCCGCTCTGCTGAAATCTCACTTCATTTTTATTTTGGCATCCAATTTTTATTCGGCATAATATTTTATTTCATGACACAAACTTGGTGAGGGAAGGGGCGAGGGCTTTTAATTTCCTTTTCATTAATTTCTATATTTTATTTGTGTTTACATTTTGTGGTTCCTTTTTCTTTTTTTTCTAAGGTTAATTTTGTTGTTGGCATGTTCTTCTATATGATGAAAAGGTTCAATCACTGTTCCTGGATCTTTGGATGCCTCGAGAAGCTTATATATTATTATTATATACATCCAACACGCTTTGCGCCAAATAATATTCATCGAGCACGTTTTTTAATCCGACAATTTTGGTATACTTATTATTAATTGGATTGCATACGACTCCTAAATTTTTGTCCTATATGCAAATTAACTCCTGTGATCTTGAAAATTTGATGAGAAATCTCTTAAATTTTAAATTTAGATAAATATTTTTTATGATTAATAAAGCTGTTATTTCACTAACAGAAGTTAGGTCTGTCGAAAAGGGTCAATCCCCCGTAATGAATCAAGTTTTGAATTTTTTTTAAGAGAAGTATTCATATTTAGTGTATGATAATATTTCAAATAATGTTGACTAATTGTTAAGAATATTTAAGAATCATCAGGTAAGGGTACATATAAAAATATTTGAGAATTTCAATCAAAGTATTATAAAAGGGGACAAAGGCTTAAAAAATATGGTTACTATATTTAGAGACAGAAGAAATATGTTATTAACCACGCAGATATCTCTTCAAATTTTATTTTCTTTTTACAAAGACAGTCTTTTTAAATTGAGTTATATGCAAATAACAGCTTTAAAATTTAAGCAATGCACAACAGAAGATTTTTTTTTTTTGCATAAATTTAAAAAGTTTAAGGGCATTTGCTTTTGGGTCTTTCCTCGCATGCATTCTAAAATTCAAGAAGCTGATTATCAAGATTTAGATTTTATTTTTGATATAAATTTTTATAAAATACATAAACTACTACCTTACTAAAATTAACCAACCGGAGTAGATTAAGAAAGTTTGTTGAGTTAGTTATTTGTAATAATTATGTGTTGTCTTTCCTCAAATGCCCTAACTTATCGTATATTACCTCCTGTCCTAATCATAAGACCTCGTTTGTGAACGAGGTCTTATAATTAGGATCGGAGGTAGTATTAGCTAAAATGACCATTTGATTGAACATTTAATATGTGCAACTACTACAAAAACTATTTTAAAAATATATAAAAAGAGAATTGAAGTCTTATATTTAGGATTAAATTAAAAGTCAAACTAATATTTATATTAAGGACTGTCGGTAATATATTTCAAAGCGAAGTCGTATTAATTTCCCATAGTTATTAACGCCATGTGATAGATTGTTTAATACTACCTCTGGTCCTAATTATAAGACCCAGTTGACTAATTTGAAGAGATTAAGGAATTTAGTTAAGTTAGTTATTTGTAATAAATAAGTGTTATTTTTCCTAAAATATCCTTACTAATCAAGTTTGTTATCTAGAAGTCTCATTATTAAAGGATTATCTTGAAAAAAAATAGATAAATATGAGAGAAAAAATAGATTGGGGTCTTATATTTAGGAACAAAATAAAAGTCAAACGGGATCTTATATTAAGGACCGGAGGTAGTATATATTAAAGATCTCAAAAAATAAAATGTAGTTTCTTAAGACCAGCCGTTTTAAAAATTACTTGATGAAATAGTTAAACTTTTATTGAGATTAAAATAATCACTTAGTTATTAAAACATAGTTCTTTTAATTTGCCATGGTTCTCAAAACATAGTTCTTCTTTTCAATTTGCCATCATGAAAATTAAACCCCGAAATTAATCTCTCTGGTCGGGTGACATAATTCAAACTAAATTCCTGACATCGTAAAACAAGTGAATGAGTCTTTTACTCCGAAGTAGAAAGTAGAACGCCAATAAGTTGTCACACCCTTAAAAATAGAATGCAAATTAAGTGTTTGTGAGTTAAATCTTAAAAAATGAATTGCAAACAATATACTCTTCTGTTTCTAAATATAAAATTTATTTTATGGTATAATTCATATTATAAACTAGGTCTTTTAGGACTGGAAGGATTTTTATTTTATTTTTTTTAACCTGAGGATCGGAAGGAATAAATAGTTTTAGGTTTATGAGAGATTTAATGCGGCGACCAATTGAGAAGGCATAGTTCACGTTGTAGAATTAGGTATATATACATGGTCTCCACGAAAAGGTTACAAAAACGATAAGATACGAGATCCGAACTAATGTAAGATACCTATCATCAAATTAATAATTATATGCGGTCCAAAATCATGCGTATGTGTTAAATATTGAAATGTACGTGTCAAACAAAATCGCACACGGCTTTTAATATACTATTATCCGTATAAATTGTCGTTCACTGAACAATATAAATTAATTGAATTTTACAAATATTAGACCAAAAACAAAAAAAAGGAACCATGCCCCTTTTAGGGGGCGAGAACTAAGAGCTCACAGTCCCAGAGAGAGAACTTTGGTCGTTCTTTGAGTTTCATCTTCTAAGTTTAATTTTTAACAGAGCAGCTTGGCTGAGTGGGATCCAGAAAATAAAACCTGGCTTGGGGAGCTAAAGTTTAAAAAGTAAATCAAACCTCGGGGACTAAAATTTATGTCAACATTTCCAAAAATCAATTCATATATGAGTATTTAGCTCGGTTGTTGGTGAGAATAATGCGGTCAAACGCCTCCTCGTAGAACCACCGCCACGAATATAAATGATTCTGTTCACAATTTATAAATAACAAAATCCGGGATAAGCTAGGCCTTTTTTCTTTTGACCTTGCGATAAATTGGACTTTCTTTCTTTCACCTCGCGGTACATTGGAATTTGTATTTTGTGCCAAGTGCGAACATTGAATACACTGAACTATTTCGAGCATCTATGAATGACATCAATTTTTATGTACTGTTTTTTTTTTGTTAGAATTAGTTGAAGGTTTAATTTAATTTCAAATATAAAATCTTAATTTATTTTGTCTTTTAAATTAATAATTTTTAAAAATATTTTTATTAATTATAAAGAGTTTCTACCAAAAATAGTCTCATTGCTACACATAATTAAATAAGATAAGCTAGAAAAATTAACATATATTTGTTATAAATAACTAATTTAATTAATTTTTAATATTTTTAAATTAATTATTTAGCTTTTGTCTCAAGAATTGAACGTGGTATTAAATTCGGAAAAGAAAACTTTTCCGAAACTCGTAGTAATACTCCCTCGAGTCCTAAGTATAAATTAACTTTCTAAGCATGTTATATTTAACACAGGAGATAGTATTAGTAAATTTGGTCTCAAGAAGAGTATGCAAATTATGTATTAAATATTGAAATTTGAGGGGATTGATATCCTCTTTTACTTGATCCATGAGCTTCCATAGATTAGATTTTATATAATGATCACTAATTTTAGTTTTTTTTCCCTTAGGAAAGTAAATAAAATCATACAAGTTATTGAACCAATCAAGGCAATAGTTA